GTACCTCTGTCACATTCGTGTTTCAACCGTGAAGCAGTTGTGTTTGCATGGCTGTGTTTCGGTTTGAAGGGTGGGATTTGGCGTGAATTTACTGGGTACAGAGGAATAACACCTGAGTCCTCAGGAATAGCAACGCATGGGGAGTATCATGTGCGAAACAGTATACTCTGTTATGTCCATGGTACTGCTCATGTCTATAGGCGACGGTTACCACTTTCCATCAGGTGGGCCGTCAGTTTGCTTGCCATTCTAAGTTGTATAAAAAAAAATGGGATTGATAGTCCACAATACAAACAGTCCCTCCCCCCCCCCCCCCACGGCGCTATGAGTTAAAAAGCAAATAAATTTTCACATTTATCATATTAGCACAGTTTTCGTTTATAAAACTAAAAAAGAATTAAGAGACTGGCTGGCTATAATCTAACTATACTTTTCTGTCTCCCTTAAAAACTTGACAATTCAACGCTAATGGAGGAATAAGTCCAAACTTTCATCTATTTACTACGCATTCTTGTAATTTGTTAATTATGGTGATTGTATATTAAAGATAACATTTTTTATTGCCTGTAGTTCCTGAAAAGGAAACTGTCTAAAGAAACTTTCATAGAGCAATATTAAACAAAAAATTGCAAAAATGTTCATTTACAAGTTTATGGCTGGTGTGGTCGAGACCTTTACAGGCGGTGGTATGTAATACATACATATATACTATGTATACATTCATAGACAATATGCACTAGTTGGAGCTAGTTATACAGGAAAACAGTCTACTCTTATGGAATGCTATTTTCTGCAGAAATAACTCGAATAATTTAATTATATCTACTTTTGTGATTTGTTATTTATTTATTTATTTATTTATTTTACACTTCATTGCACCGAGTAAAAAGAGAAATAACAAATACAGTACATATTAATGAGAAGTGATACAAAAGGCGGCCTTATCGCTAAGCAATCTCTTCCAGACATTTAATAGTTTGTACAGACATAAACATACACTTATAAGTTATTATTTAAAAAAAAAACAACAGTCCATGTTCTTGGCCATTTTTCTCAACTGTAATTAAGCTTCAAATTGGACCACAGAAATATATTTTTTTACAAAATTTGTAACAATATTTTTTTTATGATACATATAGAATGGCAAACAAGTTAACTGCCCACCTGATGGAAAGTGGTATCCCTCGCTTATAGGCATGTTCCATATGTCTATAGGCGAGTGTCGTCATGGTGCTGTTCTAACAGCACCATGAAGATTACAATCTACTGTGATGCCCATGGCACCCCTCATGCGTTATCATTCCTGAGGACTATAGTGGAATGACCCTGTAAATTCTATGCCATGTCCCCTAAACTGAAACACGGTCATGTAATCACAGCTACTATGGTAGAAACATGAATGGTAGATAGGTGTCTATGCAAATTACTTCTCTTTCTATATTTTTTTTTATTTTTTTTTCGGTATTTCTGCACATTTGCCTGAAAAGGTTACTGGTTACTTAAATGTGACTGCGTAAATTTGGTTACTGCGTTCTATTTTAAACACCTATATTTAGACTCTGATTTATTTATGCAACTTAGAATGGCAAACAAGCTGACGGTCCACCTGATGGAAAGCAGTAACCGTCGGCTATAGACATGAACATATTATAAATGATTGTACACCTTGAGTTTTTATACCTATGTACATCAACTAGTTGAATGAACTACTTGCCTCCTTCGCCTCCCTATCACGTCTATTTTTTCTTACCGGTATGAAAAAAAAACCAATTGGATCTAAAGATACGTAAATAGAAAATATAATTAAAATCAATTGAGCAGTTTTGGAGATATAGGTCAACGAACATCGTAAAACTAGATTTTTATATTTTAAGATGTTATTACTTTTTTATAGCTACAAAGGGGGGAAGGGATTGTTAGTAATGGGATCTAACAGCTCCATTGCTAGCAATATACCATATCAGGCTAATTCTCGCGGATTTCTTCACGATGGGCTAACTGAGCTGCTTTCGTCCTCGCCTATCATCCCTCACTGGTGCCCCGTTAGCGTATACCGATAACGCGGGCAGGGTTACCATTCCACATTCACTAAAAAAAAACTACAAAGGTGGGTAAATAAGTGTGCAGTTCATCTGAAACTGATGATATGCATACTATACCTGCGGACATATTGTTTGTTTGCTATATTTTGTCCGTGAACTAAATACGTTTACCACAGTAGTAGCTCTTATCAGTGTCGGAGTAAACACTGGGTATAGAGTATGTTAAATTGATTGCTTATGACTCACTGATCATTTACGCCTAGATGGCGCGATGAGTGTCAATTATTACCAGAGGGAGAGATATGTTACCGATCCTATGTTACCGACTCCGGAGTAAGCCAGGGTAGTACCCTGGGTCCATTGCAGTTCCTAATTATGATCAATGACTTGCCAGATGTTGTTAACACTGCTCAGTGTCTCATGTTTGCTGACGATGTGAAGCTATTCATGGCTATCGGAACCATGGAAGACTGTGTAACTCTACAGCGAGATATTGACAACGTTGTGGCATGGGCTGGACATAATAACTTGGAATTTAATATTTCAAAGTGTAAATCGGTCACATTCACGCGGTCTCGTGTTCCCCATTCTTATGTCTACAATATATCTGGTACGCCGCTTGAACGTGTGTCACAAATACGCGATTTAGGCCTTACGCTGGACACTGCTTTAACTTTTAATAATCATATAACCATCGTTTGTAGTCGTGCATATAAATCGTTAGGTTTTGTGATAAGACAGTCGGCACAACTTCAAGATAAAGGTGCAATATTATTATTATATTATTCATTTGTACGAAGCATTTTAGAATTCAATTCAATTATTTGGAACCCTCATGAAACAAAATACAAGATAATGATAGAAAGAGTTCAGAGGAAATTTGCACGTGTTCTATATAGTAAACTTTACGGCTACTATCCTTATTTGTACCCATCACTGTTCGTATCCGGTATGGTAGGTCTAGACACGCTCGAGGTAAGGCGAAAGTGCAATTTGATGATGCACTATTATCAGTTGCTCAACGGCGGAATAGACAATCCTGTAACTCTTAGCCGTTGTTCTTTGTACGCACCCCAACGCTGCATGCGATTGCGTGCTTGTAGACTACTATCGGCACCGCCGGTTCGTACCTGTACTGCTCAGTTTGCTCCCACGTATCAGGCTATTTCTCTGCTCAATTCTCTGATTGCTCAGCAGCCAGATATTGACATATTTAATTACAAAAGAAGTATATTTTTAAAATGTTGTACAAAATTTGTAAGTTTATGAAATAAAACTTTGGCTCACTACATGTTTTGGGAAACTGTAAGTGTAGTGAGAAATTTTCAAATAAATAAATAAATAAATAAATAAATAAATATATATATATATATATATAAAATAGTCTACGACCTATTCTTAGACCTACCAAATATACATTATAAACATAAAAATTCGATCATAACAAACACTGTGACACGAGATTTTTATGGTGTTTTTTTTAATAGAATGGTATCCCCTAATACGTCATCGGTATATACTGGTGGGGCACCAGTCATAAATGATAGGTTTAGGACGAAGGCAGGTCAGTTGACCTATCGTGAAGAATTCGACAAAAATTAACCACGATGGTGTCCAGTAAGGACCGCGTGGAGGTTGACCTGACTAGCCCCATTGTCAGCAATGGGGCTGTTCGAACTCATTACTATGTATAGATAATTTACAAATCGTCACACTTTTGCAGCTGAAGAGGATACAATTATATTTGATCCTCATGCACATCGTGTCATAGAAAAACCAACATCGTAAGTATTTACAGAAGAATATCTTAAAGAGATCCGTTCTTACTTACATATGTTCTTTTACAGCCTATGACATATATGACAGTGAATTTACAGGGTACAGAGGAATAACACCTGTGTCCTCAGGAACGCATTGGGGGTATCATGGGCGAAACAGTATACTTTTTTATGTCTATAGTACTGCACATGTCTATAGGCGACGGCTACCACTTTCCATCAGGTGGGCCGTCAGCTTATTTGCTATTATAAGTTGTATAAAAAAACCGACAACCGATAGGTAATTAAAGTTCTTGATCGGCGATCCCGTACCAGCAACCGTAGTGTAGGACGACTCCCACTAGATGAAGTGATAAGGGGCTGTTGTGTGGTATGCACGCATAAGAGGTACCATGGGAATAAAGGTGCTTTCTATAATTTTCATGTCTATAGGCATCGGTTACCACTTTCCATCAGGTGGGCCATCAGACTGTTTGTCATTCTGTCATAAAATAAAAATATGGAACAGGTACCTGGATACAATGATCCATCTTCTGAAGGCGAGCATTGGAGCAGGTATTCTGTGCATGCCGGACGCCGTGCGACGTCTGGGTTTAATTAATGGCGTTATTGCTATTCCTGCTATTGGATTCTTCGCGACTTACTGCATCCAGCTACTGGTATGTGGAATGTATTTTACCCGACTGGGAGAAAGTCGAAGAAATTGTCCTCTCGGTTGATTATATGTAGAAACCTTGTTATTAACTTGCCGAAGTACTACATAGAGATATATTATTTCATTTTGGCAAATAAAATAACATTGGATGCTTCTTTATAATCCACATACCAGTCCAATCCATTTTACAGAGGGAGACTTTGTACAAAAGTCGATTGCTTGAGTACCTCTGTCCCATTCGTGTTTCAACCGTAAAGCAGTTGTGTTTGCATGGCTGTGTTTCGGTTTGAAGGGAGGGATATGGCGTGAATTTACTGGGTACGGTGGAATAACACCTGAGTCCTCAGGAATGGCAACGCATGGGGGGTATCATGGGCGAAACAGTATACTCTGTTATGTCCATGGTACTGCTCATGTCTATAGGCGACGGTTACCACTTTCCGTCAGGTGGGCCGTCAGCTTGATTGCCATTCTAAATTGTATAGAAAAAAACATGCATTTTACATGTTCCGTCAATTCGGGCCCGGTACTTTTGCAAAGTGACTGATATATGACAAGGAGTATTTTAAATAAGCAGGCATAATTTGTAACGCATTCACATGCATCATCTGTAATTTTGAACAGAGAAGATTAAACTTTCCTACCAATCTCTCCACATTCCAGTGAAAGTCTCAGCTAATCCTCTGCAAACTTTATAAACTCAATAAAGAATGCCATGTATGATATTGATGAGCTATAAAATGTAGAATGAGTTCCCACAAACAAACTTTGTCACGTCTATTTCAGTTATTCTGTTAAATTTTAGATCATAGCACAGTACAAAATATGCCAACGAGAAAAGAGAGGTTATATGGCATACCCGAAATCCATGCTATTTGCACTACAATCTGGACCACCGTGTTTACGATGGAGTGCAAAATTAGTTTATTATTTTGTAGACATAGTGCTAGTTACATGGCAACTCGGGATATGCGTTATATATTTTGTATTCGTCGCGGAAAATCTTAAGCAGGTGAGTGTAAGAAATTACCAAAATTTTCCATATTACTATAAAAAAATATTGAGCATATGAACGGAATATCATTGATTTAGTATCATCTTGACGACCAATTTATTGTCAAACACTGAATATAGGCGTAGAATTTCAAGAAACAGCTTTGAGCTACTTATACCAATCCATTTTCTGAAACAGGTTTCAGGTCATTTCTCCGTTTAGTAGAGTATCTGCTGTATTTAACTTTTGGTCGAAATTTGTGTAAAGTTTCATCCATTTCGTGATGATTTGTAACATACCCAAATATGTTGCCAACATTATCACTTCAGCTTTACAAAACAACGAAGTACAATCGGTTGCTCAATTAAAAATATCATAATTTATAAATGCTCAAGAATAAATAATCATTATCAAATGAAGATATTGGTAATTATGGTAAAGACCTTAAAATTTTAATATTTTTTGTTTGCCGTGACAGGTTTGCGACCACTACAATCTTTTTGAAGCGTCGTTGAGGCTGCATCTGTGTTTAATCCTTGGACCACTTATCTTAATAAATTTAATCAAAGATCTGAAAATGATGACACCCATGTCCACTGTTTCCAACATAGTGACAATTTTTGGCTTGATCCTGGTATTTTTCTATCTCGTGGAAGATGACGTTTCGTTGCCTGATGACGCATATGAATTAAAAAGCCTCGTCGATATTCCAGTGTTCATTGGAATCACTCTATTTGCTCTCGAAGCTGTAGGAGTGGTGGGTGTTTCTTTATATCTTTACCGAAAAATTATACTTGTGCATCGAGTGTTCAGTACTAATTATTACGCGTACAAAATACTACCAATTTGCAGACTTATAAGCTGTGTACCAACAGACAGATTGATACGATAGTTTGCAACAATTGTTATTTAAAACGCAGTTAAAAATTTGTATACTAGCTATTATTTAATTCAATTAACTATTGATATCATGAGAAACTGAGCAATTTTTACGTCTCGATGTATTTGTTTAATAAATAATAAATTTCACATAATCCCACGAACCTTTGGGGGCCACCAGAATGCCCAGACTCAATTTAGAGAACTTCATTTCCTAAATGGATCAACCAAGAATCCAGCACCTAACTGCTAACACCTTTAAACACACAAATCATTAAACCTAAAACTTGTAGTCAGTACAATACTTAGTACTTCTAGTCATTTGTTCTTAATTAATATTGTTTATATTAATTAAGAAGAAATAGCTTGTATTTTATTTTTAATGGGTGGTAATGGAATGGTAACCCCACCCGCGCTATCGGTATACACCGGCGGGGCACCAATGAAGGATGATAGGTGAGGATGAAACAGGTCAGTTAGCCTATCGTGACGAATTCAACAAGAATTGTTCGCGATGATTTCCAGGGGGAACCACATGGAGGTCGACCTAATAGGGCATATTGCCAGCAATGTGGCTGTCGAACTCCATTGCCAACAATCCCTTTCTCCCCAATAGCTTATACTGGCATAGAGTAGGCCACCTCTTCCATTCCCGTGGGTGTCATAAGAGGCGATTAAGGGAAGGCGATAAATGGGCAGTAGCGTCTCTCTTAATATGAGGTACTTTAGATTTCTGATTTCGAAAAAGATACCGATTTTGACGTACAATCGGTTCAAAGACTACTAATAAAGTACTAAAATTAATTGATTAATTAAATATTAAAAAAAAATGATTTATTATTATGTTCCCGTATGGTCCCGGCATAGAATAAGCCACACCTTCCTTTCCCGTGAGTGTCATAAGAGGCGACTAAGGAAAGGCAAGGGTTGGACAGCACCGTCCTTCTTAAAATATCTCCAAAGCCCGACTGCGGTTGTCAATCCGCCTGACTAGCGTGGCAACTACTGGCAGAACCCCCCAAAGGAGGGTTATATTCAGCAATGGACAGTTAAAAGCTGATATGATTTCATGGTTTTATAATTTGTGTATAGTATGTATTATATAATATAGTAAATATAAATAATAGTGAGGGGGGGGGGGAATAGCAATGGAGTTTGACAGCCCCATTGCTGGCAATATGCTCTATCAGGTCGACTTCTATATGGTTCCCCCTGGAAACCATCGTGAACAATTCTTGTTTAAATTCGCTAACTGGCCTGCTTCATACTCACCTATCACCCTTCACTGGTGCCCCGCCGGTGTATACCGATAGCGCAAGCGGGGTTACCATTCCATTATCACTCATTGAAAAAAAATATATAAATAATAGTATATAATATAGTAAAAACATTATATTAAACTCTTTTACTATTTGCTTAAATATATCATCAGATTTTTCAAATGCAGATTTTGGCATTGGAATATAATATGGACTGTCCAAAGAAGTTCACCGGAATTTGTGGGTTGTTCAATTTAGGCATGATAGTTATTATGATTCTGTACACGCTGGTGGGTGTGTTTGGGTACCTCAAGTACGGCAACAACATAAAGGCATCCATCACACTAAATCTGCCTTCAGACCAAAAGTAAGTACTCGTAAATGGAGATAAGCGAACCCTTGCCTGCATCAGCCTTGCCTGATTGTAAAAATGCCTAAGTTTATAATAATAATCAACTATTATAAACTCGCAATTATTTTGTGTACAACAAACTAGAATATTTTGATTTATAGTATGAGTATACTTTATTTGCATTATACAATACTAGCGGCCCGTCCCGGCTTCGTATGGCTGGACATTTTTACAACATTTTAAAAAGTGGTCATTGTGACATAACGATAATAGTTGGACATATAGTATTGAGAAGTTTTTTGTAGTTATTGATATTATCTTCAATATTGTAGAACATACTTTTGTTCTATCACCAATAGTTTCCGCAGCGCACGCGACGAAAGATATTTTATATTTTTATTTTACATTTTTTATACCTTCTGTTACGTTACTAAAATTTTAGTAAGGATCCATAATCTTTTCTAGCAATAAATATAGCCTATGTTACTCAGGGTGAATGTAGCTTTCTAATGATGGAAGAATTTTTGAAATCGGCAAAGTAGTTTTGAGTTTATTCATTATAAACATACATACTCACATAAATACAAATCTTTCCTCTTTATAATATTAGTGTAGATAGAAAATAAGCAAGACGACAAATATACAATACAATACGATAATATTGGTTTGTAATTTTATGGTAAAAGGCGTTTTATAATGTAAACAGCATATCTTGGAAACGCTGAAGTGTTTTTCTACAAATTTTAAACATATAATCTCTAAAAGTGAAAATTTAGAAGTTTTACCATTTGATTATTGTATTATACTTAAAAACTTCATAACTTCATGATAATATCTTATTAAACAATTATAAGAAGTATGTTAAAAACCGGTAATAAAATAAAAAGTACTCATAATTAAGTTTATAAGTTAATATATTAAGAAAAAAGGAAACTTCTGATTTAACTGCATCAGTCTACCAGCCTAATTCGATTCAACCCCTTTTAGCTACATATATACTATAAAGATTCTTGCTATTTTTACAGAAAAGCTCAAGTAGCCAAAGTGCTGTTCGGGATTGCAATCTTTCTGTCGTTTCCACTGCAAAACTTCGTTGCATACGCGATCACGTGGCGCAAGATTAAAAAGAAAATTTCAGAAAAACGCTCCCTCTTTGTCGACTATTTGTTAAGAATAGTTCTGGTTCTTATACCCTGTAAGTATTATTTTATTATTGAACTAAGGTTATTTCGTAATTCCATTTACCTATTATCATATTTTATATAAATATATACTTGTATGTTTTTTTATAGCACTTAGAATGGCAAACGAACTGACGGCCCACATAATCATCAATAACCCAATGATAATCCATTGCTGGATATAAAACTACTTCAATGCCTACCAGTTCCCACCATCATTATAAGTATACCTCTATCCGACCCGTATTTCTACAAAAAACGCCTATATTTCTGTTTGGAATATGATATCACAGTAACATTACAGTATGCATAGACCATAGTCCTCAATGATAACAAGGCATCACATAAGAGGTACAAAGGGCGTCACAGTGTATTCTATGATGCCCACAAATTATAATTAAATTAGATTCTATGATGCCCAAGATCCATATCTATCGGCAACGGTTACTATTTATCCGTAAGTCGTACATTTGTAAAAACAAATTAAAGCAGTCCTACGCTTTTTACTTCCTTTGTCCTTTTGGAGTTCATTCCACCTGAAGGGAAGAGCATTTATACCTACATGGTTTGTACCGTATGTGGCCTGCACTGCTATAGTTTAAATCCCGATCTGTCATGCCTCAACGATTTATAATATATTTCAATTAAGCTTTTTTGTTCGCCAGTTGCTGTCGCGGTGGCGGTCCCAACACTGGGTCCTTTCATATCGCTTTTCGGTGCCCTGTGCCTGTCTCTACTCGCGATCGTATTCCCCGGATTGATCGACGCTTGCGTCTGGTACCCGACCACTTACGGTGTGTTCAAATATAAACTGTTTCGCGACATTACAATAATTTTAGTAGGCATGTTCGCCTTAATCTCTGGCTGTTACACTAGCATAATGGAAATCATTCAAGACTTTTAACATTGGCCGGTCGTCTTGAAGAGTTAATAATAATAAAAACTAACTTTTATTATGGACTTTTTTGGTCCATTAAATATTTATTAGTAACAATATTCTTAAAAACTAATGTTAGTAAATTTACATACACAATACACACACACATAATATATTATAGTATACAGATAATCACCGCTGTACAATTCCATTGGAGATTGCGCAGCAGTGATTAACGTACACACAGTGCAGCCTGCTTGCTATCAAACTCAGGGCGCTGTTGGCGCTGGCACGTACTCTGAGTACTAGGGATGTGCTCTTTTTCCGCATCGTGGCATAAAAACAATCAACACGATGCTCTGCGAACATCCCCGACGCGCTATAGAATCGTGGCAGCCCCATCAACACCCTGACGGCTTTATTATATTGGATACGGAGGTTGCTGTAGGATTTTTGAGTATATACAGCTCACAGGTTGCACGCATAGAATAATGTGCAATATGATATAAATAATGTAGTTTTAATAAATAATGTCGGTCATAAATGACAAGGTAAAGGATTTTCTTAAAAAGATTTTTTTATACAACTTAGAATGGCAAACAAGCTGACGGCCCACCTGATGGAAAGTGGTAACCGTCGCCTATAGACATGAGCAGTACCATGGACATAACAGAGTATACTGTTTCCCCCATGGTACCCCCCATGCGTTGCCATTCCTGAGGACTCAGGTTTTATTCCTCTGTACCATGTAAATTCACGCCATATTCCACCCTTCAAACCGAAACACAGCCATGCAAACATAACTACTTCACGGTAGAAACACGAATGGAACAGCGGCACCCAAGCAATCGACTTTTGTACAAAGTCGATACGTTAACGCTTTATGTTTTTTTTTTCTAACTATTCCTTAACGTGAGGACTGACTACTTTTAAAGGATATTACACTATTCTTTTATATAAATGTACTCATAATATATCATCATCATTACCATATCAGCCTTTCTTTGGTCACTGCTGATCATAGGCCTCCCCCATAGACTACCATAACAAACGTGGCTGTTCCTTATTTTAGTTTACCATTGAGAGGATTTTTACTCTGTACTATATAGATTTTACTCTGATTTCAACGCTATTATTATGTATATTTAAAAACAAATTTTAATTACAGCTTAATGAATTATAATACTGTAATAAAAAATTTTTACAGTCCAGTCGGATTATGAAATGATAAAATTAATATAATTTAAAAATTATTGGCGTATATCGCGTATATACGCCAATAATTTTTTTTTTAATTATTGGCGTATATACGCGTGCATCCTGTAGGCTGTATATACTCAAAAATCCTACAGCGACCTCTGTATCCAATATAATAACGCGTCCAGGTATTGATGAGGCTGCCACGATTCTGTATCGCGTCGGGGATGTTCGCTGAGCATCGTGTAGATTGATTTTATGCCACGATGCGGAAAAAGTACACATCCCTGGTACGCAGAATATATGCCAGCGCCAATTTTAAATACATAATTTTAAAATTATTAAGATATCTGACTTGATAATATCAAATAGTGTTTTGAAAATAACATGTATTGTTATGTATTAAATTAGTTTTATATAATTGTTGTTTTATTTCTAATATATATATATTCCCACTACCACTTCATCCTATACTGAGAGTATCCTGAGGGTACGTAACGGGTCTTCTTGATATCACCATTCTATCAGTCGTCCACTGCTGAATAGAAACCTCCCCTTTGAGAGAGGTTTGCCAGTAGTTGCCACGCTTGGCAGGCGGATTGGCAACCACAGGATTTGATGTTGTTTTAAAAAGGACACTGCTGGCCATACCTAGAACATTAAGTTCCTTTAGTCACCTCTTTCGACACCCACGAATAAGAAAGGGGTGACCCATTCTATGCCGGGACCACACGGCTTCTTATATGATAGAACACAATGATTATGACCGTCTAGGTCCCGACATAGAATAGTCCACCTCTTCCTTTTCCGTGGGTGTCGTAAGAGGCGACTGAGATAGAGCAAGAGGTGGACACCAGCGTCCCTCTTAAAACCCCTCTAAAGCCTAACTGCGATAGCAAATCCGCATGCAAAGCGTGGCAACTACTGGCCAAACCTCCAAAAGGCTTATGAATGAATGAGTATACTTTATTTGCATTATACAATATAGGAAATAAGCAAGACAATTAACAAACGCAACGATACAATTGTATAAGTACAGTAAGGCGGTCTTATTGCTGAGAGCAATATTTTCAAGACAACCTTAAGGTAATGGACTAATTGTTGTACAAGTAGGTATGATAGTGCTTATGTTCAGCAGTGGTCAGTTAAAGGCCGACATGATGCTGACAATCGATGATTCGATGATTACAGGTTTACCCGCCATACTAGTGAGCAAGTGCTACCTTTATACGTATATAACTCTCGGAAATAGAGGAATGTTTAGGGTTACAAACATAACCTTCAAGAAAAGAGCATATTCCCTTTTAAAAGGCCGGCAGCACACCTGCAATGCCGTTGGTGTTGTGGGTGATCATGGGCGGCGGTAGTCACTTACCATCAGGTGAGCCGCATGCTCGTTTGCCCCGTGTTGTAAAAAAAAACATGTCAAAACTGCTTTCTAAATAAGGACGCTAGTACACTTAAGAGGGGGGGAAAGGGATTGTTAGTAATGGAGACTGAGATACCCAACCAGGTCGACCTCCTCGCGGTTCCCCCTGGAAACTATCATGGTTAATTCCTGATGAATTCACCATGATAGGCTAACTGACCTGCTTACATTCTCATCTATCACCCTTCACTGGTGCTCCGCCAGCGTATCCCGTTAGCGCAGGCGGGGTTACCATACCATTTTTACCCATAAAAAAAAAAGTATATTTAAGAACCTCACCAGGTGTCGAATTATTGATACAATTTATATATATATATTTTTTTTATATATTGAAACAAATGTTAGGGTTGTCACAGCCACATTTATGCTGCAAGAGTTCGATCACTGCTTCACGGTGCGAACTGGAAACGGCGGCGCGGCCCGGTCGAGCGCGCGGTTCAACCGCTTGATGTGGCGGAGCTGCCGCAGCACCAGTCGTACGTGAGAGTCGCGTAACGCTCGCACCCCGCCTACCCACTCGTCCTTCGTAGACAACCGTTTGGACCCACCTATATATGACGGAAAAACACATGATTATCATAGGCGCTTAAATTATATACATGGAGCATCGAACATCAAAAACGGATCAACTTTTGTCAGGTAATTGTCAAATTAACTCGTTTTTTTATCAGTGTTTTTTTTTTAATGAGTGATAATGGCATGGTAACTCCGCCTGCGCTATCGGTATACACTGGCGGAGTACCAGTGAGAGGTGATAGATGAGGACGAAAAGGCTGGTCAGTTAGCCCATCGTGACGATTTCAACGATAAATTAGTCACGATAGTTTCCAGGGGGAACCGCGTGGAGGTCGACCTGATAGGGTATATTGATAGCAATGGGGACTAATCTCCCCATTACTAACAATACCTTCCCCCTCCCTTTTTATCAGTGTTCTATATGCTTGTTCTTGTATCTTGACGTATTATTTAATAAACAAAATGAGTGTTTACACATTAAAAAGATGCAAAAATAAAGGAATCACTCATAACTATTTATTACGCAAAATTGTATGAAAAAGTTGACCTGTTTTTGTCGAAACATTTCTATGAGGATACTATATATATTAGATTATATAGACTTATTTAAGAACAAAATTGTCTGGTGGTAGTTATTATTTGCCTGTCTATGTATTATTAATATTTATGCCATGCATACGGCCCACCTAATGGTAAGTGGTTACCGTAGCCTATGAACACCTGCATTACCAGAGGTATTACGCATGCGTTGCCGACCCTGAAGAAACCTTTTTACCTCCCTTTTGAAGAACCCCATGCTGTAGTCTCTTGGGAAAACCTCGGCAGGGAGCTCATTCCACAACCTGAGTATTCGTAGGAGGAAACATCTCTGAAACCGCGCAGTACGCGATCATTGAGGCTGTAGGACATGAGGATGAACTCACTGTCGATGGCGAGCCGTACGATGGTAGAAAGTGGCTGTGAGTGGGTACTGTCGTCGCAATACGCTAAAAAAAAAGCATACGCTGTCTACTGTCGTCTAACTTATTGGCTTGCCACTCCTAAAATCCACGCATACGAAGTCGAGCACTAAAAACTAGTTTTCAATACATTAGTTGCGGTTATTTTCTGCCCACATTTCATCAAGCATTTATTTGAAGGGTGTCATATTTGAGTCTAAAACGGTAAGAGGCGAGTCCATAGAGTCAGTTGCATTACCACCATTGCAATGCCTGAGAATCTAACTGGATATTCCTAACCTCGATTGAGAGAGTGAAACGATGGGAAGAAGAAATAACAATGATACCAAGAAATTTTACAGCTAACTTACCTTTCAACCGAAACATGCAAGCAAGCTGTTTGGTAGAATAAATAGGTAGGTAGGTAAGGCGGAGAAATATCAATTTATACAAAATCTACCTCAAGACATATAGATGCGATTTCATCTACACTAATATTATAAAGAGGAAAGATTTATATTTTTGTGTGTATATATGTTTGTAATGAATAAACTCAAAAACTGCATTGCCGACTTCAAAAATTCTTTCACCATTAGAAAGCTACATTCACCCTGAGTAGCATAGGCTATATTTATTGCTAGAAAAAATTAGGGATCCTTAATAAAACTTTAGTAACGTAACTCAAGGTGTAAAAAAGTGCTATAAAATATCTTTCGTCGCGTGCGCTGCGGAAACTATTGGTGATAGAACAAAAGTATGTTCTACAATATTGAAGAAAATATCAATAACTACAAACAACTTCGCGATACTATATGTCCAACTATTATTGTTATATCACAATGACCACTTTTTAAAGTGTTGTAAAAATGTCCACCAGTGCGAAGCCGGGACGGGCCGCTAGTACATTAATATAGCAATATGTATATATTAAGAGTCATTCATTCTATCAGCCCATAACAGTCCACTGTTGAACATAAGCCTCCCCTATGAGTTTTGCCTGTAGTTGACACGTTTGACAGACGGCTTGGAAACCGCAGTTAGGCTTTTAGTGATATTTTGAGAGGGATAAACCCACCCTACGAGACGCCGCTTACAACACGCATGAAAGGAAGGGGTGACCCATTGTATGTATATTTTCTATATATATGAAGATGCAGAAAGGGTTCCCAAAGAGGGTTGACGTCAGGCAGGCGGCCGGTCGTAAAACTAAGTATAAAACAATTCTTTTTGTAATATTGATAAAAAACATATTACGCCGACCCCAAATACTAATTGGGATGAGGGTAGGAAGGTGATGATGACGATTTGAAGGTGCAGAAATGTATATATTACATTATTATTATTACACCAGAGGGAGACTTTGTACAAGTCGTTTGCTTGGACACCACTGTTCCATTCGTGTTTCTACCGTGAAGCAGTTGTTTGCACGGCTGTGTTTCGGTTTGAAGGATGGGATATAGCAGTGAACTAACTGGGTACAGAGGAATAACACCTGAGTCCTTAGGAATGGCAATGCATGGAGGGGTATCATGGGCGAAACAGTATACTCTGTTATGTCCATGGTACTGCTCATACCTATAGGCGACAGTTACCTATTTCCATCAGGTGGGCCGTCAGCATATTTGCTATTCTAAGTTGCATAAAATAAAACTACATTATGGGCATATTACACTTACTTATTATATAGCCATCATCTTGGTACTTCTCTGCACATTTTCTGCACAAAAATACTTTAATTAAATCCCATTTTTTTTATAAAGATACAAAAGTCATTATTAGTAAAGTAACACGAATTGCTTTTCAATAATAATCCAATAATAAAAATTGTACAATAATCTATTAATATGTAACTCTAATATTTTTTTTAAACTTGCCAATTTAATTCACTGTTTATCATAGTTACAGATATTATTCACAATACCAGCATTATTATATGTATATTTCCAAACTAAAAAGAACTATTAAAATATTTTTTTAATAGATAACAAATATTTTAAACGTTATCATTATCATCATCATTATTTCAGCCATTATTCGTCCACTGCTGGACATAGGCCTTCCCTATATTATTCCCTATATTTCCCATTCGTGTTTCAACTGTGAAGCAGCTGTGTTTGCATGGCTGTTTCGGTTTGAAGGGTGGGATATGGCGTGAATTTACTGGGTACAGAGGAATAACACCTGGGTCCTCAGGAATGGCAATGCATGGGGGGTATCATGGGCGAAACAGTATACTCCGTTATGTCCATGATACTGCTCATGTCTATAGGCGACGGTTACCACTTTTCATCAGGTGGGCCGTCAGCTTGTTTGCCATTCTAAGCTGTATAAAAAAAAATATTATTACCTAATTTCTTAAAATTGTTTTATTTCTTTTCATATTGATTGATTATGTTAAAGCAAACGCTGTGAATACCTTTAATAGACATATGCATAGATATTGTATTGTATTTAATGTTTGTTATATGTGTCATAATGCAATATGCTGTTGATGTTCCTAAAAATAATCCAAAATAAATCAATAAATAGCCCGACCGTTTTAACGTATTGATATGTCTACCATAAAAAATTAGCAATACTGATATTCCTGCAACAGAAGAAGTAATAGAATAAAAATAATGATTTTTGTGAATTACATGCGTCCAGACGCCTGCACTGCCACGTGCTTGCAATCAGCTGAAGTTCGTGGAGTGGGCATCAGAGATACAGAAGCGGCGGCCACAGCTTGGGATACTCTGAAAAAAAAATGTAAGCGGTATTGGTTTTAAGGAAGAAGAGTAATTATAAACAGTTTGATCGGAGGCACGATGAAAATTCTATAATTTTTAAATATGGCGTTGTAACATGTAATAATGTTAATTTATATCCCTACTCATTATATATGTGTACACATACATATACACATATACATACATACATGCATATAAACATCTACACAAATACATAAAAATATATAAATACTGCTCACATGTATACGTAAATCACAAAGTTATAAAATTTTTAGAGATCTGAATAAATAAATAAACTAACTAGACAAATAAACAAATTAAGATGACAACTTTTTCCAATAAAAATTATAATACATGACGTGACATCCGTGAAGCTGTTCTACAAGCGACGGTTATCACTTACCATCAGGTGGGCCATCAACTTTAGCATTTCGAGTAACATAAAAGAAATGACAGTAAATACTTCGCTGCTGTTAGGCATGTGGATGACATATTTGTCTCTTGACAGGTGACAGGACACGGAGACACGGTGGCAGACAGTGGCAAGCTGGTCACCAGGTCGTGCAGCAAGCGACGTACAACACGTCGCCGATGGTGACCGCTTGATTTTCTCTTCGTTTCTACGTGTTGCTACTTCCACCATGTGCAAAGATGGTTCGAGAAGATTTAAACAAATTACTTTTTTTATGCAACTTAGAATGGCAAACAAGCTGACGGCCTCCCTGATGGAAAGTGGTAACCGTCGCCTATAGACATGAGCAGTACCGTAGACATAACAGAGTATACTGTTCCGCTCGTGATACCATCATGCTTTGCCATTCCTGAGGACTCACTCACTAAATTCACTGCCATATCCCATGCTTTAAATCGAAACACTGCCATGTAAATCCAACTGCTTCACGGTACAAACACGAATGGGACAGAGGTAACCAAGTAAACGATTTTTGTACAAAATCTCCCTCTTAAACAAGAAAGCAAGCAAAATAGTAGTTGCCAAGATATTCATTCCTCAGTATATGCAAGGGTAGATGTCAATTACTAATAACATCATAGGAAGCAACAATACGAGTAAAATATTGTGTTGTGGATAGTTATGGCGACCATAGCATATTTTACAGAATCCAAGATTAGATCTCCCTCTGCTCCACCCTTGCTTCTGTCAATATTTCAAAGGTGAATTATGGCAATGAAAATGCAAGATAAAATATAAGACCGTAAAAATCATTAGAATTAGCACCGTATGAGGTATAGCGTGGACTCCATTGAGTATTCTGTAATGACCATGGTGTAGTCCAAATTGTATAAAATATATAAATATAATTTTTCTTTCTTTCTTTATTCTTTATTACATGTACACAAACGGTTATTAAAATGTAAAAACAAACATAATAGTGCACAAAGGCGAGCTTATCTCCAATAGAGATATCTTCCAGCAAACCCAATATGAGAAAACTGACAGTTTATTAGTAGTTACAGTCATACAATTGTCCCAATCGACTTAAATGTTATAGTTAAAAAAAATAAAATAAAATGTCTTTACAATTGAAAAGACCAATAGGTATTTTTACCTTTATTTTCGGTGGATCAAGTATTGAGAGCTCATTGTCTTCAGGGAAATTCATCGGAAAAATCGCAAGATCCGATTGTCGGTGTGGCGATTCATGTCTTGAGGACATCACAGGTACCGGACTGGCCATAATGGGTACAAGCCGCAGAGGGCCCTTCGGCGGCTTCTCCGAGAAGTAGGCAGTGACATGCGACCAATCCGATCTAATATTCGAACAACTATTGTCAGAAACTTAAGCCAGATGGCCACTAGTGACGAATTCGACAACTAAACACAATGATTTCCAGGAGGAACCCCGTTGAGGTCGACCTGTCAGGATATATTACCAGCAATGGGGTAGCTAGTTCCCATTACTAATAATCCTATCCCCCCGCGTGGACGGGGGCCAATTAATCTTAGATCATCTTCATCTATCATCCTTCACTGGTACCCAGCCAACGTATACTGAAACACCATTCCTTTTCGTCTCATAAAAAACATTCCTAGAATGATGGGCCTCGCGCACTTTACAACAATATGTCGGCGCACGAGTTCACCATGCCACCGAACGAGATCGCTCCAATGCTGCCGGACGAGAGCCTGCAGGCATCCACTGTCATCGCCGGCCTCATGCCCGACTCGTTCGGCGTGATGTTCAACTTCTTAGACGGGGACAGTTTTGGAATTGGTTGGTCGATTTATTTTTTTATTTGTGTGGCGGTACCCTCTCCTCAACTAGTAGATATTTTTAGTTTGTGACGTCACGTGTAAAGTAAACATGCGCTTCCGTTTTTGGTATAATCTACCGGCGGCCTCCGTAGCACAAGAGCGGTTGTTTGGCTTTGCGATAAGGAGGCTCCGGGTTCGAGTCCCGAGCGGGCCAATGCAGGAGACGACCTTTCCTGTATAGGCCCGGGTCTGGGTGTTCTGAGTGGTGCCCTCAGATGTGTCCCCTTTACCGGCATTTGTTGTGGGTCCGGTCTTGTTATTGATTGTTGGCACTATGTTTTAAAAAAAAATAAAAAAAATAAACACTAGGGGGACACGTTTTTGTTTTAATGAGCGAAAAATAAAAAATAATTACAATTCATAAAGGTATAATGAAGACCTCAAAAAAGAAGCAGGTTCTATGTTTAATTGTAATTTTTTTTTTTCATATATGTCCACCGATTTTTCAATCAATTTTGGATTGGTTTTAAAATTGGCTTCCATCATCGCCTCAGCAGCCTGAAATTATGGGAGGGGAGAGGGATTATTAGTAATGGGAAGGTTAATCCCCATTGTCAGAAATATACCCTGTCAGGTCGACCTTCACGTGGGTCCCCCTGGAAACTATCGCGCTGAATTCCAAATGTATTCATCACGATGGGCTAACCGGCCTGCTTTTTCATTCTGACCTATCATCCCTCACTGGTATCCCGCTAGCATATACCGTTAGCACAAGCAGGGTTACTATTCCATTATCATCTATTAAAAAAACAGACGCATTGTTAGCAATATACTTTATCAGGTCGACTGTGTAGGCGGTTCGCCCTGGAAACCATCGTGGTTAATTCTAGTTCTTAACTCTTCACAATTAACTAACTGACCTGCTTCCATTCTTACCTATCATTCCTCACTGGTGCCCCGCCAGCATACCGTTAGCGCAATCGGAGCTACCATTCCATTCTCACCCATTAAAAAAAATATTCCACAAAGTATGAACCTGGACCATTTGCATACAGTAACACGCTGCCTCATATTCTAGAAATTTCTTTCCCCTTTGCTTTAATAATATGTATTTATTACTTGTTTATGGGATTAAATTAAATTAAGCAAGTATAAGCAAGCTGAAGTGGCCATGGGCTAGTCACATAGCTCGAAGAACCGACAACCGATGGAGAAGAAAGACTCTTAAGGTGCGACCCGGTACGGGCAAACACAGAGTATGACGACTCCCCACTAGAGGGAATGATGACCTAAAATGCATAGCAGGGAGTCGGTGGATACAGGTGGCTCAGGACCGTTCCTTATAGCAGTCTATGGGGGAGCTTATGTCCAGCAGTGAACGGAGAATGGCTGAAACGTAGATGATGAACTCGAAATTACATTTGATTGCAGCTGCATTCAGGTTGCAACGGATACGAGCAGTTGATCGCAGGGGAGTGGCGTCGAGACGACGCAGATGGACTGCGTGCGCGGGGCGCCGACGACACTGCACATCTGTTTTAGGAAAGATTAATTATGGTATATCTAAAATAATTAGTAATAGTTACAGTGGTCGAAATTTGATCACAATTTAAAATATAATTTTGAACATTATTAAGATTCTGTTTTCAAAAACTATACTATACATATATGTATAATGTGATTGACATACAATAAGACTATAGACAAATAATATTAAAAACTATTAATTAATTTAAATTAAAAAAAAGGAAAAAAAAACAATAAAAAAAATTAAAAACAAACAATAACCCCTTCCTTTCCCGTGGGTGTCGTAAGTCGACTAAGGGAAAATGATTAATGGGCACCAGCGTTCCTCTTAAAACATCTCTGAAGCCTAACTGCGGTTGCCAATCCGCCTGCCAAGCGTGGCGACTACTGCCTACTGCCTGCTACATAAGCCTCCCCCTTGAGGGGGAGACTTATGTTCTACTGCCTCCCCCTCAAGGGAAAGCAGCAGTGGACAGTTAAAAGCTGATATGATGATGAGTTAAACTAAGTTCTTTTCTAAAAGAAAAAAGTACTTGAAGTACGAATACATAAGCGGTGTTTCCCAACGTGGGGCTCGCGCCCTACAGGGAGGCAATTTGATAGTTAAGGGGGGGGGGGCATATAAAAAATGGACTCGAAGCTATTTTAACCCTCTTGCTCCGGGCCAATTAAAAGTAACGCTATGAGTAGATATTTGTGCTAAATTTAACAAAAAAGAGTAAATTAAAAACAATTCTGTAAATATTTATTAGGTATAATTTCGTTTAACATTACCAAAATATCAACTAGGCGATTATAATCGTCAAGTAAACTTTGTCCGGAAAAATTATGTATGGGGTATAAAAATTTTAGAAATGTTCAAGTGAGGCATGGCACAAAAAAGGTTGGGAAACACTGGTCTAAACAAACTTACCGAACTGGCGACGAGCGCGACCGACGACGGGAACTCCTCCCTGGCCGATTGAAATGAATTTTAATACATTTTTACATAATTAAATCCTTATAAATAAATGTGAAAATTAGTTTGTTTATCTGTTTGTTAACAGTTTAAGATATTTACCTTATACTTGATTTTTTTTATACAACTTAGAATGGCAAACAAGCTGACGGTCCACTTGATGGAAAGTGGTAACCGTCGCCTATAGACATGAGCAGTACCATGGGCATAACAGAGTATACTGTTTCGCCCATGATACCCCCCATGCGTTGCCATTTCTGAGGACTCAGATGTTATTCCTCTGTACCCAGTAAATTCACGCCATATCCCACCCTCCAAACCGAAACACAACCATGCAAACACAACTGCTTCACGGTTGAAACACGAATGGGACAGAGGTACCCAAGTAATCGACTTTATATAGTGATATAGTGAAGTTCATACCAGAAAATGATACTGTAACCAACAATAATAAGTTATTTTTCAAGTAAACATAAATATAAGCATTTTTGAATAGTCATTTTTTAGATATACCTCCCAATGTGGAATGCAAATTCAAAGTTGCAATGGGAGATTGCAACATTTTTTTTTATTTGTTCCTGTTCCGCTTATCTGTATCATGTCCCTCTTAAAACATCTCTAAAAGCCTAACTACGGTTGCCAACCTGCCTGCCAAGCGTAACAACTACTGGCAAAACTTCCCTTATGGGGAAGGCTTATGTCAACCAGTGGTCAATTAACGGCTGAAATAATAAAAAAAAATGTTCTTATACCTCGTGCAGGCAGAATATAGGACCATGGTTTTCCCTCGCCAGCACCGACTGAAGCCGCACAGTCACTGCCCTCGGATCTGTTAGTTTTAAACTTTTTAATACACAGCAAGTCTGGAGAAAACTATTTCACCTGATCATAAACGGCCACTGCATTTGTGGTCTATAAATGCTCGCAACAAGGGAGGAAAGGGGGATATGGCGTGAATTTACTGGGTACAGAGGAATAACACCTGAGTCCTCAGGAATGGCAACGCATGCGGGGTATCATGGGCGAAACAGTATAATCTGTTATGTCCATGGTATTGGTCGTGTCTATAGGCGACGGTTACCACTTTCCATCACTTGTTTGCCACGCTGGTTTGGGACGCTGTTGCCCATCCCTCGCTCTCCCTTAGTCGACTCTTACGACACTTACAGAGGAGGAAGGAGTAGCTATACTATGCCGGGACCATATGGGTAATTTTATATGACGATCACATATTATAGGATATATAAAAACTTACAACAAAATAGATGCCATTGTAATTGTAATTAGTTCTGTTATTAGGACGGTACCATTGAAGATTTTAGGATATTTAATGATTGCGCCAATCCCACGAGCCCAGACCAGTCTATATTAATAATGACATGGTGTGACATTGATAAAAGTGCATGGACTTATTTTTTTAGAGGACTATTGTAAATAGTTTTGTATATTTAATAAATGAAGTGACTTTTCAAACTACTTAAAAAAGAAGGCAGTTCTTAATATTTTTATATTTTTATGTGTTTTCTTTCCAAATTTTTTTCTTTCAAATAGACTTGTTTACAAGCACTTTTAATTTTTACGTCATTTTTTTAGTATATATATATATATATATATATATATATATATATATATATATATATATATATATATATATATATATATAAGTTCATATACATTTAGTTTATTTGTGGAAGAAGCGAAAGAGGTTTGTTTGAATCGAAGCATTTGGCGTTCCATTGTCTCTGCCTACCCTAATGGGAGACAGGCGTGACCGATATGTATGCATGTATGTATACATTTGTTTTAATATACTATGTTTAAAAATACTTGGTTATTAAAAACTTGTAGATGATTCGACTAACACTATAATACGTTTGTCATTAATATATCAAGAGTAATTGTTTAGTTTGTTTTATTACCTCATAACTCCGCCAGTTATAAATCGAATTGGAAAAATCTTATATTATTTGAAAGGATATACTTATAGATTGGTTCGAAAGAAATTTTATATTCGATCCAGCAGTGTAGTTTTGGAATCATAACTGGGTTTGCCACAATTGTGAAGTCGGTATTTTTTTTGTGAATCACAATCTTAATTATGTTATATTATTAAGAATAGAATAGAACAGAAATTATCTTTATTGTCGTATGGTCCCGGCATAGAATAGGCCACTCCTTCCTTTCCCGTGGGAGTCGGAAGAGGCTATTAAAGGAGGGCGAGGAATGGACAATAGCGTTTCTCTTAAAACGTCTTCAAAGCCTAATTGCGATTGCCAATCCACGTGCCAAGCGTAGCAACTACTAGCAAAGCTTCCCAAAGGGTAGACTTATGTTTTATTAGACTAACTTTTCCATTACTAACGACCTCTTGCCCCCACGCAGGCAAGGTTACCATTCCATTATCACCCATAAAAAGAAAACCCACTTGCTAATAGGATATCATCAAATCATATCATCAATGCAAATGTTTCGTTAAACGATACATTATATATATATACACATATGGCTAGATTTCCCAGTGTTCCCATCATGAGAACATGATTTGGTGACAATGAGAAATTTCACACTGCACGAGTCCCATACAAAAATATGGCAATACGAGATAAAACGACCTTCATCGAATAAAAAATATAAAATTTGTCACCTAATAGTCTTTATTATTCTAGCACCAGTCTCTCACAAAATTGGTTTTCATATCAAATTGTACCTCAAGTTGTCACTTTATTCTACCTTTTGTGAAGAGAAAATAAACCATTCATTCATTCATTTATTCATTCATTATTGACACTATAAATCATAATTTAATATAATATTCATTAAATAATACCTTTATAAATTGTAATTATTTCAGATTTATTGTTTATTGTCGTCGCCCTAGGGTCTTTTTTTATTTTATTTTGTTTTATAACACAGTGCCAACAATCAATAACAAGACTGGACCCACAACAACAAATCTGTAATTCTTTCAGATTTTTCGTTCATTAAAACAAAAAGGTGCAATGGGGGTTTTTATTTTTTTTATAAAATAGTGCCAACAATCAATAACAAGCCCGTACCCACAACAAATGCCGGTAAAGGGGACACATCTGAGGGCACCACTCAGAACACCCAGACCCGGGCCTATACAGGAAGGGTCGTCTCCTGCATTGGCCCGCCCGGGACTCGAACCCGGAGCCTCCTTATCGCAAAGCCAGACAACCGCTCCTGTGCTACGGAGGCCGTCGGCAAATTCTAACAAAAATGGAAGCGCATGTTAACTTTACACGTGACGTCACAAACTAAAAATATTTACTAGTTGAGGAGAGGGTACCGCCACACAAATAAAAAAAAAAATAAATCGACCAACCAATTCCAAAACTGTCCCCGTCTAAGAAGTTGAACATCTTTTTCAAATTCAAATTCAAATTCAAAAATCATTTATTCATGTAGGACATTTTAGCCGCTTATGAACGTCAAATTTTTACATTATAATTTTATATTTACCCTACCGTCCAGTTCGGTATATAGATCCAATTGAGAAGAACTGGCAAGAAACTCAATTGAATTACTTTTTTTTTTAAAGCCAGTTTATTTACAATGTATATTTATATAGGTGTCTATGTCTAACATTAAATGAAAATTCAGTGCATGAACAACTATTGCCATGCACACTCGTCATTCAAGTAATCGTTTAGTGAGTAATAGGCTTTGCTCAGTAAATATGATTTAACAGATGTTTTGAATTTATTTAAGGGTAATTCCAACATATCCTTTGGTATCTTATTGTAAATTTTTATACCTATTCCCATAAAAGACCTATTAACTTTTTCTAAACGATACTTGGGGACAGCAAGTTTGTCTTTAAATCTAGTATTAATATTATGAATATTGCTGTTTTTTGGAAATAAGTCAAGATTTTTATGAACATATAGAATATTTGAATATATAAATTGAGAAGCAACGGTGAGAATATTTGCCTCTTTGAATTTCTCTCTTAATGAGTCACGACTCTTCATACAGTAGATCGCTCGAACGGCACGTTTTTGTAATATGAATATATTCTTAATATCTGCCGCTTTTCCCCATAGTAATATTCCATAAGAGAGTAAACTATGAAAATAACTAAAATAGACTAATCTAGCAGTATCAGTATCAGTGTACTGTCTAACTTTACGCACGGCAAAAGCTGCTGAACTTAGTTTCGCTGCAAGGCTTTGAATTTGTGCACCCCATTGTGTTTTATTATCTAGTGTGATTCCTAGAAAGACAGTAGATTCTATAAATTCGAGAGATTCGTCATTTAATTTAATATTGCAATTAGTATTGAAACTTTTAGATAGAGAGAAATTAACACATTTTGTTTTTTTAGCGTTTAACATAAGATTGTTAGTTGTAAACCAGTGCAGGAGACGCCGCAAAGCACTATTTACATCGTCATAATTATTAGTCATTCTATTAACTTTAAAAATCAATGAAGTATCGTCTGCAAACAATACTATGCCGCATCTATCCTGCATCTCGCCGAACGAGTCGGGCATGAGGCCGGCGATAGCAGTGGATGCCTGCAGGCTCTCGTCCGGCAGCATCGGTATCGGTATCCCAGTATACGTTCGTGGGATACCAGTGAAAGATGATAGATGAAGATATGTGGGTACTAGCGACCCCATTACCGGTAACATACCTTGACAGGTCGACCTCCAAGCGGTTTCCCTGTAAAACTATCGTAGTTAATTGTCGAATTCGTCACTAGAGACTTGCACAGTAGCTTGCTATCATACTCACATATATTATCTATAATTTCGAGTATGAATTTTGAAACCTGTGTATCGGTTTTGCGAAAAAAAATTTTTATTTTTACATTTATATAACTTACAATATAAATATTTTTAATTTAAAAAAACACAGGTTGTAGTTTAAGTATCGAATTTTATTATACATTTTTTCAGATTTTTACTGTTAGATAGTATAGACGACGTACTCCAAAATGATACCACTTTAATAGTTCCACTAGTGTTTTTTTATATTTATTTACATAACAAAATTATAGTTATAAGACATTACACACAGAGATACAAGAATGGTATACAAAAATTCAAATCATTCTTATTCTTTTTTTAAATATACTATATGGCTTCTTTCCAGCCATGACCATACCGCCCACCAAGGACTATATGACAATATTGTCCTTAATCCGCCCACCATGAATAAATACTTCACAAAATTAAGATAACTAAAGAATAAACAATGTCCTTGGTAGAAATTTAACAATATTACACTACATATAATAATGAACAAACATAACATAATACTTTGAACTGCTTTAGATCTGAATTATAGTTATCAATTAATGTTAGATGCTCACTCTTAAAATAAACAAAATAACTATGGTAGAAAACAAAGTTTTGATACAGCCCTTTTTATAATGCTGTTTTTGCAGCGTAAACTAACAACACGTGTACCACCGTCCTATTCCCGGGTGCTTTTCAACTATAAAGCCATAAAGCCATTATACTCGTATGCTGGCGGAAGATCATTCTCCATCACCAACACTATGTCACCTATTTGTAGTTGTGGGACCTTATGATTTCATTTATATCTATGATGAAACCGAAGGAGATACTTAAGTAAACTTCTATATATTAATGAGAGTATAATGTAAAAACTGCGTAAAATAATGTACTGATGATATGTACCATTAATATTAGTACATTGCGACTGTCCATCATCTCTTAGAGTTTCATCTTCATCATTCCACGGATTCGAGAAGGTAAGTACACTTTTCTTATTACTAATCTTTCTTTTTTCTTTCAGATTCTTTAATTCATCGACCAGGTAAGTTTCTTGAAGATTCTCTAGATATTGTAACCATTTATTCAAAAGTTGTATTAGTAATTCTTCCTGTAAACCTATTTCAGAGAGCCATAACTTTTGAATGAATATTTTTGCTCGAATAACAACAGGTGCTAACCATCCAACTGGATCAAAAATCCGAGAAATTTCGGAAATAACTTTTCTTTTAGTTACAGGTGCCTTCAGTTCAGGAAGTTGTACAACATATTCAAAATGATCACAACTTCGATTCCAGGTAAGTCCTAGAATTTTCATAACACTATTTATTTTTAATTGCACGCTTTCTTGTGAAGCTATATCTTCTTCATTAATTACTTTCAATAATTCATTACTATTGCTACTCCATTTCTGAAGCTCAAATCCTTTTTTCAATAACTCTTTTATGTCCTTATAGATTTTAATACCTTCTTCGACTGATTCACAACCTGTTAGTAAATCGTCCATATAAAAACGATTTAGAACTCTTTCAGCAGCAAGAGGATAATTTTTGCCTTCATCATAAACAATTTGATGTAAACACCGAACAGCAAGGTAAGGTGCTGATGCCGTTCCAAATGTTACTCGTAATAGTCTCATATGTTGCAGTTCACTTTCCGGATGATCACGCCATACCAGACGTTGAAAGTTAGTATGTCTTTTTTCAACCTTTATTTGTCTATACATTTTAATTATATCAGACACAATACATATAGGATAACGACGCCAACGTATTAAGAGATGACGCAAGTCAGCTTGAAGAGTGGGTCCTACTAATAAATCTTGATTTAAAGATACGCCATTTGTACCAAGACAACTTGCATCAAAAACAACTCTTACTTTTGTAGTGGTTCTATCCTCCCGCACCACTGCATGGTGTGGTAAATAGACTGCTTCAGGATCATCTTGTTCAGTTATTGGTACTTTCTCCATGTGTCCTAATTCTAGATGTTCTGAAATGACTTCGGCGTATTTAATTTTTAAATTAGGATCCATTGATAATCTTTTTTCTAGTTGCAGAAATCTTTTAGTTGCAATAATTTTAGAATTGCCATATTTACAACTGGGATCATCACTACGGAATGGAAGATTAACTATATATCTTCCTGAACTGTCCCTCTTCGTACTATTTGTAAATATTTCTTCACATTTCTTTTCTTCCTCAGATAAATGTTTTTTAATATCTATATTGTTTTCAGCTTCCAACTCCCAAAATTTCTTTAATAAGTCATCTTCACTTACATGAGAAATATGCATACTAATCAGTGGCCTTTGTATATTATTTCTATCTATATTAACAGGGCCAGAAATAATCCAACCAAGCGTTGTTCGCTGAGCTATAGGTACACCTGGTGGACCTTTAATTACACCATCTAACAAGATCTGACTGTAAACATCTGCTCCGAGAAGAATATCGATTTTGTTTGGTGTATGAAATGATGGATCTGCCAGTTTGATATTTGAAAACTCCGACCACAGTTCTACAATAATTTGCCTCTCAGGGAGGATTGAAGTGAGTTTACTCAAGACAAAAGCTTGAACCTTAAATGTAAAATTGGGATCATGAAGTGATTGTAATGAAACCGATACCATAGACTTAGAGGTCAATGAATGACCCTGATCACTTCCTAATCCTGTAATTACACTTTTGTGTGGTATCTTCTTTAAGGTCAGCAATTGCACAGCAGATTCAGTAATAAAACTAGCTTGAGAACCTGGATCTATTAAACATCTCAGTGTGATACCGTTACCTGATTTCGATTGTGCGCTAACTAATGCTGTTGCAAGTAAGACTTGACAGTTTGAGGTCGAAACACAGGCCGTGACACTAGTGGATTGATCTACAGACGGTGATGTTGTTGCATGTGCAACGACATCTTGTTCAACCGATTGATTTGCGATACCTGTAGTGTCGGTTGAATTGATATTGGTAACATTTTTTAGATGGAGTAGAGAATGATGCTTCCGTCTGCATAAACGGCAACGAGAGATTTGACGACAAGCATATACTGAGTGCCCTGAACATAAACAATTAAAGCACAAACCCTGGGAATGGACGAATTCGCGTCTAATATCAGTTTCCTCTTTAGAAAACTTTTTACAATTTGCTAAACGATGACTTTCAGAACAGTAAGGATATATAAAATTGGTTGTGTGATATACTTTAGGGCTATTATTAATAACATTACTTTTATGCACTACATTAGACTTACACAATTTTGGATCAATAAACTCTAACGCTCTAAATCTAGTTTCTAAAAAGTCTTGGAATTGCTTCAAGGTAGGTAACTCATCTGAGAACTCGCTGATTTTGAGTTCCCACTGCTTGCGAGACTCCATATCTAATTTTTGACATATAATATAAATAACAAGCACGTCCCAAGTACTGATGTCTATTCCTAAATTGTTAAGCCCATGAAGACATTCATTAGTAGTATCTAGCAACTCCTTTAATGTATTAGCTGATTCAATACTGATGCTTTTTTGATTCATAAACCTTTTCAGAATACAGTTTGAAAGATATTTTTTATTATTATATCTTCTCTCCAATTGTTCCCAGCAAATAGTGTAATTATCATGCGTAATCGGTACATGACGTAGTAATTGCTCCGCTTCCCCAACTAACAATCCTTTCAAGTAATGCAGTTTTTGTACGTCATCTAAATGTTTATTATTGTGTACCAATGATACGAACAGATCTCTAAAACTAATCCATTCTGAATATTTGCCTGAGAACGGAGATATAGATATCTTGGGCAGCTTTAAATTGCAATTAAGATCTTTATTACTATTGTTTTGTTCGGAACAACTCGCACTTTCAGTACTAGACTGCCTTAAACTAGTCAACGCTTCCTTCAGTAGAAATTTGTATTCTATATATAACTCTTCAGTAGAATCATAGACGTTATTACATACGTAGGAACTAGCATTCAAATCTTTGTAGTTTGTATTTTGAATGAGTTTTGTATGTGTCGAACTAAACTGACGCCATAATTCTTCTAAAGCTTCCAATCTAGTACTAATATAATCTATAGAACGAAGTCGCTGCTTGGGTGCCTTTTTGAAATTGGACTTTGCCTTACTAATTCTTTCATTTAAATCAAGCTGTACTTTTATATATGAATCCATTGTATAAGTTTAATTTTAAAGTTTTAATAATATCCAAAGTTTTTACAAGTAAATATTTATATGAAATGTTTAGAGTAAGTTCCTTAGTCTTCTGTAATTAGATAAATAAAATGTACTCACAGTTCACCAGCACTTATCACTTACAAACACTATGTTTAGTTCTTCTTCAATGTCCTTACGGCTGCAATATGACGATTCAATATTCAGCAACAACAATTGACGCTCGCAGACTTCGTACAAAAATGCAGTTTTTAAATTTGTCGTTAATCCTCGATAATCCGGCTCGAAGGACCAAAATATAGACGACGTACTCCAAAATGATACCACTTTAATAGTTCCACTAGTGTTTTTTTATATTTATTTACATAACAAAATTATAGTTATAAGACATTACACACAGAGATACAAGAATGGTATACAAAAATTCAAATCATTCTTATTCTTTTTTTAAATATACTATATGGCTTCTTTCCAGCCATGACCAGATAGTCCAATCTAGGGATAATGTATTAAAAATGACTTTATCTAAAATGAGAAGGAAACTTCATTCGTATGAATTAAGACTTAATCATTTTAACATTAATTCTCTTATAAACAGATGATCTATGTCTGATTTCATTACTCTTTATAAAATAATAAATTATAAATGGGACAGTAGCATATTGTTGAGCCTTGTTTCATTTCGTACAGGTAATAAAAGAATACAAAAATTATTTTATATACCGATTTGTAATAATAATGTATCGTATCACAATCCAATTATCCGCATGTGCAGAAAATATAACAATGTATGCAAAGACCTTGATATTTTCCAACAATCCTTGCAATGTTACATTAAGGCTGCCAATTTGTTACTTTAAATTTATAGCCGTCATTCTTTTAATGTATATAATATCGAATGTTATGCAGAGCAGTTATTGGAGTGCAAATTTAATGCCGTTTTATGTAATATTTATTTTATAAATGTATTAATTTGTAATCTGTTGCCTTGATATAAATAAATAAATAAATTACTCTTTCATATCAAAACTACTGAACGGTTTTGAATAAAATTTGGTATATAAGTAGGTCATACACTATCTAAATTATATACAGTGCATTGGATACTTTATACCGACTGATTACTTACTGATTTACGCGGGCAAAGCACACACACGGGACACAGCTAGTATTCAAATTATCTGACTCAATAGATTCGTCGTACCTGTATTAATAAAAATAAAACAAAAGTATATAGGTATATTTTTTTAGTGACTTTATTATAAATTTTGCCCGTGTTCAAAATTCGCTTGGATCTGTGAATCATGTATAAATTTGTAGGGACCGGAATTCGGATCACCACCTGAAAGAAGATACGAGTGTAAATATATATATATATATATATATATTCTTTATTGCACTTGAAAATTACATTATTAATGCATTTATAAATGTTGTGAGCAAGGGTGGACTTATCTCTAACAGACATCTCTTCCAGACAACACAATGCAGTTAGAAAACATGTTGCTAGCGGGCAGCTGAAGTGCTACAACTATTAATATTTAGAGTACATAAACAAATATACAGTTAAATTAGATTACATTATATTATATTACAGAAACGTAGTATTAACGTAATGGTACTGTGTGAATTTGGCAGGCAATATTTCTAGCAATGGGACTCCTAGTCCCCAATACCAACAATCCACTCTCGCTCTGCAAACTACGGTTTTATCCCACTGTACTTTTTTTTATCAGATGTGAATGAAAAGATAACCTCACCTCTACGGGGAGAGGGTTTGTTAATAATAGAGATTAAGGGCTCCATTGCTAGCAATATATCCAACCAAGTTGACCTCCACGTGGTCCCCCCTGGAAACCATCGTGCTGAATTCCAAGTGTATTCATCACGATGAGCTAACTGACCTGTCTTTTCATCCTCACCTATCATCCCTCATTGGTGTCCCGACAGTGAATACCGTTAGGGGTTACCATTCCATCATCACCCAATAAAAAAAAACCTCGCCTGTACTATCAATGTACGTTCGCAGCGCACCAATGAGGGATGATAGGTGAAGATGAAAGCAGGCCAGTTGGTGAGGTGACGAATTCTACAAGAATTAACCATGAAGGTTTCCAGAGGCAACCGTGTGGTGGTCAATCAGATAGGGTATATTGCTAACAATGGGGTTGTTAGACCCCATTACCAAGAATACCTTTCCCCTGATACGCCTTCAAACAAACATAGCCATGCACAAGTGCCACACGACTGCAAACACGAATGGGACAAAGTTACCTAAACGAATAGAGTCCTCGCCTGGTCTTACCTGCACCGTCGGCTGATAAGTGTGCGTTGCCAACGATAAGATCTTCAGGTGCACCATCTCGACTGTCCGATCTGAAGTTGGCAGGTTGCACCTGGGTAACAATATATAGCGCTTTACATACAAACTTTTTTAATGGGTGAAGATGGAATGCTAACCCCGCCCGCGCTATCGGTAAAGACCGACGAGGCACCAATGGAAGATGATAGGTGAGAATGAATCCAGTTCAGTTGGCCCACCATGTTGAATTCGACATGAACCACAGTGGTTTCCAGAGGGAACTGCGTTGAGGTCGACCTGAGAGGATACCCTCTTATCATTATAATATTGCTAGCAATGGGGCTATTAGACCTCATTATGAACAATCCCTTTCCCCCCACATTTTTAAATACCCATCCACCAAAAAGGAGAATAATATTTTTCTCGTGTATTATGTACCTAAGTAACTCCATATATTTGTATGATGGATACTTGATAGATTTCAACCGAATTAAAAAAAAAAGGAAAATTATGCGGCTGTAATTTTTTTATCACTATGCCTGTAACCTCATAACTCCGTCATTTATAAACCGATTTGGCAAATTCTTCTTTTTTTCATCTGAAAAGATATACTTTCAAATTGGTCCCACAGGAATTTTATCAAAATCTGTCCAGTAGTTTAGTTTTTGAATCCAAATTACTAGTATTACGACGACTAAGTCTTTTGGAAGATGTTTTGGATTTTGTTTTGTGGAAAAAACTGATTATAGCAAACACAATGTTGTCAAATACGACGTACATTAATATACACTTTTTGAAGAACCTCATACTGTAGTCTCAAAGGAAAACTTCGCTGGAAGCTCATTCCACAGCTTGAACGTTCGCGGGAGACAACTCCTTTGAAACCACACCGTATGCAACCATTTAGGTTCTGGTTAGGTTAGAATAAATTCCCTATCGATGGCGAACGGTGCGATGACATAAAGTTACTGTACTATGTAAAAATCCTTTTGTTTTAATAAAGACGAGAAATCTCGTGTTCGTTTCTAGCAGAAACAAACAGTACTGTCTTTTTTCCTCTTAAATATTTGTTTCTTATGAACCACACGAATCATGCCAAGTCTATAATTATATCTCTTAGTCTTTTTCTCCTCCCTACTTTATTTATTCTTCTCCTAAACTATTATCTAAAGCATTATGACGAACTTATTGAAAAGGTAAACAAAATTTGTTGAAATTGTCACAGAAATATATCAGCAAATCGAATCGAAACATTCAATTGTTAAATTTTTTCTTTCCACTACCATTAGACATCAGCGGCCTGTCTCATGGTCGGGCCAAATATTCTTTATTTTACATTTATGATCGTGTTCTCTTGATAGAGACTCAATATATCCGAACTATTGTCACCTGTCCCTCGTTTCTCATCAAGTCAGCTGGCACAGCAGCTCCTGGATATCGGTTGTAGATGCCGTTCAGATTGTAATGCAGATTCATGTCTGGCCCGATGTTAGCTTTCAGTAGCTGCTCCCAAATACCACCTAAAATGTTTGTAATATACATCTTAATGCGTAACACTTCTAGCTCTATTTATGGGAAATAGTTCTTTATTGAGAAAAAAATATTATTTTTCCAGTAACTTAATTATGAATAAAGCCTCATAATTAATGCTACATTCATCGCAATTTTCTTTTTATTTATTTAAATATACTGATCTTAAATATATTTCTCCGAAACAGAATAACGATTTACATGATACATTGAAAAAAATTACAATTATTTAGACTTTTAATCGAAAACTAGGCTATACCATTCAAATATATTTATTTATATCAACCAATTTCTTAAATCTTCTATTAAAATAACAACACTGAAATCGGTCCATACATTTGGGTCCTTATATACTTTCTATGTTCATTACCCTTAACCCAAAAAGAAGCATGGCGTCATAACATTCGAAAATACTACGATCGATTAATAATTTATCATCAAAATAAATTTTATATTCTTAACACGACACGGAATGAGTCACCCCTTCCTTTCCTTTGAATGCCGTAAGAGGCGACAAAGAACATAATGGCCTAGGGATAGGCAACAGCATCCCTCTTAAAATATCACCTAACTTCAGTTGCCACCGCACCTGCCAAGCGTGGCAACTACTGATGAAATCCTTCATTATAGTCCTATGTTCAACAGCGGTCCCGGCATAGAATAGATATCCCCTTCCTTTCCTGTCGGTGTCGTAAGAAGTAACTAAAGGAACTGATAGAGGGATGGGCAGCAGCTTCTCTCAAAAAATATCTCTAAAAGCTTAACTGCGGTTGTCAACCTATCTGCCAAGCGTGGCAACTACTGGCGAAATCCTCTATTTTGGGGAAGGCCTATGTTCAGCACTGGACAATTGGCGGCTGATATGATGATGACGAATTCTTACCTTTGTCAATGGAAACTATCGGCCTGTTAGATTCCCATGGATATTCACCGTGAGCTTGGAAGTATATGGCGTACGTCGACAGCTAAAATTAATAAAATGTTGCAGTAATTATTCAGTATATTTTTTATACCTTACGGTAGGTCAGCGACACCCTCAGTCCAAGAACACATGCAATATCAAAACCATTACTAGAGCATGCATCAAAAAATAACTTTGCGACATGAAGAACTTAGATCACAGTACCCAGTGGGATTTATTAGTCAATGGCAGGGCTTCGTTTTGACGGAACCCCCTTGACGACAGAAAAAGTCATTGAGAATCCGCGCTGTTCACTCGATAGTTGAATTTAGGCGTTCCTTTATTAATATCGACGGCCCGGGAACCTCCTGATACCTAATAACTTCGGCAGAGACGAGAGGGAGGGGGATACCACTCATCCTGCCCAAGGGAAAGGAATTATTACCAATATGGTCTAACAGCCCCATTACTTGCAATATACCTTGCAATATCTCAGGTCGACCTCTACGCGATTCTCTCTAGAAACCCTCGTGGTTAACTCTTGTTGAGTTCGGCACGAACCAACTGACGTGCTTTTATCCTCTCCTATCATCACTCACTGGTACGGTATCGACGTATAACGATGGCGCAGGTGGAGTAGCTATACCATTTTCACCCATTAATAAACCCACCACTCCCTTCGCCTTTTTCTTGTAATACTGAAAAATTGCTATACCTGAGTATAATACAGAGCAAGCCAGTATTTCCCTCCATGTCCCACAAAAGCTGTTTCATTGGCATCCATCAGAGCAGCAGGTAATTCCTGGTGGAGCATTTCGGGGGATATGCGTAGGTTACATCCGTACCTGACAGTTACAACATGGTTAATAACGAAACATGAATGAATGAATGAGTATACTTTATTTGCATTATACAATATAGGAAATAAACAAGACAATTTACAAACATAACGATACAATTGTATAAGTACAGTAAGGCGGTCTTATTGCTGAGAGCGATCTTTTCAAGACAACCTTAAGGTAATGGACTAATTGTTGTACAAGTAGGTATAATAGTGCTTTATAATTAAAAAAGCATCTTTTGCAAATTAAAAATATATAAAAATTATATACATATATACACACATATACACATACATATATATACATACACATACACACGCATACATATACATACACATACATATATACACAATTACATACATATACATATCAATCAAACAAAATTATATAATCCCATGTGTATTGTATTGGAACATGTGTATTGTCATCATTTATCATAATCTTCAAAAAACCTCATTGGCACAAGTCTTCTATGTTATTGTGCTCCTACCAGGAGAACATAGAACCAGTAGAAGGAGAGAAAACGTCGTGAGCGACGCGCATACTCCTCTCATCATTATCTCTACCATATTTCGTCTACTTTCAATACACTACCGGGTCTTAGCGCAATACAATTGCAGGTAAACAGTACCTAGCAATCGCATCAAGTTCCGACCTCATCATCATATCAATCATTACCTGTCTGCTGCTGAACATAGGCCTTCGCCATCGACTGCGGCCATACGGACGCGCCATAAGGAACTGCCCTGAGCCACCTGTCTTCACTGACTATCTCAACAATCGGCAATGCATTCGAGGTCATCACTCCATCTATTGGAAGAACTTCCTACACTGCTATTGCCTAGAGTTTTTCACTTTTTGTTTAAACACTATTGACCAAGAAAACGTGTTACAAAAGGCGTTCTTAATGCTAATGATTTTCACTAGGGGGAAAGGGATTGTTAGTAATGTAGACTGCCAGTCCCATTGCTAGCAATATACCTTCTAGTTCGACTTCCACGTGGTCCCCCCTAGAAACCATCACTATCTCCCACCAGTTAAGTATTGGGTATTTGTGAAGTGCAGAAAAACATCGAAGGTAGTTTAGTGAGGATTAAAAATAATGTATTCAAACATTCAAAAAATTCTCACCAGTCAGGACAAGCTTTTAATAGATCATATGGTGCTCTGTAATACTCCGCCCTGCGGACCACCGGGTTCCTGATGTTGAACCGTTCGTTGGGGTCCGTTAGATTAATGCGTTTTATCTTTATATTTTTTCGTTCGCATATATAGTCGTAGTGGAACTTCGGCACTGACTCGCCACGAGCGCAGTATGTTGCTAAAAACATATATTGGCTTTAATAAAAATTATTATTTAGAACAATATATTAAATAGAACTCAATTCTAATTCGTACATAATAATTTGAAATGAGTAACTGTTGACTTTCTTGCGGGTTCTTCTCAGCAGATGACAACACCCTAAACCCAGAAGTCCAATCATAATCAAATGACGATTTAAAAGAGCTTGTAAACAAGTCCATTTGGATAAAGATTCTCTTCTGATAGATATTATTCTAACTGAACGGTTCTATACTAGAAAATAAATATTTTTTCAATAATATTATAAAAGAACTATATATGTATGTCGACCAAATAAGCGAGGTGCTGAAGAAGGGCTAAACTAAAAGTACCCGTGAACAGCGAGCATGTATGAAAGGATTTGTAAATGTGGCTGAAGCGGAAGAGGTCTCTATTGATCAATCCATTTGGCGTTTCTACCCTAACGAGAGACAGATGTGACAGATGTTGCGAATGTTAATACAAAAATAAAGAACTTATTCTCGTGGTATTATTATTTACGATATAGTCTCGGAAATCTCGGGAATAGTCAGTAGCTCCATCTATCTGATGACTTATCTAGCTGCCTTCAACCTTTAAATTTTTTTATACCCTACGGTTGTAGGGTATAAAAAATTTTAAAGGGTATAAAAAATTAAGCTAATTGCATTTAAGAAATTTAAGAAATAAGTACAGCCCAAATCAGTAAATAAACTTACTTTTATAAGTGCCATCCAATGAGTTCACTGCCGCGTATTTGTCGATGCAGTACCTGTACCCCAACACAGTGGGGTATCGGAGATATGGCACGTTACACGTGAACCTGGCTTCTTGGTACATTGCACCCTGTTCAATAAGAAGTCTTAATGTAGTCCGATGGGACTACATTAAGACATAATAGAACGATGGTTCTATTAAATAAATCCTGCAAGTGGACTAAAAATAAACCTCATAATTTCATGTATTTACATAAATCATCATCATATCGTTTGCTTGGGTACCTCTGTTCCATTCGTGTTTCAACCCTAAAGCAGTCGTGTTTGATGTCTGTGTTTCGGTTTGAAGAATTGGATATGACAGTGAATTTACAGGGTACAGAAGCATAACATTTCTTTTTTTTTATATATATTTTAAGGGCTTTTACCTTCTTCAGGTATATCAGTCCTATTGTACCCTGAACTGATTTCTCAAACAAAACTTTATCTACCTTCTCTAGACGCGGAAAGAGAAGAATTAATGGGCATCAATAATTTACAGAGATGTTCAAAAATTTCTGGTTTAAGTTCAGCTAACATAGTTTGAATAAGACCAACATTCAATTTATTTAAGTTTTAATCCTCAGGAATGGCAACGCATGAGGGGTATTAGGAGCGAAACAGTACACTTTGTCATGTCCATGATACTGTTCATGTACTGACACGGCTGGGCAGTGTTCGCAAACAGTATACTTTATTATATCCATGGTACTGTTCACGTCTATAGGCGACGATTACCACTCCTCCATCAGGTGGGCCGGCAGCTTGTTTGCTATTGTAAGTTGTATAAAGACAATCTGAAGCAACAATGAACCGATCGCGCCATATAACTCGAAGAACCGTTCCATAACCTTTGAAGAATGCAGGTTCTTTTGCGGTAACCTCAAATCGTAGTGTCAAACAAATCCAAACTGATGGACTGAAAACCTTAAACGGGTTATAGGAAGTCTGTCAATCGGATAACTCAGAACCTGTTCCGTGAAGTAGTAATAAAGAATGCTGAAATAACTGATTAAGATTATAGACGTAAACATATTTTATACTAGCAGTTTCCCGCGGCTTTGCCCGCATACATCAGTGTCTAAAGTGTCCTTTGTGTTAAATTAGGATACAGCCTATCTGTACACCAAATTTCATTTAACTCCAGTTAGTAGTTTTTATGTAAAAAAATAACAAACCTCCGTCTGTCCTCAGAAACTTTTGCATTCCACAACCTCGTCTATGCGTTTACTGACCGCCATAAAAAGTAGCCTATATCGTTCTCCAACCCATATAGTTTGTATATACTTAATTTTATTATGATTGGTCAAGCCGTTATGGCGCTATAAAGTAACCAACAAACAGACGACACTCACTTTTTTTTATACTACTTAGAATGGCAAACAAGCTGACGGCCCACCTGATGGAAAGTAGTAACCGTCGCCTATAGACATGAGCAGTAACATGAACATAACAGAGTATACTGTTTCCCCCATGATACCCCCCATGCGTTGTCATTCCTGATAACTCAGATGTTATTCCACTGTGCCCTGTAAATTCACGCCATATCCCACCCTTCAAACCGAAACACAGCCATGCAAACACAACTGCTTCACGGTAGAAACACGAATGGAACAGAGGTACCGAAGCAATCGACTTTTGTACAAAGTCTCCCACTGGTAGAACTTTCACTTTCACGATTCTAATATGAGTAAGGACTAACAGCTACTTGTGTACAAACCTTGCAAATGACGCTCCTCCTGCCCGGAGGCCGCGACACGCCGCCGAAACAGTACGTTCTAGTTCCATTGCTCATGATCTCAGTGGCTCCGATGTGGGATATAAGGGTGATGCCGTTAATGCCGGCAAGGGCGAAGCGCTGCAGCCCCGCCCTCTTGCGGACCTCCACGTTGTTCTTCATACTCATAGTGTTAACTATCGACTGCCAGCCGTACACGAACTCGTGCATTGGACCTGAGAAATTATATTTTAAAAATCGATCCAGGACACTTGAAATGGTGAGTGGTTACCGTAGTCTATGGACACCTTTAATATAGATAAAAAAAAACTTTAAATACAGTTTAAACAAACCAATATTAGACCTTTAATCTGTATGAAGTCGGTAAAGTATCGATTGAAGTATTTGAGTATTGGAGTATTATTGTAGACTAGCTGTTCTCCGCGACTTCGTCCGCGTTTCCGTCGTTTTTCGTAAAATAAGTAGCCTATGTCCTTCTCCACGGTTCAGTGGTTTTGATGTAACAGACACATTTCCCTTCACTGCTCTGCTCCTATTGATCGCAGCGTGATGAAAAGTATACTATAACCTACCCAGGAGTATGAAGAATAATTGTACCATGTTTCGTTAAAATCCGTCTAGTAGTTTTTGTTTCTATAACGCACATACAAACAGCCAAAAATTTTACTGATTGCCTTTTTGGAATCAGTATCGATCACTAATCACCCCCTGATAGTTATTTTGGAAATATATTTCATGTACAGAATTGACCTCTCTACAGATTTATTATAAGTATAGATAAATTTATATAATGTGACAGTAGATATAGCTATGTGGTCCCGCCATAGAATAGGTGACTTCTTTCTTTCCCTTGGATGTCATAGGAGGTGACTAAGATAAGGCGACGGATGGGCAGCAGCGTCCCTTTTAGAACATTTCTAAGGCCTGACTGCGATTGCCTATCCGCCTGCCAAGCGTGGCAACTACTAATAAAAGGATAGGCTTATGTTCGCTCACTGCATTTGCCCGAACGGGGCTGCCACTCAAGAACCTTTCTTCCCCATTGTTTGTCGGTTCTTCGAGCTATGTGACCAGCCCATTGCCACTTCAGCTTGCTCATCACCACCCACCTCAGGAGTATAATCGTTCGAATAAAATAAATAATTTTAAAAACGATCCAAAAATGATTGAGAGTTCGGTGTGCATATATGAAAAAAAAACAATATACACTGAAATATAGAACCCCCTCTTTTTTAGAAGTCGGCTAAAACTCGAATTTAAATTTAATTACAAGTCATAATTTAATGTAATATTCATTATACCTTTATAAGTTGTAATTCTTTCAGATTTTTCATTAAACAAAAAGGTGTAAGGGGTTTTTTTTATTTTTTTATAACATAGTGCCAACAATCAATAATAAGCCCGTACCCACAACAAATGCCGGTAAAGGGGACACATCTGAGGGCACCACTCAGAACACCCAGACCCGGGCCTATACAGGAAAGGTCGTCTCCTGCATTGGCCCGCCCGGGACTCGAACCCGGAGCCTCCTTATCGCAAAGCCAAACAACCGCTCTTGTGCTACGGAGGCCACCGGTAGATTATACCAAAAATGGAAGCGCATGTTAACTTTACACGTGACGTCACAAACTAAAAATATCTACTAGTTGAAAAGAGGGTACCGCCACACAAATAAAAAAAATAAATCGACCAACCAATTCCAAAACTGTCCCCGTCTAAGAAGTTGAACATTTCGCCGAACGAGTCGGGCATGAGGCCGGCGATGACAGTGGATGCCTGCAGGCTGTCGTCCGGCAGCATTGGAGCGATCTCGTCCGGTGGCGTGGTGAACTCGTGCGCCGACATATTGTTGTAATGTGCGCGGGCGCCGTCACCCTACGAAGATTTTTTATGAAACGAAGTGGAATGGCGTCCCAGTATACACTGATGGGGTACCAGTATAGGATGATAAATGAAGATGATGTAAGGTTAAGTAGGTCCCGTCCACGCAGGGAGAAAGAATTATTAGTAACAGAGCATTGCTGATAATATTCCCTGACAGGTCGACCTCCACGTGGTTTCCTCTGGAAACCATTGTGGTTACTTGTCGAATTCACAGTTATTAGGAGCCAATTGACTTACTGTCATCCTTCAATGGTGCCCCGCCAGCGTATACCAATAGCACAAGCAGGGTTACCATTCCAAAACGTAGTCTGTTTGTGACTTAAATTTGGGTACACCATGCTTTTCCCACAACTACATGTGGCATGTTCTCGCGTGGGGTAACTATCCAGATTATTTGTATTGGCTAAAACGGACTGACCAAAAATATTGTACACTCCATTGCGCTAAGATCTTGGTTTATTTTTCAAATATAAAAAAAAAAAATATTGTTCAAATAAAAATTCCGCCCACGAAGTAGAGGTGAACGATGAAAGACGAAGGATGAAAAGCCCATCGTAATGAATTCACCTGAAAATAAACACAATGGTTTCCACGAGGGACTCGGAGGAGGCTAGTTTCGATATTAGCCGGAGACCTTCATGAGTTTTATACGTAAACAATAGATGGAACATACATTGTTTACCATAAAGGTGGCAAACAAGCATACAGCCCGTCTGATGGTGGACGATCAATGTAACCTATGGAAGCCTGCAATACTAGGGGTTTCTGAAAAAAATCTTAATATACCCTTTTTGGAGAATCCCATTAAATATTTGAAGATAACTGGATAGATTTATTAATCATTTTTAAACAAATAAATATATACCATTGTACATATTACAGAGCGTCATCTATTTCTAAACTAAGCAGCTTCCGTGCTTCACCAGAGGAAGGCTTTTGCTTGGATACCTCTGCTGTCCCATTCGCGTTTCTACCATCAAGCTATTGTGGTTGCTGTTTTTCGGTTTGAAGGGATATGGCAAAGAATTTACATGATATAGAAGCATGATACCTTAGTTCTCAGGAATAGCAACACTTGGGGGGGGGGGGGGATAAAACAGTATACTCTACTATATCTATAGTTTATTTTGGGTGATAATGGAATGGTAACCCCACCCGCGCTATCGGTATACACCGGCGGGTACCAGTGAAGGATGATAGGTGAGGATGAAGCAGGTCAGTTAGCCCATCGTGACGAATTCAACAAGAATTGTTCACGATGGTTTCCAGAGGGAACCACGTGGAGGTCGACCTAATAGGGCATATTGCTAGCAATGGGGCTGTCAAACTCCATTGTTAACAATCCCTCCCCCCCCCCCCCCTATATCTATAGTACTACTCTTGTCTATAGGCGACGGTTGCCCCTTACCATCAGGTGGGCCGTCAGCTTGTTTGCCATTCTAAGTTGCATAAACAAAAATACATACACGTAAATACAAATGTCTGTATTGTGAGGGAACTCAATGCTCGTGGGACGGGCAGCAGCATCTATCTTAAAACATCACCAAAACCTAACTGCGGTCGCCACCCCGCCTGCTAAAAGCGTGCCAACTATCAAACCCCCCAATATGGGAAGACAGCAGTGCAGCATACGGCCAATATCGTCATAGTCGTAGAATACTGACGGATCTGACAAAGATTACATATATAGATCCGTCAGTATTCTACGACTATGACGATATGATGATAATGATTATGTACTGTCAGGGAATCGAACCTACTGTTATCAGAAGGTAAAACGGTGTGCAAGAATAAAGATAAGAATAAGAGTAACTTTTATTGATATAAATGTAATTATAGGATAGATAGATAGATAGATACACTTTATTGTTTCCTCCAAAAGATTACAATAGTAAACTTATTATAAATATAAACAATTACAAGAAATAATCACAATGAGAAAACAATGGGCGAACTTATCGCTAAAAGCGATCTCTTCCAGGCAACCTTTGGATGGGAGGAGTGATTATAAACAATTTTTATTTGTAAATAGTATTTTTTTTTATTATTCTACCGTCTATTTGAAATTAATTTTCAGCTGAGAAAAACGGACACTAATATATATATAATACAAATAAATATAAAAATTATGAGGTATCCCAATATTTTTTTTTTTAATTTTGTCTGTCTGTCACGAAAAAACTACTGCACCGAATGTGATGTGATTTCACAGTTGTATTTCTAAAGGTCACTCTTGCGCCACCTACCCACTTCTTTATATTGTCCTTTAACCAAAGGTTGTCTGTAAGAGATTGCCCTAGCGATAAGACCGCCTTTTGTACCCTTATGTGTATATTTCAATCTGTATTTATGTTACTATATTTCACTTGAATTACTCACTTGTCATTGTATATTTTTTTAGTGCAATAAAGAGTTAAATAAATAAATAAGGTCTAAATTAAAATCTGATGTATGTTTTATCTTGATACCCCATCAAGAAGTAGTCAAAATCATTGGTTTTCCAACTTGTAAAATTAAAAAACGTAATAATTAGTTTTTTTTTTTTTTTTTTTGATGGGTGAAAATGATGTGGTTACCCCGCCCGCGCTAACGGGATACGCTGGCGGAGCACCAGTGAGGGGTGATAGATGAGAATGAAAACAGGCCAGTTAGCGCGTCATGATGAATTCATCAGGAATTAACTATGATAGTTTCTAGGGGGAACCGCGAGGAGGTCGACCTGGTTGGGTACATTGCTAGCAATGGGATTCAGTCTCCATTACTAACAAACCCTTTCCCCCTCGTAATAATTAGTTGCATTGAATTAATTTGCATTTGAAAACATTACCTGTGCAAACCATAATGCAGCTAAGGTCACCGCAAGCCACATGATGTCAATCGACGGTGACGGCAACTAGCTGGCGACTATCAACGGTATCAAATTTAAAAATAATTGGTCCCGCCAAATTGCTTGTATATTTTCATTTAATAATTGGTTACAACTGATAACATTTGATTCCTATAAAAAACTAACAATGCGAAATACATTAGGTATAAACAGAACGTAGTCCACTGCTGGTCACAAGCCTTCCCCAAAAGGGGAGTTTTGCCAGTAGTTGCCACGCTTCACAGGCGGGTTGGCAACCGTAGTTAGGCTTTTAGAGATGTTTTAAGAAAGACGCTGCCGCCCATTCCTCGCCCTTCTTTCCTCTGTTCAGTTTCAGAGTCACCTCTCCCTTCAGCTATATGTATATTAAAATGATGAAGTGTACATACAATAATGCTACGATGTCTATTCGAGTACAGAACCAGAGTACAAAACCCATCCCAGTGCAGAAAGTTGTAAGACAGGGTGACGTCATATCCCCGAAACTCTTAGACTTGAAAAGATATAGTATAAACATCAATGGCGAATACATCACTCACCTTAGATTTGCCGATGGCATAGTAATCATGGCGGAATCCCTGGAGAACTTGAACACTATGGCACAATGACCTCAATGGTGTTTCTCAACAGGTAGGTCTTAAGATGAACATGGACAAGACTAAGATCATATCTAACGTTCATATCACACCTATACCGGTTACTATTGAGAACACTACGCTCGAAGTTGTCGACGAGTATGTACTCCTGGGACAAGTCGTCCGAATGGGCAAGTCCAACTTCGACCAAGAGACCAACCGACAAATCCAACAGCTGGGCAATGTTCGAAAACAGTATACTTTATGTCCATGGTACTGTTCATGTCTATAGGCGACGGTTACCACTTTCCACCAGATGGGCCGTCAGCTTGTTTGCCATTCTAAGTTGAATAAACAAAAATACATGCACGTAAATACAAATGTCTGTATTGTGAGATAACGGTCGAGGGATGGGCAGAAGCGTCCCTCTTAAGCAAAACCCCCCCTAGGGGGAGGTTCATTTAGCAGTGGACAGTTAAAAGCTGATGACCTGTATGCTGTTATCAATATGTCCTTAATGCTGGTAATACTGTACCAGGCTTGTAATGTAAATTGGACTCTTTCCCGCGCTTAGCCTCTCATTTGGGCTATTGTGCGTAGTCATAGCTAGTACAGCCAACCCAGCTGCGCCCAGAAGCAATGAAGTTACCTGGGATCTTCATAGTCCTCACGGAGCGACCTCACCGTTCCGAGGATTTCTAAACTCTGAAGGGCCACAGCTTTTCAGGATTAAGTGAGCAGCCGTTTCTTCAGCATCACAACAAGCTCGACATAGAAGGCTGTCTGTGGCTTCTATACTGTACCAGGCTTATTTACTACTAGATAATCCTCGTTAATACGTATGTGTAGATTTGAGAAGTTGGAAAACCAATTAAACCGTCCACTTTTAAATGGCAAATTGTGTGTGAAAACCTTGTCTATTTTGGTGCAGTAGTTTTTGAGTGATACCGGGACAAATATATAGACAGACAAACAATTTCTATTAAATTTTTTAATAAATATTGTTTTGCCCTCTATTGGTCTTATCAAGACCCCTATCATTTATTACTATTTTCTTAAATCTCTTCCATGTACAGACACAGTTCAGTTACAATTTTAGTAGTAAAATTTAACTGTAGAAGGGATCACCATAATTTGCAATTAATTAAAACAATAAATTGAAATTGATACATGTATTAATTTTATTTTATTGTACACTAAATATAAAATAGAATATAATACTGGCTACACAACCCAAAATAAAAATATTTTTTTTATAAATTTCAAAAATTCAAAAAAAGAACAATCCATCAAATTACACAATAGTACGACTAAAATAATAAAATATATAAATTAAAAGTAACTGTAACCATTAAAAAACAATGGCGATATTTATATAAATTATTTAGAAAACAAAAACTAATAAAATTGTGACATTATTTAGGTACAAAGTATGGCGTACATGATATTTACAACACAATTTCTTTATAAGAAATTATATAGAATTAGATGAGCAAATAACAGTGTGTAAACTAGACAACGCATAATTGCATCACCTGTTTGATTCTTAATAATAGATATTGTGAGTTGTACAAAGATTCACGCTAAGAATGATGCTAATGTTCACATCGACATTATGTACTGACAACAGCGCCTCTAGCGGACGATTTGTGAACTCATGAAATTGTTAACGTAAATTTTTGTACAACTTTTAGTACTCAACTAAAGGATATTGTATCCACCACTTACAATTATAAATATTATGAAAACCGATCAACAGATAAGAACTTACTTGACCGATCCAACGGTAATTATCAGTTTTTTCTATTATTTTTTTTTTATTTTATTTTATTATTTGCCACTACAGAAGGCACGTTATCTGTTAGTCTCGGCTATTATCGAGACGACAGTCTTTATGAATAATCTAATCTTATGTACTAATTCGAGAACGATATATCTCTATATGATGTCTTATTGGTGACTGTTTAAATGATTAAAAGATGTATACAATCTTTATAAGTGAAAATTAATTTTAAAACTCATATTTGCAACATTTAATTTTTTTGCGGAGCATGCAAAGCTGTTTTCTGATAAACAAGAGCTTTCATGTATAACAAAGGTGGCGTAGAAACTTTCACCGCCAAAGGCCGGCACCTCCAAACGAGTAGTAGTAAAGATGGTACATGTTTTCACTTATAAAGGTCGTGTTTTATTTCTTTGGCACATCACTGGCTTCTGCAAATTAATTTCCGCCATAATGGATAGAATTTTAATAGTGCAAACCGTGTTTTTATCCCCCACCCCCTCCTAAGATCACTGGTAATTATTGGAAGAAATACCTTACTGTATCCCTTAATATAATGAACATCTATGGTGCAAATGAAGTAAGCCCCCATTCACAATACGTCGGTCGGATTATTTCGCTGTTTCATCGAATCAGTCATTCACATTCAATCAAATCCGACACACCGAACACAATGTTGAAATAATTGAGTACTGTCTCAGTTTATTGTCAGATCGTCTACACAGAGTGTAACCGGAATCATTGGGCTCCATTCTCTTCATGCATTCTCTCTATTCTCAAAATCTTGATTATAAGAAGCAATACGACTAATTTTCAAATAGATTTAAGTCAAAATTAATGTAATGTATTATTATTAAATTAATATATTAGGTACAAGAGATAAATTTAGAGAAATTACACCTCGGAATCGAACCCATTACCATCCCTTTAAAGGTATAGTCTGAACAGTGAATTTAATATTCCCAAAAAAAAAAATTTGGGTCTCGCAGATCATCGAACGCAACTACATACACCTTAGTTGTTTTATCAATCAATTTTTCTTTGAGGGAAATATTCATTTTCACTGACTCTCGATGCGTAATGATTTCGGTTACATTAGGTATACGAACACAGACCACGCGACGCTACAGCCCGACTGACGTAGTGTGAATGAGGCTTTAAACCCAGGTTTAGTTTGATCAATATATTACCATTATATATTTATACTAAAGAGTTTTTTAAAGGTGACAAGTATAACAAAAGAACACACATCGTTTAGACAAAGTAATCAGGTTAACAATTATTAACATTAGTTCAATTTTAACGTGACTTTTTAATTGAACGCGTATTTTCGGTATTATTATTAACTATATTTAGTGAAAATCAAACCGCATACTAAACAGCTGGGAAAGGTATCTGGTTAATTATTACAACCAGGTCGTTAATTAAAAGCCAGTTGTATAATATCAATATTCATTGAAGATCCAAACACAGAAAATAAAAAAAAAAAACAAATATTCGAGTATCAGCAAATTATCGTTAATTAATAATATTGGTCTCGAATTATTTATAATTAATTTATATATATATATATATATATATATATATATATATATATATATATATATATATATATATATATATATATATTCTGCTTTCTAAGATTCTTCGAAAACAAAAATGCTATTTCAATTTTGTTTTTTTTTTATTATTAACACTTGTGGGGGCTTTTAACACGAATTGTATAAACACGAGTTGTATAATATATATATATATATATATATATATATATATATATATATATATATCTCTATATATATATATATATAAAAAAAGAATTAGATAATGATAAATGCAGTACGTACCTCACTGGACATTGAATATGTTACACTAATTGTGATCAATCTACTAGAGACCATAACTAGTCTTATTTTTCTTCACTGGTACTAAACAATTACCTTTTTAACCGACTTTTATAATGGAGGAAGTGTCTTATAACAAGTGCATCTTTTATGTGTTTATGTGTATTAGAAAATCTAAAAAACACTCCATTATTTAGTAGAACTACACGAGTATATATTTATTTTAATACTAAATATATAAAAGTAGAAAATTGCACCCTTATTAAGCAAGTTTATACTGAAATTTAGTAACGCCTGTATGTATGTATCAATATCTTTAAAAAAAAAAAAAACAAATTTTGAATTAAATATAAATAATAATAATCAAATATTAATTTTATATTAAAATATACAATTTTTTTTTCTTAATAGCTAAACATTCCAAAATTTCCATTTCCAAATGATTTGAAAAACAAATATAATTCATTTAATTATATCTGCTTACCCCATTCAGAGACTGGGGTGACGTTTATGATACAGACGTTGCCAAATTTTAGTATATATTGTACGAAATTTAATATAACTTTCTAAGCATGCGCATGAAACCGCAGCACCTAAAAATTATTACTGTGTTATGCGTACGGGGCATATTTTGCGCATTTTTTACAAACAAGCGCTCAGAGCCTTAATTTTTCAATATATCTACTTCAATCAACATATAAAAAATAATTTTTCGAGTTATACAAAACCGTTATGGGAGAAGAGATTCAAAATTATAGATTCTTCTTGTTTTTCCACTGAGACTCTGATAATTTTAGTCCTCCGCTTCCTCCACCGCCGTTAGGAACAGCTTTTGGAAGGCATGTGTGATCTTAACTGCAACAAATAAAGAAGGGTTTTTCCATGAGGTTCAGTACCATGAACACTCTATATAAGCAACTCATTTGAACAAATTTCAATAAAAAAAAATTATTGGGAAAAGTTGCTTATAGGGAAAAAATAAAAAATGTTACAGTGCGTTAAAAAAGCTCAATACATAACAACCAGAGGGAGACTTTGTACAAAAGTCGTTTGCTTGGCTACCTCTGTCCCATTCGTGTTTCTACCGTGAAGCAGTTGTGTTTGCATGGCTGTGTTTCGGTTTGAAGGGTGGGATATGGCGTGAATTTACAGGTTGTACAGAGGAATAACACCTGAGTCCTCAGGAATGGCAACGCATGGGGGGTATCATGGGCGAAACAGTATACTCTGTTATGTCCACGGTACTGCTCATGTCTATAGGCGACGGTTACCACTTTCCATCAGGTGGACCGTCAGTTTGTTTGCCATTCTAAAAAAGTCACCATTGATTCATATCCTGGTAGTGAGAGTTGACCACTACAAGAAGGTTATGGTCCATAGAGACATACCTGATATAGCTCCAACGGATTTCGGCTTGGACCAGACAAGGGCATAGTAAACAGGCACTCCGGCGAGGGTCATCGTCGCGCCAGCTCCCACCGCCACCGGCTCACTCAGTATTGGCACCACCAGCAGTACGGTGCACACCGTCACGAACACTGTGGGCATCCACAGCTGGACCTGGTGATAAATGGAAGAAGGGGATAATTAGTAATGGAAATTGTAATCGTGAGGGAAAGGGAGTGAGTAAAATCACAAAATAAATACCATTTTTCTTTTTTTATGGATGATAATGGAATGGTAACCCCGCCTATGCTAACGGTATACGCTGGCGGGGCATCAGTGGGGAATGGATAGGTGAGGATGAGAAGACAGATCAGTTAACCCAACGTGATGCGTACACCTGTAATTCAGCACGATGGTTTCCAGAGAGAACCATGTGGAGGTCGATCTGACAAGGTATAATGCTAGCAATAGGACTGGTAGTTCGCATTACTAACGATCCCTTCCCCTCAATAAACACCATTGGATATATCACACAACGCAGTCTAGTCCAGAACTAAATAAATCTAGACCTATACAGGGTGAAAGGAACAGCTTGGCCAAAACGAAAACAGCTGATTCATATGAATGGTCTGAATCAGATGGCACATTATTTCCCCACCGGAAACGCACCACAGCCATATAATTAACGATTCTTAGTTTTGACGCCGCGCAATGTATTTGAAATTTTACGATCCGCACGACACATAATACATAGGTATGGCGCGGTCAGTGTCGCTTCTTCGTAGGCAGTTTTGGTACCCAGCTTATTCCACGCGTCGCGGTAGTATTTTAATACATGCATTACATTGCTGTTTTTTGGTATTTCATAGTATTTTATTATAAAATATTATTTCTTTATATTATGACATAATATGATAGAATACTCGATTTTAAATGAAAACAGGAAAAAAATATTTGTATTTTTCCTTAATAAATTTCCAATGGTTTTCACTTCAGAATAATAGTTTGAATTCACTGTTTAAATTTTTGCTAACATGCCTTTTTGCTAACACTCTTTATAATATGTATGTATGTATTTACAACCATTTTTCTTAAATACATACTGATAGATAGATAGATAGATAGATAAACACTTTATTTGAGCCATTTAACACACGTAAATTAATGAATAAAATGATACAATTTGATTATTTACATTTTTTCAAATATAAAACAACATATAAAACATAAAATGAATATTGGAGATATGTTTTCACCAAGTGTGTCGCAGTGACCCAAAAAGGCTACAGCTCAGTGATACTTTTGCTTAAAAGCAAAGCACTGATTTTCAGCTGCAACCTGAATACCTGAATACTGTATATACAAAACAGTCCCAAGGAGGGGAAGATTGTTTTATTTAATGGATGATAATGGAATGGTATCCCGCTTCGCTAACGGTATACGCTGGTTTGGTTTCCAGAAACTATCACAATGACAGTTCTAGATGTGTTCATCACGATGGGCTAATTGACCTGCTTTTTCATCATCTCTCACTGGTTTTGCCGGTAGTTGCCAGGCTTGGCAGGCGGGTTAACAAACGCAGTTAGACTTTGTAAATGTTTTAAGAGGAACGCTGCTGCCCATCCCTCGTCCTCCTTTCTCCTCTCACGATACCCACGGATAAGGAAGGCCTTTGTGATTAATTGGAACTAACCACGATGCTTTTCTCCGACTGAGTTGTCGTCGCTCGTTTTTAATATTGATAACGGTACATTTATATGACTGGCATTCTATTGGTCACAGTACCTTAATAGGCCTGGGAAGTTGCGGTTTCTTGTAGCGCAGCCAGAGTACCGCGCTGCAGCTCAGCGTGGTGAAGAATGACTCTACCACCGTGCAGTAGGTGATCAGTGAGGTCAAGTTGTCAGGTATCAGCATTATCACGGACATCACCATCTGCGTAACAATTGTATGTATAACTAAAATTGTTTTTCAAAAACTGACTTCAATTGTAATAAACCCAGTTATTTTTATTAAAACTAAACTACGGACTCGAGTTTGTATATATATAATTCTTTTTATGCAACTTAGAATGGCAAACAAGCTGACGGCCCACCTGTAGGAAAGTGGTAACCGTCGCCTATAGACATGAGCAGTAACATGTACATAACAGAGTATACCGTTTCGCCCATGATACACCCCATGCGTTGCCATTCCTGAGGACTCAGGTGTTATTTTTGTGTTGTTTATATATATCTATTCAGATTCAAATTCAAATCGGTTTAAAAGTGGCGAAGTTATGATGTAACAAACATTAAAAAAATTATCGTCCATCTATGTACTCACGTGGAACACCAGCGAAGGCAATGGTGACATGCACTTGACATTGATATGCGCAAGCAATTCCGGCATATGGCCGTTGCGAGCGCCGGCGAAACACATCCGCGACGACGCCATTATGTGGACCGACAGTCCACCGACCACGGCGATCGCGACCAGCGTCGGCATTGCCCATTTTAAGAAGCCTAGAGCTGATACTGCGAAGTCCTGGAAACATACATTTTTTTTAATAGGTGATAATGGAATGGTAACCCCGCCTACATTATCAGTATACACTGGCGTGACACCAGTGAGGAATTATAGGTAAACATGAACAATGAAATGGTTAAAAAAATATCTCAGAAACACTTTTTAAATGAAATCAGAGATCAATCTAAATATTCAATAAATTAACGCTCAAACTGTTGAGAACTCAGCGGGCAAAATTGCCCACTAAGCTCTCCTGATGAGTTCTCAGCAATTAAAGTGTTCAAGTGTGCAAGTTTTTGATTTGCACAATCAGTCACAGTCACAGTATAGTTGGATCTAATTATTTTCTTTATGCAACTTAGAATGGCAAACAAGCTGACAGCCCACCTGATTGAAAGTGATAAGACATGAACAGTACTATGAACATAACAGAGTATATTATTTCGCCCATGACACTCCCCATGCGTTGCCAAACCTGAGGACTAAGATATTATACCGCTGTACCTTGTATATTCACTGCCACGTCCCTCCCTTCAAATTGAAACAGCCATGCAAACAATTGCTTCACGGTAGAAACACGAATGGGACAGAGGTACCCAAGCAAACGACTTTCATACAAAGTCTCCCTCCAGTGAACTGTCAAGTATGGAAAATTGTATTTTTTTTTTTTATTAAAATACTTACCACGGCAATAGCTTCTGTGGCGCGTACCCCGATGGGCCCGAGCACAGCCAGGTACGAGACGTTAGCTAGCAAGTATATCGCCGTCACCAGCGGCAGCGAGAGGTAGATGGCGCGTGGTAGATTCACGAAAGGATCCTTCAGCTCCTCGGTCATGAAGTTCAAGTAATTCCTGCAATTTCTTTAATATAAGGGAATGTCTTCATTTGCACGTATACGTGAAGTGTCTTTTGAGAGATACCTTAGAAATACGATGGTAAGGCGTTACCAATCCTCGTTATAAGAATTCACAAGTTTTCAAGGCACCAGGCTCCATCTATACAATCTAAGTTAAACCGTTAAGGGGCTATATATATTTTTATAATATTAGTAAGTATAATATAAAAAAATAACAATTGACTTACCAGCCTGAATACGAGAATATTCCAGAATAGAAGGCGATGGACCAGTCGCTCACGGACGTCTTGGTGCCCGCCCAGCCGTCTTCGAAGTACTCCACACCACCTATTAACAATACCACAGGTCACTGACCTTGACTGATCTATATAAAATCAGGTATTAAAAAATAAAAAAAAATAAATACAAACATGTTTATAATGTTAATCCTGCATTTGGGAATCGTGAAATGTTTATTTATTTATCTATATTTTTTTATGCCAAAAATTTTACGTATTCAAACTCCATAGTTCATTCTAAAATTACTATAGCATCGATGTGATAACGAAATGATAACTCCACCTGCACTAACGGTATATAGAGGCGGGGCACCAGGGGAAGGGTTGTTACAAATGGGTTCTAATAGCCCCATTTCTAGCAATATACCCTAACAGGTCGACCTCTATACGGTATACCCCACCCACGCAATTGGTGTACGCTGGCGGGGCACCAGTGAAAAGTGACAGGTGAGGATAAAGGCAAGTCAGTTGGCCCATAGTGACCAATTGAACAAGAATTAACCACTATGGTTTCTAGGGGGGACCGCGTGAAGGTCAACCTGGTAAGGTGTATTAACAATCCCTTTCCCCCCAGTAAAGCAGGTCAGTTGGCCCATCATGACGAGTTCCACAATAAATAATCACTATGGTCTCCAAGGGGAATTGTACGCAGGGTGATTTGATAGGGTCAGTTAGACCCTATTTACTAAGAAGTCCTGTCCCTCGGATTCTTAGACAATCTATCTATCCATTTAAGAGCTGCGCTCTTGTCGGTGGAGCTCTTGCCACTCACTACGATTTTAGACAATAACACAGCTAAATAAAAAAAAAAGAATCTTATTGCATGATTTACATTTGAGTTCGTTAACAAATCACTTTTTAAATAATTATGGTCATTGTCTTAAGAAAAGAAATTTTTTTTATTCCTCCTTGTATACAGGGTGTAAGAGATTGGCAAAAACTGAAACAGTGAATTCAGACTATTATTCTGAACCGAAAAACAGTGGAAATTCTTTGCAAACATTCGGAATGTTTTAACATTTAAAATCATGTCATTTATTATGTCATAATATAAAGAACTAATATTTTATAGTAAAATACTATGAAATACCAAAAAACAGCAATGTAATACACGTATTAAAATACTACCGCGACGCGTGGAATAAGCTGGGTACGAGAACTGCCTACGAAGAAGCGACACTGACCAACGTACTATGCGTAGTGCGGATCGTAAAATTTCAAAATACATTGCGCGGCGTCAAAACTAAGAATCGTTAACTATATAGCTGTGATGCATTTCCGGTGGGGAAATAATGTGCCATCTGATTTAGACCATTCATTTGAATCAGCTGTTTTCGTTTTGGCCAACCTGTCCTTTACACCGTGTATAATAAAAAAAATTGTGTGATGCTTTTAAATTAAAATTAATAAAAACTTAAACAAAGGAATAATTAATAATAAAGATCATCAACATACCTCTAGCAATCCACATAATGCCAGCTATGATGATGACGAAGAGAGCGGAGATCTTGGTGAACATAAACACGTTCTGCACCCGCGTCGTGAACTTCACATCGTAGGCGTTGATGAACGCGAGGAAGCCTGCAGAGAAAGGTGAAGCGTTACACCGGATTCATTTCATTACTTTTTCTATATCTAGTTATATTATTAGCCATCTTAGATTAGTTTAAGAAATGGTTACAGATACAGGAATGGCAAATAAACTTTTTTTTTAACAGAGGGCAAAAGAGCATGCGGCTCACCTGATGGTAAGTGACTACCGCCGCACATGATCACCCGCAACACCAGAGGCATTGTAGGTGTGCTGCCGGCCTTTTAAGAAGGAATATGCTCTTTTCTTGAAGGTTATGATGTCATATCGGTTCGAAAATACTGCTGCTGGAAGTTGAATCCAGAGAGTGGCTGTGCATGGAAGAAAGTGCCTTGAAACACGCATGATGGAGGACCGCCACTCATCCAGATGGTTGGGATGGAACTTTAGTCTGTGGCGGATTATACGATGGTGAAAATCAGCAGCAGGTATCAATCCGAACAATTAATAAATAATGTAATAAGACAACAAAGGACATTTTGGATCGACCTTTTAATAAATTTAAAACTGTCATTAGAAAGCACGTATTGTACAAAGTCCAATTACTAACCTTTTAGGTACAATGATGATAAACATGCTGGCAATGATGATATGTCTTTGGTGATATATTTCACCATAGAGGTGATGAAATATACTGATAAAGCTGGCGACGACGGATGCCCGGAGCCGTCTATCGCTGACTGAAACAGCATGACGCGCGTACGCACGTAACTAATTACGAACGCCGGTCGACGACCAGGGAACGTGTTCTCACCGTCAGCTATTCATAAAGACTGGCGAAATTCCAGCGCGCGAGCCGTATATATATGAAGATATTATGCCGCTTATTGGCAGATAGGACGATACGACAATACTGTGTTACCTAGAATAAGTTAGCAATCAAATAATTTGTATATCAATGAGCCGAAATAAAGAATGTAAGGCATCGACACATGCATATGTCCAAACACGTGATACCCCTCACCTATTAGTACCATTCAAACATATACTAGGAGCGCAGGCAGGGTTGCCATTTCATTTTCATCTCAAAGAAAGACCAGAAGTCTTGCTGATGATTTAAAATTAAATAGACGAAGAACACAAAACGGCGAATTACACAAAATGGCGAATGGCCCAAAATGGAAATTCAATAAAATAGCTAATGACACAAAGCTGCGAATAACATAAAACAAGCGGATGACACATATTTGCAAATTACACAAAAAGAGCGAATGACACAAAAGGGCAAATTATACAAAATGGCGAACGACACAAAATGGCGAACGACACAAAATGGCGAATGGCACAAAAAGGGCGCTTCACATAAAACTGTTGGGTCTGTTGAATAAAATATTTAGTACTTTTTATATGAAATAGTTTTATTTACTTCTTACTTACATATAGTAGCAGCCGCGATCAGCTTCCGGCACATAGGATCAATTGGACAATTCGGGAATATTGGCTCCAATATGTTATTAGCAAATGTCAGCGCCATTATTGCATTTGTACTTGGGCTGGGGACAAAAATAATCATTTATACTAAGTTTATAGCGATGCCCGCTTTCTGTACCATATTTTAATTAGTTTTTTTTTTTTTTATAAAACCATAAGCTTATTCGATATACACTCCTCGCAAAAATTAAGGGAACATAAAAATTTTTGAAATTTTTGGGTGATTTTCAACAGGCTGTATTTCAGTGAAAAATAATCGTACAGGAAATTTAAAAAAAGGGTTTTGAAGCTTGAAAACTCTAGTTTTCAGATTTTTTAGTGAAAACATTTTTTGAGCTCCGGTTTCCATGCAATTCTTAAACAAAGCTGAAAATAATTTTTTTCTAAATTTTCTAGGTTTCGTTTTTTACTCTATGGGCATGGAAAAAATTTTTCGAGCTACTCCATTGTATAGGTCTCTTAGCGTGTTTATTCAGCTTCAAAAATCGCTTTGGATGGCTCAATTACGACCATTTGTCTCCGAGATATCGAACTTTGAATGCAAAAGCATCCCTTTCCATTCAACTGCTAATATCTCTGGAACTACTGGTCGCACAGCAAGCGGGCGCCGAGTTTCTTTTTCTGCATAAAATTTCCAATAAAGCACAGTCAAGAGTTAGTGAAGAAAAAAATTTTTCCCACCTCTAACATTGAATTGAAAAAAGTGGAAAAAAGTGACTTTTTCTCCTTTTTTGGTTACTTGGCTGTATCTTCGCTAATATGGGCGGGAAAGCTAAGGTTTGAGGAAAATTTTACAGTCTATTGTTCCTTAAAGAACCCCTAAATCCCTGGAGCGATCGGTTCAACTGTTTTTCCCGGACCAATTGATTGAAATTTTGGAAAAAATAAGGGAACAAGGTTTTTGTCCCTTAAACTCACCCTAATCCATTCAAAAATCAATAATTTCATTTGTTTTTCACTTTTTACTCATTTTTTTGTTTTTTAAAAATTCATTATCAAAAAAAAATCGAAAAAAATCAAGAAAATTTTTAAGAAAAGTGAAAAACAAATGAAATTATTGATTTTTGAATGGATTAGGGTGAGTTTAAGGGACAAAAACCTTGTTCCCTTATTTTTTCCAAAATTTCAATCAATTGGTCCGGGAAAAACCGTTGAACCGATCGCTCCAGGGATTTAGGGGGTTCTCTAAGGAACAATAGACTGTAAAATTTTCCTCAAACCTTAGCTTTCCCGCCCATATTAGCGAAGATACAGCCAAGTAACCAAAAAAGGAGAAAAAGTCACTTTTTTCCACTTTTTTCAATTCAATGTTAGAGGTGGAAAAAATTTTTTTCTTCACTAACTCTTGACTGTGCTTAATTGGAAATTTTATGCAGATAAAGAAACTCGGCGCCCGCTTGCTGTGCGACCAGTAGTTCCAGAGATATTAGCAGTTGAATGGAAAAGGATGCTTTTGCATTCAAAGTTCGATATCTCGGAGACAAATGGTCGTAATTGAGCCATCCAAAGCGGTTTTTGAAGCTGAATAAACACGCTAAGAGACCTATACAATGGAGTAGCTCGAAAAAATTTTTCCATGCCCATAGAGTGAAAAACAAAACCTAGAAAATTTTGAAAAAAAATATTTTCAGCTTTGTTTAAGAATTGCATGGAAACCGGAGCTCAAAAAATTTTTTCACCAAAAAATCTGAAAACTAGAGTTTTCAAGCTTCAAAACCCTTTTTTTAAATTTCCTGTACGATTATTTTTCACTGAAATACAGCCTGTTGAAAATCACCCAAAAATTTCAAAAATTTTTATGTTCCCTTAATTTTTGCGAGGAGTGTATAAAGTTGTTATATGTTGAAAAAAGCCCACAAGAATGGATGAAGGTTGCTTAAAGCCATAAAAGCGGCATAGGGTAACAAAATAAGGATTAGTATAAATCAATCCTTCATATGAAAGAAATATGAATAGAAATAGATATACGTATTTATTTATTGTTTATTTATTAATTTATTATTTATTTAATTTTTATTTATTTATATATTCATTCCAAAAAAAAATCAAATACAGCTAAATCCAAGATCCAAATCTTTGGCTGGTATAACTCTTAGCTATATTTGATTCTTAGTGGTTGGCACGTAACTGTATTTGATACCAATGTCGGTTTTTGAACTGAATTTGCTAGAGATCCAGCTGCATTTGTTAGTAAACTGAATACACCAAAGCGTATTTAACTAATTAAACTAGATGGAGCCACGATTAAATCATTTTACGATTTTATGGCGTTTAGCTGCCTTTGATTTTGTAGGCTTTATATATATAATTAGCAATATATATTCCTGTATTTATTCTTGTTAATTACTTATAATAGTTTTTTTTTTTTTGATGGGTGAAAATGGTATGGTAACCCCGCCTGCGCTAACGGGATACGCTAGCGGAGCACCAGTGAAGGGTGATAGATGAGAATGAAAACAGGCCAGTTAGCCCATCATGATGAATTCATCAGGAATTAACCATGATGGTTTCCAGGGAGAACCGCGAGGAGGTCGACCTAGTTGGGTATATTGCTAGCAATGGGATTCTCACTCTCCATTACAAACAATCCCTTTCCCCCCTACTTATATTGGTTATTGATCCATTTTCCTGTTTATTAATTACAGTGTATAAAGAAACATAAGGACAATCGAGCAGCTTGAATCATGCACATAAATTTTCAACTAGAAAATGTAGTTCTTACAACGTAAATATTAGGCCATTAATATATTAATACTTCGTTTCCCGTGGATGTCGTAAAAGGCAACTAAGGGAGGGCGAGAGATGAACAACAGCGTCCACCTTAAAACATCTCCAAAGCCTAACAGCGATTGCCAATCCACCTGCCAAGCGTGACAACTACTGGCAAAACCTCCGAAGAGAGGCTTATGTTCAGCAGTGGACAATTAAAGGCCGAGATGATGATCATGTTGATGATAGGAAGTTCATTTTCCAAACCCCAAAAAACATTCCTACTTCATAAAATATATATCATCATCATCACAACATTGAACTGTCTACTGCATAAAGGGGGTTTTACACGCTTGGCAGGTGGATTGGCAACTGCAGTTAGTCTTTGGAGATATTTTAACCATTCTGTGCATGATTTTTTTTATTGGTGAAATAAATCAAGGTGATAGAATTCATGTTTAAAATTAAAGGAAAAATAGTTAAAAATATAAATTTGACAGCTATGTTTTTTTTTCCTGCAATGGACATTAAAAAGGTATCCAGAAACGATCATCTTAAAGTGAACTTGTTCTTTTATATAATTTTTGGGCATTCAATGTTACGATGGAAATTTCCACCATTATGTAAAGAAGGATTAAGAAGGACACTCCTCGCCCTCCCTTTGTCGCCTCTTACGACACCCATGGGAAAGTAGAAGGCGTCTTATTCTATGCCGGGACCACATGATAATCATCAACATCTTAGTTATCAGTTAAAACTAAGAGTAAATAAGTAACTTCCTTTATAGTACAATAGTAAATTATCACTATAAATTTAATTTTGTGAAATCACATACATGTTTTATGATTGCTAAGTAAACAAATCATCAACACTGGTATTTAAATTGATCAAATAAAAAAGACATAAAGCACCATCTATCGGTTTACGATTAAACATGTTCTCCGATAGATGCGCATGCGCACGACCGCGCTGATTAAAGGAATTCAATCTACGGCTCAGTGGTAAATGCCGTATTATTATTGAGTTGGAAGGGAGTGTCACTTTTACTTCGCCCTTATTCCTATAGTTATAAGTAACATTAATAATACACCGGGCCCTTTTTCGGTACGTCATGTCCAAAATTGACTCGCACAGTAATTGGAGTTCAATTAGACGGGGCGGAATGAAGACGAATACATTCCATATGGTCGCAGCACTCGACATGTCTTTAATTAAACTAGAATGTGCTGCCACCAATAAAAACTCTCTCAGATTAATTTGATGTAGTTGTGTTGTGTAGCCTCGAACTAAATTATTGTTTCGTCATACCTTTATCGCCGTAAACAATAAACAAGGAATATGTGTCGACTCTTTAGTAAACTTTATGCACTTTTAATTAAATTAAAAAGCCTCTTGTCTTTTTATATAAAATAGATAGATACTCTGACTGAATTCTTATAGGTGATTTAATTTCCTCTCATTTGAGCCATTGTGCGTATAGTCATGACTAGTACAAGCAACCCAGCTCCACCCAGAAGCACAGAAGCTTCCTGGGATCTTCACAGGCCTCAAGGAGCGACCTTACCGTTTCGAAGATTTCTAAATGCTGAAGGGCCATAGTTTCACATTCCAGGATTACGTGAGCCGCCGTTTCTTTGGCGTCTAAACAGCCTCGAGATAGAGAGCTGTCTGTGGCTCTTATTGTGTATAAATGTTTGTTTAATGGACAATGACCCGTTATTGTCCCTATTATTGTTTTAAGATTTTTTTATACTACTTAAAATGGCAAATAAACTGACGGCCCACCTGATGGAAAGTAGTAACCGTCGCCTATAGACATGAGCAGTACCATGGACATAACAGAGTATACTGTTTCGCCCATGATACCCCCATGCGTTGCCATTCCTGAGGACTCAGGTGTTATTCCTCTGTACCCAGTAAATTCACGCCATATCCCAACGTTGGCACGACCAATTTTTGATTGTCTGCAATCAGTAGCCTGTGTCCATCTTTGGTTTTGTATGTCAGCAGATCTTTGACGAATCCATGTTCAAAACTGCGAGAAAGGAAAAGGAAGAAGTGAATACGGGTCTAACACCCTCGTTCCTGAACCTCTTCTAGCTAGTTCGTCTGCGGCATCGTTACCATAAGATTCACTGTGCCCTCTTATCCACTGGAGGATAACTCGATTATTGTGAGATATCTTATCCAGTGCCCGGTGGCATTCGATTATTAATTTGTTATTTGTCTTGTTGTTTCGTAGTGCTTTTAGTACCGCTGTGCTATCAGAGAAGAATCTAATGCCAATACCATTTATTCCCAGCTTATGTACAGCTGCAGCAGCCTCGGTTATTGCTACACATTCGCATTGGACTATTGAGCTGTGTACACCAAGCGGTATGTATATGTTTATATTAAGGTCTAAAGAAAAGACTACGGCTCCTGAAGTCTTGGAGCCATCAGTGTCTATGCGTAATTCATGTACTCCAGATTGGTCCTTTGTCTCTTCTTTTATTTGTAGTCAATTCTATTTGTATTAAGTTAGGATATATCTTAATACATTGGATACCATATATACTAAACGCAAGCGAGCAAAGCCACGGAGAACGACTAACATTCAATATTGGAATATTTACTAGAAAATATTAAAAAATAATCAAATTTACAATATTTGTAATGTTAACATATATTAAAATATACATAAAAAGTATATTGTGTTGAACTATATTGCCATCCTATTGCCATTCCATAGGAATGGCATCGCATGGGGGGTATCATGGGCGAAACAGTATACTCTGTTATGTCAATGGCACTGCACATGTCTATAGGCGACGGTTACCACTTTCCATCAGGTGGACCGTCAGCTTGTTTGCCATTCTAAGTTGTATAAAAAAAAAATCCTAAAGGGAGATAACTGTAATGTATACTGAACCTAGTTTTAAACATCTAGTTCTTTTTTTTTAAACTTAAGTATATTTTTAACAATGTTACACATATACATACACGACGGGAATTCTATGAAGTTACTATGTTGCCATTTCCGACAATAGTTTCGACTACATCCGGAAATCTTTTTCAGGGACGCTTGCGTCACTGCATCTCGTCTCGTACGTAAGCCGTATTTTTTTAACGCTGTTTCCTGTTATTTTCAGTCTCTTAAGTTCATAAAATATATGCATATAGAGATCAATACTACCTTTAGAAACAATTAGAATTAATACTGAAATCGCCACTCATGACTAAGGGTTAAGAATGGTCCTAGAACTAGTCGAGGTTTTTCGACAAAATAACGGCAGTTAATTCATTAAAATTTATTTATTACTTACACAAACACTAGATTAGCATCCCACAAGTACAAAAATGCTGGTAATTCGCCATAGGCTTCGTTTATATAGTGGTAATCGCCTCCGCTCTGCGCCAATGTCGTACCTGTTTATGAAACAAAAAATATATAATTAATTTATAAATAATAAGAAATTTATCATAAAAATAATTAGATTTTTTTATGTATAGTGTATATTTAATAAATTTACATAATCTTAACTTTAAGTTCCATGCAGTATGTATAGTCAAAAGTCCTTTATTTTAATTTCAAATTTTTCTTTTTATATTCTTTATATTTCTTTTTTTTTTCCTTTTTTTTTATAACTCATTTCCTTGTCACTGAGCAGGATAAACAGTAGCCCAGTGTTTCCCAACCTTTTTTGTGCCATGCCCCATGCATGAACATTTCTAAATTTTTTATGCCCCCATACATAATTTTTTCCGACAAAGTTTACTTGACAACTCTCATTGCCAGTTGATATTTTGATAACTTCAAACGAAATCTACCTAACAAATATTTACAGCATTTTTTTTATTTACTTTTTTTGTAAAATTTGGCATGATATCCACTCCTATCATTGAATTTAAATGGCTCAGAGCAAGAGGGTTAAAATCGCTTCGAGTCAATTTTTTAATTGCCCCCCCCCCCTTAACTATCAAATTGCCCCCCTGTAGGATATGGGTCCCACATTGGGAAACACCGCAGTAGACTATGTCCTCCATCCCATATAATACTAATATGATAGTAATGTGTACATCTTCCATAGCGATTGATTAAGCCATGAACATGCTATAAAGTAACAAACAGATCCACTTTCACATTTATAATATTAAGTAATTGTTCATAGTATTTATAAGACAGCTTAGCCTTTGACCTAGAGCTCTACTATTAAACACCATTTTTTTTCATCCATTGCCTTTTTCTGTATATTGACCGAGCAATTCCTCTTAAGTCATAGACCTCTTTCTCCAGAACTCTCTTTTCCATCTCTTAGATATCCATTAATCAATTTATATGAGAATATTGACAAAAATAGTAACTCTTGGTAGAAAAATAAAATGTTATGTAATGTTATGTGGGATCAACGATTAATATTTTACCAGGGGTGAATATATAATGGGATGCTATACTGTTTAAATGATTTATTTTATGATGCAGAAGAAGAAAAAGAGATGCATATAAGAACAGATGCCTTTGGCATTGAATTCCCTTCACCTACTGTACCCCAGGAACTTTGAAAATAGAAATTTATGTAGTTAAAGTTATGCTTATTATACCTTGAAGATGAAATGAATGGGATCCTCTTTATGTTTGGCAAATAAATATATTACTAAGTTTTTCTTTAATATGTAATTATTGATAATTTTAATAAAATGTTGATAATAATGGTAATACTAAGGAGACGGTCCAAATAACAGTGCCACAATTGACAATGTCATTAGCAGATAAAATTTAAATAGTAAAATATATAGTGAAAGGAGCGAAAGTGATTCAAAACTGTGCTGAATACTTTTGCATGTCATTAGAGGATTTTTATATAACATACTTATATAAGAGTTTGGTATATTTACATAGACTATAAACTAACTATATATATTGTCTTCAATTTCTAATGTAAATAAAACATTATAGTGTATATATATTTGCAGTCAGAAATGCAGACTAAAATAGTTATCTTCAATTTTTTCTACTGTAAGTGGTGGATAGATGTACAAACCATAGCAAAATATTAATGGTATAGTCAGCCATTAACATTTTGCAACTAACGATTTTGCATTTTAACGATTAGTTCATCATGGACATAAACCATAAATGCAATGTGCATTTATGGTTTATGTCCATGATGAACTACTCGTTAAAATCAAATTTATGAAAAACCAACTTTTAAAACTACCTTTCCTCTGACTACCCTCCTTGATTAATTCCAATTAATTTCAATGACAGTTAATGACATCGATGTCATTATTCACATCAACTGTACTAATAGATGGATATCACTGACATTTCGGGGTATTCTACGATGCCCAGGGTACTGTTTATATCTACCCCATAACAAATATCACTTTTGATCATGTAAGTTGACAGCTTGTTGGCTATTCAGAGTTACATAAAAAAAAATATGGAAATAACACCTCCTTTGTTTTTATAAACACCTGAATCAGGTTTAATGAAATTCAGTATGTAGATAAGTAACTGAAATGAAAAAATAAAGAATTTCTGTGCATTGTAGTACTGCAACTGGCACTTTGTAAAATTTGTTAAATTATTAATTATATATATATATATATATATATATATATATATATATATATATATATATATATATATATATATATATATATATATATATATATATATTATTATTTTACTATCACCTACATTATGCTATAATGCAGTATAAGTAGTAAAGGTATTCACTAACCATAATTCTAAGTAAACCAATTTTCGAGTACAGGGATAGACTAGTCATGTGCATCATATCTACTATATATTTACTTTTAAAACAGAATAATTAAATTACTTACATATTTACAAATGTAGGTATGTTATTAATTTAAAAACTTACTTAAATATTGCGTAATTACTGATTTAAAACAAAAAAAGTGTAAGGTAGGCAGTTGTTTTAAAACCAGCCAGTCTAGTTTTTAAAAATAGGGAGAGATAAATTATATTTTGTTGCGTACATAATCTGAGTATTTTACTTACCTAATTCAGCGTAAGATAATGCTCCAAGAGTAGCCAGGATACCACATACCGCCCACACCGACAGTGCTCCCCAAACCGAACCAGTTTTTTCTATAACTTCCTTAGGCGAAATAAAAATACCGCTACCGAATATTATGCCTAAAATTATAGCCACACCCTCTAACAAACCTAGCTGTTTACGCATTTTCACCCTTTCTTCACCCATTTTCAAAATATATTAAAAAGGCTTTTAAACTTTTGACTAAATACTAAAAATAATTACGAGCGTGCTATGATAACGTACAGATAAAACTTTCTGATCATAGGATATTTTACATTTTAAATTAACACTAAGTAAACGTATAAATTACTAATCGTGAAAATATTAAAAGATTCACATAAAAAAAAGAAAATGTTATTTCGACAAACACCACAGTACAATACAAATAGAAGGTGCACTCTTTCCAAGCTAGAGCTTTTCTTTCTTGGAATTTTTTTCGCGCTATTAGATCTGTAGGGACGTAACGCCATCACCAACTAAGCATTCATCGATTGTGATTTAATAAAATCGAAGAATTTAATATTTTTGATATTTTATATTCATTTTTTTATGCACTATTATTTTAATTTTATATTATACTCTTTTGATAATGTACCATTGAATTGAATAGAACAGTATAAAAATATAAAAACTTATCATTTTCAAAAGTAGCTTTTCCTGTGTAATAATTGAAAAAAGACTAAGCAAATTGAATTAATACCAGTTTTAAATATTAACGTTCTTATTTTTATTTTGTACATCAGATATATTTTAACATTCATAGGTAATCGAATAATCTAATAAATCTATTCCTATCTCATTTGTATCGAGTCTTAGGCCTTACATATATAAAGCAAATATTGACTTTTTTGTTAAAAGCTTATTGTTGTATAAATTTATATAATTTTAGTAAATAACGTTCAAGGACTTTTCAATTTCTGACACTAATATGTAAAAAATATTTACACCTAAATAAAAACGATCCACTTTTACAAATTTACGACTACCTGAACAGTAACACGATTTATATAAATAAGCGTAACATGTCAAGTAAAATGTCCAATATTTATCTATATTAAATTATAATTACAGTAACTAGTTAAAATCATCGTTAATCTCATTTTATTACTTAATTTTTAAATTATAATACATTTCTTTATTGAAATAGCTTGAAAAATGGTATAATCAGAAAAGTAGCAAACCAGATGTAGATAACAAAATTATTTAGAAAAACCGACCAAAATTACACCATTTTATTCATACTTCTGTTTAATCCTTATCCAAATAAATCATATTGTTTTCAAAACTGTTTGAATTTATGTAGATCATTTTTTTAATTTTTTAAATCGTAGATATATTATAGCTAGCTAACCAGGCATTGTAGCGGTGCGGGAGAGGGGCAGGTAGGGGCGGGCACATTTATAAAATGTTGTAAAAATATCCACCCGTGCGAAGCCGGAATAGGCTCCTAGTAACTTATAAATAGAAAACTAAAAAATAATGAAAATATTAGTTATAATAATGAGTATCTAAATTTTTTTGTTAATTCTTTATTATAATATATTTAAAATAATTTTGGACTAATTTCTGGGTCCGGATCTGGATAATATTGAAGCAAATCAGCAACTGGTGCTTCTTGATCTTCATAAAACTCACACGCTAGAAGATATTCTCGCTTAGAATAATCGTCTCCTTTGCAGAACATTTCACCTGTATTAAAATATAGATAGATAGAGATATAGATGTACTGGACCGCATTGTATTGGATGGTTAGCATACCCACCATCATGCGGGCCGTATGCTTGTTTGCTACCTCAGTGGTAAAAAAAAAATTGTCTACGTGCCCAATTTTAACCGATAAGAGCATTTATTGATTTTAACGACAATTAACATTCGTTATGCAAAGAAAAACAGAAGATAGTAAGATTTTCAAATAACGTTGAACATTTTATTTAGGTCATATATATTACATCATAATGACGATGTTCCTGATATTGTAGATTTTAGTTTAAAAATAACTAAAATCTGGGCTCGTTTTGATATAAAACTAACAATCCTTGTGCGCGTTATATATATATATATATATATATATATATATATATATATATATATATATATATATATATATATATATATATATAACATTCACAGCGAAAACTTATATTACTTAAAAGATCCCAAAATTTATCGTATAACTGCATACCTTCGATATCCATAATATGAACTGGGCTTTTTGATTCCAAAGCCCCCACACAATAATGTTCTTCTGTAAGATCGGGATGCCAATACATGATCGCATCACGGCAAGAAGTACCAGCGATGGGCAACAATATTCTATCCTAGAAAATAAAGTATTATTTTCTTTTGTGAGTACACAGCATAATCTAGTCCTAAACTAGAGTATATACAATACTGCTGTGATATATAATAATATGTATGATAATAGATAACTAACATAATATACTCAGATATTTTTTTTAAATCAAGCATACCTAGAAAATTAATATATAATACAAACAGAAATATTTATGAATAATAATAATAATTTGTGTGCTTGAAATGTGGTATGTAGGTACAATAGGTCCTAAATAATGGTAGTGCTAGACATTTTGTTTTATATAAAGGTATATGTACAAAATTTTGCCTTTGTACATAATAGTAATTTTCAAGACGTGATTTTTAATACCATTAATAATTATATTTCATTATTAAGGACATAACCTCTTTTATTCATTATACAAATGCAACAAGAAATAAATAAATTTATGTTACAATCTCATTAATATTTTCTTTTACTTTGTACATACCAATATAATCATTAGTCATTTTTCTTAATTCTTCTACTTAGACCTTAAGTGATTGGCGGTGATTATTAATTTTTAATGAATGTAACTTACCTTACATATTATTTTGTTATTTACAATAGGTTCTTTGACTTCACCGGTGCAAAAGAATTTTCTCTTTTTTCTCATAATTACTGTACTAACTTCCAAAACTGTCTTGATACTATTTCCTAATAAGATAAGTATATTTTTAAATAATTGCATTACATTTACAAATCGATTATTCAACAATAAATATATATTTTCGTGCTATCTTAAAAATAGGTAATATTATTTTTGAATCACTATATATTTATAGCTTTTAATTAACATTCTAAAGACAAAAATGAGCGATCGCAATATGTCTATTACCTTTTTCTCCATTTATTGCTTCGAGCTCTCGCAATCCTCTTGCTTGGGTTTCTCTACTATTTTGTTGTTTCATATAATTAGATAATCTATTCATAGCCTCGACAAATTCGTCAATAGGACCTATAATGTTTTATTTTTTAAAGTACCATAGATGTACATATTAAATTAAAGGAATCTCTAAAAATGAGAATTTTCTTAGAATTTTCTGGTTTTAGATAAAAAAATAAAATAAAGGTGAAACAATTATTTACCTGTACCAAAACTTCCACCGTCTAAATAATTTAGAAATTGATAAAATCTTAATGCCTCATCAGATTCAATTTCATCCATTACAGGTCTCTGTATCAAATATATTATTTTATTAAATAGTATTTAATGTTATTTATTTAAATCTATATAAAAAATATAAAAATAAATTAAAGTAGGTGCTACAACTTACAAATTTGCCACTCCAAGCTCCTACATCAGAATAGAGAGAATTCACTCTACTTGGCATCCAGTCCAGCGACGAACGAGCTACTAAAACAGGATGCTGCAAGTAGAAATGGCAGTTTCATATAACTTGTATTACATTACAACAACAAATATTTCAGATATTGTTTATCACATATGGTCTATTTTTTTCATTTGTCTGACTCACTATCAATATTATAAATGTGGATAATATTTTTTTACATTATTTGTTTATATTGCCGAACTTACTAATGACGCCATCTTTGAGACAACATATTCAACCATTAAAACCAGAATCAAATAATTGGTTAACCAAGACCCCATTTTTACAACTACGTAGTTGAAAAGCTAATTTCTCATAGCTCATACAGAGTTACAGTTTATCAAGAACTGTAGTATATGCTGAAGTTTTAATTGGTATGTGTGCAGTTTTATGACTTCAATTAAATAGTAATATTTTTAAGCTATAAAATATTAATTAATAGCTGTATGTAAAATGTATTTTATTTAATATATTGTTTAAATTTATTTTTAAATTCATGATTTTTTTTTTGTAAATTTATACACATAGGTATCAAAATTTGTCTGTCTTATTTGGATACACATATCCATTTGATACGATTTTTAATAATAAATATTTTAAAAGTTCGAGATACTTCAAATTCTCTTTATGACTTCGCTTAGCGCAGCTAATGTAAAACACATAGATGTAGTACCACAATCCATAACTGAAAAGGAAGGCACACCAAAATGTCACCAGTGTGGTGCTGCTTTAGACACGGTGCAGCATGCGCTTCAATATTGTTCACAATAGACGCTGGTAAGACAATAATACATACCGATCGTGGATATTGATCTTGCGCTTCTTACCTCATAGAGAGAATAGTCTGGGACGAAAAGTTATGGAAGACAGTGTTTCCTAATTGCGAACATATAATGTCGCGTAAGAAGACTGACGAGAAGGAACGAGAATTTCGAAGGAACGAATCTTCGGATAGGACCAGCGACAGACACTTTCGCTGGCCCTGTCTGAAGTAGGTGTAGCAGGTGATGCAAAAAAAAAAACCGCGGCTAACCGACGGAATTTTTGCGCAGGTTATTGGAGTGTTCAACATCACAAAAATAAGTTTCAGTGTCCACCACAATCCATATACACACCACCACATTGTAAAGTATTTTTTCTGACGAAAAATATTAATTTTGTCGTGGACTTCATGGAATAGACAGTAACGTCCGTAGTAGATCTTATACGTGATCGCTTACAAGAACAAAGTTCTTGTGCATTCGTGCCTAATATTTAAGTGCTATTATTTATATATGAGTGTGACTTACACTTCAATCAAAATAATATATATCTATAATTATTTCCTATTTGCTGAATCGTGTGAGGTGGCATATAGTATCCTATGTATAATAAATTGCATTCAAGTCGATATAACCATTTGAGCGTCATTTAGTAATAAACACCTAAATATCTTTATATACATTTACATTAATTATAATATTAATAGTATCTAAGATAAGCCGACGGCCAGTCGTAAAACTAGGAGCTGAAATATTGAATAATTTTAATAAAGTCAGATTAATCCGAACTATATTCATTCATATTAAATAATATTGATAAATCGTTTTAAATAGTATTTAAATTTGACAAAAATAATTTCACAAGCAAACAATGTATAGAAAAGACTAAGAATTCCCTAAGAAAAAAAAAATGTTTATTAGGGAACCTTAGCTTAATTTACAGTTTTCTTTATTCGATCGATAATAACTATATTAGTCACAAAGAGATTGTGTCGCAGCTATTAACGACTGATTTATAATACAAAATGTATATAATAATAACGTAGGAGAAAATTAACAAAAATAAAATATTAAATGGGTTTTGTATATGTGCGCGTGTGTGAGTGTATGTGTGCCTATGACTGTGTTTGTGTGCACGTGTGCACATATGTGTGTGTGTGTATGTGTGTGAACGTGCGTGCGTGCATGTGAATGTATATAAAATTTTGATCAATTACTCGATATCATTATATTCAAGAGTCATTAGCCAATTAATCAATTTCATTTCATAATCACGTAATGAAATTGAATAGTTTATTAATAACATATTTATTTCATTATATAACTTGCTACTCATGTAATTATAATAACGGTTCATTTGATTTTTGTGTTTTATTAGAAGCTCTCCGTACAGTTATACCATAAACAATAATGAATTTTATAAGTGCAAAATAAGCAGTTTTCAAAATTTTAAAATCAGCGCCATTCCTCAATTTATTAAAAAGAATAAATTAGCTTCTTTTTACGTGTGATCACAAATTCAACGTGTCTATTCCAAGATATTATACTATCTACAATTATTCCAAGGTATTTGATATTGTCTTTACGTGATATAGAGAGGCAATGACAATCAGAGTTGACTCTAGTATTACATTGGTGTGCTAATATTTTTAAAAGTGTATCTGGTTGAGAGAGTTTATTGGATTTCGATTGTGCGTTGATTGGCTATATCAACGCACAGCCGAAATAGCTGATTATATAACCTGCAGATATTTGTAGATAGGTTTTCTGTAATGGTAATAAATAGTAAGAAAGAAATTTTGTATACATAACCCCTAACTGGGTAAAACTTGCAAACTCCATGCACACGAACTCGCGAGCAAAAGCTAATTTACTATAATATCTTGTTTTAATCTACCGATAAATGTTGGTATATATTGTAATGTGAGCATGAGTGTACAATAATTGGACATGTGAGCAGATTCTACGGATGAAGTTGTAGGAAATAAATAATATATACTAGATAATTTTACTGTATGTCAAGTTAAGTACTTTTCAAATACCTTAATGTGTATTTAAGAGTATATTTGGAATATTTCCAATGATTAATAACTTATTTTATAAAATTATTATCACAATTAGTCTACTTTCTTATGTATCTTCTATTTAACGGAACCTGTTTAGCATTTTAATTTTTAATTACGTACTATTATGAATTCTTTTAAAATCGATCGATTTACAATGTCACGTAGTACACAACCCTATTGTGTAAGCTTAATTTTCATTGGACGCATGTGACAGCCATTAAATTGTCATTTTTTAACAGTACGTGCCTTGTCTATTAACTCCATTTGCCGCCATTTTTTCATTAATAACACAACACACATTTTTTTCTTTATTCGATATTTTTATAAATGTTTTTATTTTCCAGTTTTATTGATTTTAGCATTTCGCCAAAATGCATGTTCGCGTGAGAATGTTAGGTAAACCTGATACCATAGTGGCTGTTGAATCAAGACTGACTAAGATAGACGGGTTCCGTAAAGTTATAAAAGAAAAATTTGGCGTTCTTCCGAAATTACAACGTCTCCTTTACGGCGGAAAGTTGGTAAGTGCTCTTTTGTATACCATAAATAGTAGTATGATAGTGTATACTGTAAATAGTAAAATTTTTTCTCTAAATACAGCTTTTTTTTTTTTTAGAAATACCTACCTACTTAAGTGTTTACAAATTTATGTAATGAACGCTAGTTTTTACCCATTATGATGATGCTCATGATGATTTCACGTGACTTGCACTTATTCTTGCGTTTAATATTTTTTTTTATGGGTGAAAATGGAATGGTAACCCCGCCTGCGCTAACGGGATACGCTAGCGGAGCACCAGTGAAGGGTGATTGATGAGAATGAAAACAGGCCAGTTAGCCCATCATGATGAATTCATCAGGAATTAACCATGATAGTTTCCAGGGGGAACCGCGAGGAGGTCGACCTAGTTGGGTATATTGCTAGCAATGGGATTCTTAGTCTCCATTACTAACAATCCCTTTCCCCCCTGCGTTTAATATTATTAGCTTATAACTGATGTACCATATACCATATGGGTTGTCGGGCTGTGATTCGGGATTGATACTTCATCAGCATCATCGTTTTACCCATTATCCTTCCACTACTGGACATATGCCTCCCCCATAGACTGCTATAAAAAACGGCCCTAAACCACCTGCATTCACTGACTCCCTACAGCACATTTTAGGTCGTCCCTCCATCTAGTGAGGAGTCATCCCACACTGTGTTTACCTGTAGCTGGTCGCCACTTAAGAACCTTTCTTCCCCATCAGTTGTCGGTTCTTCGAGCTATGTGACCAGCCCATTGCCATCTTAGCTTGCTTATTCTTCATGCTATTTAGGTTATTTTAGTTCTTTTGCGGATATCCTCATTTCAGATTCTATCACGCAAAGAGATTCCGAGCATAGCCCCCTCCATAACCCGCTGAGTAACTTGTAGCTTTTGCATATGAGCAATCATGTAGGACCATGTTTCGGTTCCATAAGTCATCGGTGGCAACACATACTGGTTAAAGACCTTTGTCTTCAAATTCTTATTTTGGATGAAAAGATGTAGTAATTTCCCAAATGCTGCCCAGTCACCAGATATGGTGGCAGATTCTACTCTTTGGTCTTCTGTATAATCTGCCGTAGTGTATGTATGTGGTTTATGGGGCTAAAGTCTTTTCGGAAGCCAGCTTGTTTGGGTGGCTGGAAGTCGTCGAGTCTATGCACAAGATAATTGGTCTGGACACCCGAAAACAGTATGTAGATGCGATTCAGATGGGATATCGGTCTATAGTTATTTCGGGATTCATACTTGTTTTGGCAAAAATATTCAATATATATATAGTATTATTTTTAAATGAATCCCAGTTTATAGTGATCATTAAACCCTATTTTGAAACTGGTTATAAAATAAAATTTGTAGAAAAAAAATTAACCTTTACATATCTCTTCATCCACTTTACATATTAATATTATTTAATTAGATAAATATATTTTTAGCTAGAAAATGGTTACACATTCCATGACTACAACATTAAAATTAATGATGTTATACAACTTATGGTGCGAACCCAGCCGCTGAACCTAAACAACACAAAAAATGCCAAAAAGGAGAATACCAATGAAGAACAAAACACAGTGGATTATAAAGGTTTGCCTTCATTTGATGTAATGTTCAAATAAAACAGAATTAATCTGTAAATGTATTTTGTGTAAACCAGTGTTTTTCAAAGTGTGGTTTGTGACCCCTTGTCAGGGTTTCCAAGCCTCAACACGCAAAGACATCGAAGCAGTAAAAAAAAAGTTTTGTAAAATAATCGATGTTTTTTTCAGATACCTTCAATATGTATTATTTATTTGTTTTATTTAATCCATACCTAACTAAGAATATAAATAATTGTACTATAATAAAATACATATAGGTTCCGAACTGCGGAGGGTAGAGGGTCGCAAGATATTTTTACATACTAAGGGGGTCGCGTTTTGGAAAGATTGGAAAACACTGGAGTAAACCAACCAATATAACCTTTTCGTAGCTGGACCCAAAATAATTGGAACTCATCTTTCTGCTATGCAGAGAGTGTTACCATTTACATAAGATATTTTACATATGGTGTTGTCGGAACTTGGTCCCATCTGGTCTTGATTGTGCTTATGAATATGTATCAAACCAAATTAAAGTTAGGTTGTAAAACTTACATTTATGTGTATTGAACATAGCAATGGGTGCCAATGTGACATTAGGTGAGCCTACTGCTAACCTTTAATCACATAAGTTTGGTTGGTTATTAATATTTTCTATTGTTAGAGCTACAATCAAAATTTCAAACTAATATAAAGTATTTTTTTTATGGGTGGAAATGGAATGGTAACCCCACCTGCACTATGGATATACAGTAGCGAGGCACCTGTGATAGATGATAGGTGACGATGAAGGCAGCTCCGTTGGCCCATCTGAAGAGTTTTACAAGAATTAACCACAATGGTTTCCAGGGGGAACCATGTGGAGGTCGACCTGATGCTGTTATAAATGGAGCTTTTAGAACCCATTACTTTTCCCCCTTTACCCCCAATATAAAGTATTTAGGATTGGATAGATTTCTACTATAATCTTTGTCATCAAAATATTTTATATATATAAAATAAACATTTCTTCCTTGATCTTCATAGATGCTGAGAGTGTACTGTATGAAATAGGGGATTTAGTTGATATAAGAGATCAAGAACATGGTGTTTGGTTTGAAGCTAAAATAGTGGGGATAGTTCACGATCCTAATGCATCCGCTACCGATATTGAGGCACAACAGTCCAACAATATTACAGAGACAAAGATTGATAAAGAAAATGACTCGGAAAATAAACCTCCAAGTGTTCGCACTACTGCTAATAGCTCTAAGTCCAAGGAGAAAGGTATAATTAAATATTTAACTAAATCTTCAAAAAGTGTTAAGAAAAAAACTGTCAAATTTGCTGACCAGTGCAGGACAACAGATGTAGGATTGTTGTACAAAGTTCAACTGGATGCAGAGTAAGTTTTACATTAAATATATTTATAATTGATTTAAATGATTTCCATATATGTAAATGATTTTGATAGTTAAAGTATCACAATATTTGAAAATTTGTTGGCTCGTAACCTTGGCTTTATAACCATATAAAAAATTTAATGAAAATATTGTCTCTAAAGAGGATTGTAATTTTAAACTAGTAAATAATGTGAGTGGGACATCATATTAAAATTTGAGCTCTTTTTAATTCATTCATATTGGAAAAGGACTTAAATGTTGAACATAGTACTTTTCAACCGACTTAAAAAGAGGGAGGTTTTCAATTTGATTGTAGTTGTTTGCTTTTGTTTTATATTTAACTCAAAACTTTGTCATAGTAAACCAATTTGGAATTTTTTTTTATCCGAAAAGATAAGTTTGATTACATAGAAATTTTATCCAAATGGGCTCAGCAGTTTAGTTTTAAAATAAAAATAACTGGTGCTGCCAAAATTTAAGTTAGCTTTTTTTTATACAACTTATAATGACAAACAAGCTGACTGCCCACCTGATGGAAAGTGGTAACCGTCGCCTATAGATATGAGCAGTACCATGGACATAACAGAGTATACTATTTTGCCCATGATACCATACCCATATCCATGCGTTACCATTCTGTACGCTGTAAATTCACGCCATATCCCACCCTTCAAACTGAAACAGCCATGCAAACAACTGCTTTTCGGTTGAAATACGAATGGGACAGATGTACCCAAGCAAACAACTTTTGTACAGTCTCCCTCTGGTAATTCAACTCAACACCGTGAACCATAAATAAGCTGATACCAAAGGGCAAGTAAGAGTTATTGGTACATAGTATGTGTCATTGTAGTGAAATGAAACAAAAATCCATAATTCTAATATTAATATTTTTATTTCAGAGAGGAGGATTCAAACCAGTATATTACGTTAAAAAACATTAGACCACGTGCACGCAATGTGATCAATCGACAAGATTTGAAAGTGGGCCAAAAAGTTATGTTGAACTATAACCTAGAGGAACCCCAAGAAAAGGGATATTGGTATGTCAGTTTGTTCTTTTAAGACTTTTTATTATCTTTTTTTACCATTACTCTATTTGTAAAACAAACATTAATATTGTCAATAAACTTGACCTTCTGTCAAGAGTTTTTTTGTCACATAGGTGGCAAGCTGCAGTGACCGTTTACCACCAGATGGGTTGTATCTGTCGATGGTAAATGGTCATTGTAGCCTATGGATGCCTGAAACACTAGAGGTGTCACATGTGTGTTGCATTGCATATATATGTTAAATACAACATATACATACCAAATAAAATGTATGTATTATATAAAAAAAAAACAGGAATGTTGTACAATTTTATATGTTAATTAATAAATGTTTTGTAATCAACAGGTACGATTTTAAAATTGAAGAAATAAAAGAAGCACGCAGGAGCTATAGTCTCGTAGGAACAATATATCTGGGCTCCGAAGCAATCCCTCAAAACAACACTGAAGTCAGGATTTCGGACAAAATATTTGCAATAGAAGAAGTCATTCCATTAGCTGAGAGAACTGAAGAATATAAGAAAATGATGGTGACACAGCCTGAAAAAAGTTAGTACTTATTTCTTAGTTATTTTTACAGTGTGACACAAATTTTTACTGGAACTATGTATTAAAATTTTTTGGATACATGTCTAATTGCCCTGTCTGCCCTGGCATAGAATGGGCCACCCCTTTCTTTCCCGTGGGTGTCGTGACGATCAAGAGAGGGCGAGGGATGGGAAGCAGCATCCATTTTAAAACATCTTTGCCACAACACATAATAACGCTTGCCAAGCGTGGCAAGTACTGGCAAAACTCTTTTTTTTTTATGGGGAAGACGTATGTTCAGCAGTGGACAGTTAACAACTGTAATAATTATAATAAAATGTTTTTTTACTCTAGGATCGCGACCCTTAAATTGTCTCACATGTCGTGATAATGAATATTCTCTATGCAAGGACTGCGGCTGCTGTGTGTGTTCAGGGAAGGACTTTCCAGATAAAGTGAGTAATTTTTATGTGCTACCATACTACCATCACATCCTGTATATTACCTTTACCTGAATCACATCCTAGATATTTTATACAAAAATGCCATGATGAATGGCTGTATCTATTGCATTAATAAATGACGCTTATATACTCACTAATGTATATATATATATAAACAAGCGATTTGCAACATGAGCAGTCCCATGGACATAACAGAGTATACTGTTTCACCCATGATACCCCCCATGCGTTATCATTCCTGAGGACTCAGGTGTAATTCCTCTATACCCTGTAAATTCATACCATATCCCACCCTTCAAACTGAAACACAGCCATGCAAACAACTGCTTGAGGGGAAAGGGATTGTTCGTAATGGGGCCTAACACCTTAATTGCTATCAATGTACCTGAAACAGTGGGAACACGTGGTGAACACGGGGAACAGTGTGGAGGTCGACCTCCACACTGTTCCCTGTGGAAACCATTGTAGTTTCTCGTGGAATTCTTCACGATGGGCTAACTGACCTGCTCTCTTCCACATCTGTCACCTCTCACTAATGCTCTGCCAGTGTATACCGATAGCGCATTCAGAGTTACCATTCCACTTTTACCCATTAGAAAAAACTGCTTCACGGTTGAAGCATGAAGAATGGGGTAGAGGATTTGAAATGTTTGATTTTTACAGATAGTCTTATGTGATGAATGCAACAACGGGTACCACATGATTTGCCTGACGCCGCCACTGCTCGAACTGCCCGAGGAGGACTGGTACTGCCCGTCGTGCAAACGGGACACCACCGAAGTGGTCGCGCCTGGCGCTGCTAAGCAGGCCAAGAAGAGGAAGGCTTCCAGCAGCACCAGGGACTGGGGCAGAGGCATGGCTTGTGTTGGTGAGTTCAATCGTTATTGTTAAGTTTTGGAATCCATTTTGGAATCTATTTATTTATTTAAAGGATCACCAACATCATATTGCATTATGACACATATAACAAACATTAAATACAATACAATATCTATGCACATGTCTATTAAAGGTATTCACAGCGTTTGCTTTAACATAGATAGATAGATAGATAGATAGATAGATAGATAGACAATTTATTTGCATTACTTACAGCACACAAATTACAATAAAAAAAAAAAAAAAACATACACGTAATACACAGCAAAAGAGACAAAAGAATAAAAATAAAAAAAGCACAAATAAAAAAACAAAAATACAAAAACAAAATACATAATCTAACAATCTCCTTTGTTAACATTCCTTCATGCGTGTGCCATAGTAACACAAAATGGTCACAGCTCAGTTTATTGCTTTGCCCTTAAAAGAGCAAAACACTGATATTCTGCTGTGGCCAAGAGTCATAATTATACAGTATGAAATAAAGTAAACAATTCTTGGGGAATTAAATAATACTAGACTAGAAATATTTTAAAAGTTGTGTTATTAGTTATGGAAGTGTACATGTAACCAGTGTTGTAATATATATATATATATATATATATATATATATATATATATATATATATATATATATATATATATATATATATATATATATATATATATATATATATATATTTTTGCTTTGTGAGTAATATTAATAAATATGATTGTAAGCGAATTATAATATATATGTATATTGTTGTTTTTGAATTGAATTAGTGTTCTATGATAATTTTCCTTTTAACCATTTCTCTGTTACTCTTTGCTTATACAAAAACTGCGAATTCTGTATTTTTCTCTTATGTAAAAGTTGTTTGCTATTCGAATTTATATATATTCTTTATTGCACTAAAATATACAGTAACAACAATAAATTAACAATGTTAGCAGAGGCGAACTTATCTCTAAAATATATTTCTTCCAGTCAAAAAACGATAGTTCACGATGGTTTCCAGGGGGAACCACGTGGACGTCGACCTAATAGGGCATATTGCTAGCAGTGTGGCTGTCAAACTCCATTGCTAACAATAGCTTTCCCCCCTAGTAGTGGATGGTTAACGGCTGATATGATGATGATGGTGCTAATTTTTTTTTTATTTATTTATTTATGTAGGCTTGATTTATATTCTAAGTTGCGAAAGTCAGTTTTGTATACACCAATTATATTTAAAACTAGCAATCCGATCCGGCCTTGCATGAATGGACAGAATTTTCGAAAATCAATACATATAACAGAAAAAAAGTTCAACTGATCAGGTTATTTTATAGCATTTTATATGTGATTCTTTAGATTGATATAACTTTTTTTTTTTTATTTAAGAACCGATTGATATAAGACAAACACTATATGTTAAGTGGAGCAAACTGCAATGCAATAGCGAATACTGTATTGAAATCTGTTAAGTCGTTTCTGAGATTAGCATGCACAAACCTACAGATAAAAATTCTAAAAATAATTGTTTTGGGTTCTATTGCCTTCATAAAGTCCTCCTATAATAGTTTTTCTTATATATCTTTCATTTATAGACGGCGACGAATTATTATATATATATATATATATATATATATATATATATATATATATATATATATATTGAGTGATGAAAAATGAATATTATATTTTAGGTAAAACGAAGACTTGCACGATGCCTGCTAACCATTTTGGACCCATCCCAGGCGTTGATGTGGGCATGTGCTGGAGATTTAGAATACAGGTATGGTATGATTCATTCTAGGGGAATAACAAGGTATTTTTTTATTGATGGGTGAAAATGGTATGGTAACCCTGCCTGCGCTAACGGGATACGCCGGCGAAGCACCAGTGAAGGGTGATAGATGAGAATGTAAGCAGGCTAACGCCTATCATGGTGAATTCATCAGGAATTAACCATGATAGTTTCCAGGGGGAACCGTGAGGAGGTTGACCTGGTTTGGTATATTGCTAGCAATGGGATTCTCAGTCACCCGTTACTAACAATCCCTTTCCCCCTTGAGGAATTAACAAGGTATTAGGGTACCATAGACAATGTATTCTGTAATGGCCAAAGTGCTTTTCATGTCTATAGGCCAGTGTTTATCTTATGTTAAAAGTTATTTCAAATACTAACTCTTCAAACATCGAACTTGTTCAAATACCATTGTTTTTTTTTTTCTTTTCTAATAAACTGAATCGAATTGTTGCGAAAATTAAAAACATTTTAGTATCGAATACAATTTTTTTTTAAAGAATGTTTTTAGTACTACAATAAATATATAAATGAGGCAGACAGAGAGAACTGTGTGTATTGGCGTATTTCAAATTATTTTCCAAAAGGGACCTGGCCCCTTAAAAAGGAAGTAAATTTACACTCAGACATGTCTTTGAGTTTTTCTTGAATTCTGTGGTGGCCATCAGATAGTTGTAAGGTGGAGTACGTCCTACCCGTCAGCCTTTAAATAATCTTATGATCAAGTGCCGAAGGCTGCTTCATACACTTTTCGATGTCAAAAATTTGCCGATTTCAAAAATTCTTACACCATTAAAAAGCTACATTCACCTTGGTTAACATAAACTATATTTATTGCTGTAAAGGATTATAAGTCCTTACTAAAACTTTAGTAACGTAACTCAAGGTGTAAAAAAAAAATATCTTTCGTCGCGTGCGCTGCGGAAACTATTGGTGATAGAACAAAACTGTGTTTTACAATATTGAAGAAAATATCAATAACTATAAAAAACTTCTCAATACTATATGTCCAACTATTATCGTTATGTCACAATGACCACTTTTTAAAATGTTGTAAAAATGTCCACCCGTGCGAAGCCGGGACGGGTCGCTAGTATTGTTATAATTTAAATATTTATTCCATAAAATATATCCCAAGTTCAATCGTGGACAAACCAGTTGTTTTGATTAAAAACCCAATCTACTGAACCGATTTTGATAAATTTTTTATTAGACTAATCGTTCAGTGACAATAAAAAAATCCAAATCGATTTATTAATGATGGAGTTATGAGGTAACAAACAAAAATATATTAAAGAAAATACTTTTACTACTATAATAAATATATTAATGAAATTTATATGTATATAAAATTTATTACAGCTCTCAGAGACTGGGGTGCATCGACCTCCCGTGTCTGGTATTCACGGACGTGACGTAGAGGGCGCTTATAGTATAGTACTGTCAGGTTAGTACAGTGTTGTCATCACAAATGTAATTAGATTCTTTAAATATGCATAGAGTAGAATATAAAATATTGCCAGAAAAATATAGTATATTTATATGTAAGAAGTGTCTCAGACAAGAGGAAAGTGTTTTAGCTGATTCAGTGAATGTCCCAGCGTTAGTATTCAGCCAGTACATAATTTAACATAATTTCTTTAGTCTTTGCTAATTTAATATTCTTGTTTACATTTGAAGAGGATTCTTTTTTAAATGTACCTTACTGTAGCATAAAATCCTAGTAAAATGTGCTAACAGTGATACTTTCTAAAAGGTGGTTATGAAGACGACGTAGACAATGGGAACGAATTCACGTACACCGGGAGCGGAGGCCGAGACCTGTCCGGCAACAAACGGACAGCCGAGCAGTCCTCCGACCAAACTCTCACCAGGGAGAATAAGTGAGTTTTTTTTTTTAAAGCTGCATAGCTGTGTTCTGTTTTCTGGCAAAACCCTTCAGTGGGATGTGTATGTTTAACAGTGGATAATTATATAATTTAATAGTGGATAATAAAGTCGACTGCTTGGGTACCTCTGTCTCATTCGTGTTTCAACCGTAAAGCAGTTGTGTTTGCATGGCTGTGTTTCGGTTTGAAGGGTGGGATATGGTGTGAATTTACAGGGTACAGAGGAATAACACCTGAGTCCTCAGGAATGGTAACGCATGGGGGGCATCATGGACGAAACAGTATACTCTGTTATGTCCACGGTACTGCTCATGTCTATAGGCGACGGTTACTACTTTTCATCAGGTGGGCCGTCAGCTTGTTTGCCATTATAAGTTGTATAAAAAAAATTTGATAGTCACTTAAACAAATGTGATGAAGTAAGACGGTTTTTATTGATTTATAATAAATATTATAAATAAATGTGAAGCTTTGAAAGATGTTTATAGTTGGATCACGCTTAAATGGTTGAAAAGATGATGAAGAATGATGAAATATTGTACATAAGTATGTTATAATCTAACTTAATAACCGTGTGGTCCCGGCATAGAATAGGCCATCCGTTCTTTTCCCGTGGGTGTCGTAAGAGGCGACTAAACGATGTGGTCGAGGAATGGTCGGGGGATGGGCGACAGGGCCCCTCTTTTATGTGCATTTTGTGTTTATTTTATGATTATAATTAATAAGTTACATCATGTAATGTAAGTTTTTGTTGTGTAGAATTATAGATACTTGTATCTCTATTTTAAATGTTTGAAGGAGTGTATATTACTCGCCAAACGATTTATGGCCGATTGTAAATTCTAGATTTACGTACACTGGAATTTATTATATTTGTAATCACTTATGATAAATAAAGAACTTTTGAAAACAAAACAAGTGCCCCTCTTATATAACATAACCAAAACCTAACTATGGTTGCCGATCCGCCTGCCAAGTGTGGCAACTACTTGTAACACCTCCTCAAGGGGGCCTATAGTCAGCAATTAACGGCTGATATAATGATGATATATTTTTTGTTTTTTACTAAATTGAACACGTGATTGCGATGTGTACGAAAAGTTTCAAAATTAATACTATCTTATATGATATGTTATAAAAAGACCAATTATATTTGCAACAGGGCCCTGGCGAGGAACTGCGCGGTGAATCAGATAAATGAGAAAGGCGGTGATGCGGGTGAAAATTGGCGCATGGGCAAACCAGTGCGCGTGATACGATCCTACAAAATGCTGAAACATTTCCCAAAGTACGCTCCGAAGGAAGGCATACGGTGTGTATACGAGTTGTAAATATTTAGACTTATATAACACAATGTCCCAACGTCCCATTGCTAGCAATATAGTCTATCAGTTCGACCCCCACGTAGTCCCCCCTGGAAACCATCGTGCTACATTCCAGGTGTGTTCATTATGATAGGCTAATTGACCTGCCCTTTCATTCTCACCTATCGTCACTCACTGGTGCCTCGCCAGCCTATACTATTAGCGCAGTAGGGTAAAGGTACAGTACAGGTAACCTGAGTCCTTAGGAATGACAATGGAGGTATCATGGGGGAAACAGTATACTCTGTTATGTCCATGGTACCGCTCATATATATATATAGGTGACGGTTACCACTTTCCATCAGGTGGGCCGTCAGCTTACATATATGACATACAGAAATTATAATGTACATATGTTTATTAATATATATATTGTGCAGTATTCGTATGCCTGGCAACAGGCACTCAGCTTTTGCTGGACTGATGTGCGTTCAGCGCTGATTTTCAGTTTGCACCTACACGAGGCACCGTTTTATGATAAAATATTTATATATATTGATGTAGATGTTACTCAATAATTGAACACAAATAAAAACTCAAATAAATAGTTTATAAAAATAATAAATAAAAGAAAAAAAAAACAGAACAAAAATCCAGTGTACCAACAAATTAATGACAAAAAAATCCTTAAAAAGTGATATACAATTTGCAAGTGCATTACATTCTTTGATGAGAGCCGGCTCCACGATCCGAGGGTTGCTTCCGTATAAGTAAGATCCTTTTCTTCATTAATCTTTTAAAATATAATGGCGTTAATGGTTGGTGTGAGGGTGGAGGCAGATCGTTCCAAATTTTTGCGACTGTAAATTTAAAACCTCGTCTATAGTTTGCAGATCTATGTGGTGGATTTTTTTAAGATATTTAATCTGCACTCTCGAAGTCCTCTATGATGTCTATTTCTAACCCAGTCCAGTTTTTGGTACAAATATTCTGGACGTCCACTATGAACAATCTTCTGGACAAAACAAGAGAAATGAAGCTCTCTTCTTGAAGCCATTTGTTGTAATATGGTGTAATATTCTTTAAGAATATTTGACATTGATTGAACTCATATTTCCTATTTATATAAATATCACTTTTGTGTAATTACAGATACGACGGTATCTACAAAGTGGTCAAATATTACCCAGAAAAAGGATTGTCCGGTTACAAAGTGTGGAAGTACCTGCTGCGGCGAGACGACCCCAGTCCGGCGCCCTGGGAGCCTACCGCGAAACAGTATCCTATTATTGTGAGTATATTTTGACTGATAAAAAATATAAATACACTATCCGGACTTAAAAAAAAAACAGGTATGTAGACACTTCATCTGTAATTTTTTTTCGTTCCGTTAAGTCCCAAATAGTGTATTTAAAAATGCCCCACAAGGGCGCAATTTGATAGTTAATGGAGGGCAATTAAAAAATTTACTCGAAGCGATTTTAACCCTCTTGCTCGGGACCATTTATAATGCAATGCTACGAGTAGATAACAATGCCAAATTTAGCAAAAAAAGTAAATTAAGAAAAATTCTGTAAATATTTATTAGGTATAATTTCGTTTAACATTACCAAAATATCAACTAGGCGATTAGAGTCGCGCAAAAATTATGTATGGGGGCATAAAAATTTTAGAAATGTTCAAGTGGGGCATGGCACAAAAAACACTGCCTTATAGGGAAGGTTTATATTTAGCAGTGGACGGTTAACGACTAAAATGAAAAATGATGAGTTAATAGATACTTTTTCTTGGAACATATAAAAAAAAACTTTTTTTTTTCAGTATCCAGATGGCTATTTAGAAGCGGAAGCCGAGAAACAGGCAACAAAAGAGAAATCCCGTAAAGGGTCCAAGTTATCTAAGAAGCGAGCACTACGGGAGAATAACCAAGGATCTGAAGGCGAATCACCTCCACCTGTCAAGAAAAAGAAGGCCAATGATATCAAAGTTTCAAAACAAGGCGGAAGTAAGTACTGTAGAATGTTAGATTAAAAAAAAAATACACTATTCTTTCTTGGAAACTTAGGTTTTTGAATGTCTCATTATTAAAATAAAATCATCAACTTTGATTAGCAATTTGCTATTATATATTGTATATATTTTACGTGCGAGCACGTAAACTGCACTTATTCGATGTTCCATTACGAAGAACAGAGTTCGCTAAGCATGCTCCCCTATCTCTTGCATTGAAACTACTCAATGATATTTTGAGCCAGTATCCGCAATTGGATGTATTTGCCTCCAACTTGCTGGAGTTTCGTCGAGTGACCACAGAGTGTTTGTGTTCAGACGTTTTTGCTTAAGTCTTTTTATATTATTCTTGTTATTTATGTATAATATTCCTTTTTTATATGTTATTGTACTGATGCTTTCCTGGGTGAGTGTATTGGAAGACTGTAAGGCTCACCCAGTGGATGTAATAAATAAATAAATTATTATTGTCTCCTTCAGAGACAATTTGACTACTTCATTTCTTTACAAGTAATAGATAGATAGATACATACATACTCTTTATTGTTTCCTCCAAAAGATTACAATAGTAAACTTATTCTAGATATAAAAATTTAAAGTTGTTTTCCAAAAATAAAAATATAACTTCAATTGTGGTAAAACAAAGTTATTTCAATTTAAAAACGGAATTATTGAATCGGTTTAAAAAAAAAAATCTATGAGACCTATCTGTATGAATATCCAATCAGATAGAAACAAATTTAATGCAACTTACAACTAACTAGCGGCCCGTCCCAGTTTCTCACGGGTGGACATTTTTACAATATTTTAAAAAGTGGTTATTGTGACATAACGATAATAGTTGGACATATAGTATCGACAAGTTTTTTGTAGTTATTGATATTTTCTTCAATATTGTAGAACATATTTTTGTTCCATCACCAATAGTTTCCGCAGCGCACGCGACGTAAGATATTATATAGCAATTTTTTTTTACACTTTGAGTTACGTTACTAAAGTTTTAATAAGGATCCATTTTTTTCTAGTAAAAAAAAAAGAAAAAGAAAAGATTTTTCTAGTAAAAAATATAGCCTATGTTACTCAGGGTGAATGTAGCTTTCTGCTGGTGAAAGAATTTTTAAAATCGGCAAAGTAGTTTTTGAGTTTATTCATTACAAACATACACACAAACAAAAATACAAATCTTTCCTCTTTATAATATTAGTGTAGATGGAGTTATGAGGTAACAAAAAAAAAATCAATGCCAGAATCTCCTTGTTTTCAAAATAGGTTGAAAAATACTTTAGCTCGTGAGGATGGCAGGAACCAGGGTCGTCATAAAATATTATATGTGCCTATTTATATCTATAATTTATAGATCTAGAAAAGTTATTGAATGGTTAAAATATCCCTTAAAAATAATCCCACAAAATCTTTTACCAAGTTATTCAGAAATGTGTTAACTCTCCCTAGGAATTATGTGTTAAATTATTAATATCCTTTAATATTTATTGTTTCAGAAGCCAAGAATAACGTTATTGTTATGAATTCAAGAGAAAAGATAGCCAGAACGGCGGGGGAAGGTCCCGCGGAGAATATTACCAAAGGGAAAAAACAGAAACCAAAAGCGACTGAGACGAATGACGGCCTGTCAGCCAACGAAATGGAAGCCATTAAGAAGGACACTCTCAATGAGAAGCTGTGGAGGGAGTGCTTGGTTGTGTATGAGGTCCGCGGGAAAGGGGTAAGTAGTATGGCTTTTGGCATCATGAACCCTTAACGACTTGATACAGGCATGATATACCTCTCTGCCTTATTAATTTAGCGTTGTGCTAATGTGGTAGACAGTTTCTCACCATCATCATATCAGCTGTTAATTTTTTTTTTTATACAACTTAAAATGGCAAACAAGCTGACGGAAATGCTAATGGAAAGTGTTAACCGTCGCCTATAGACATGAGCAGTATCATGGACATAATAGAGTATACTGTTACGCCCATGATACCCCCCATGCGTTGTCATTCCTGCGGACTCGGATGTTATTCCTCTGTACCCTGTAAATTCACTGCCATATCCCACCCTTCAAACCGAAACACAGCCATGCAAACACAACTGCTTTACGGTCGAAACACGAATGGGACAGAGGTACCCAAGTAATCGACTTTATTATCCACTGTGAAATTATATAATTATCCACTGTTAAACATACACATCCCACTGAAGGGTTTTGCCAGTAGTTGCCACGCTTTGCAGGCGGGTTGGCAACCACAGTTAAGTTTTTGGTGATGTTTTAATAGGGAGGCTGCTGCCCATCCCTCGACTATTGCATTCTCTTAGTTGCCTCTTACATCCACGGGAAAGGAGGGGACGGCCTATTCTATGTCAGGACCACACGTCCTCATTCAATACATAGGATACATTATATACTCGTATTCATTTACGTGAGCGAAGCCGCCGTATACAGCTAGTTAATTATAAAGATTTTCTAAACAAGTTGCTTTTACATTCTAGTAGTAAATTGATAAAAGAAAAAGTAAATTGGAAGAGATTACTTTAGCGATAAGATCGCCATTTGTATTTTATTAGTGTAGTTAATAATTATCTTTGTATTTTTTTTTTTGCTGGGTGTAAATGGTACGGTAACCCCGCCTGCGCTAACGGGATACGCTGGCGGAGCACCAGTGAAGGGTGATAGATGAGAATGAAAACAGGCCAGTTAGCCCATCATGATGAATTCATCAGGAATTAACCATGATAGTTTCCAGGGGGAACCGCGAGGAGGTCGACCTAGTTGGGTATATTGCTAGCAATGGGATTCTGTCTCCATTACTAACAATCCCTTTCCCCCCATTATCTTTGTATGTATTCTTTAAATGATGCAGTAAAGAATAAATGAATTGTTTTACTGTCAGTTAGTTGCTTTAATCTGACATGTTTGTTACAGCAATTCATCGAGTATTTAACACAAATGTTCCTGTGCATCATATGCCAAGAGGTAGCCGTCACTCCAGTCACCACGCCTTGTCTCCACAACTTCTGTTTAGTAAGTAATGCACTTGCTTTTTTTTACTTATGATTTTCTTTCTAGTATTAGTTATTTCTCGCCCCCTGCTTAATAGAAAACTAACCAGAGGGAGACTATACAAAAGTCGATTGCTTGGGTACCTCTGTCCCATTCGTGTTTCAACCGTGAAGCAGTTGTGTTTGCATGGCTGTGTTTCGGTTTGAAGGGTGGAATATGGCGTGAATTTACTGGATACAGAGGAATAACACCTGAGTCCTCAGGAATGGCAACGCGTGGGGGGTATCATGGGCGAAACAGTATACTCTGTTATGTCCACGGTACTGCTCATGTCTATAGGCGACGGTTACCACTTTCCATCAGGTGGGCCGTCAGCTTGTTTGCCATTCTAAGTTGTAGAAAAAAAAAAAACTAATTTCGAATGTTACCTACATCACAGTAGAAACGGTCGATAAAAATCATTGTTTTTTTTTTTTATTATATCCATTATGGATGTTTTTAGTGGATGAATATGGAATGGTCTACTCGCCTATCTTAATTGTACTCAATAGCAGGACATCAGTGAAGGATGAAGTCAGTAGGTATATCATAGAAAATTCACTCTGAATTAACTTCATGATACCCAATAGAGACTGCTAATAATGGACACTTACAACTTGCATTACTAAATTATATATTTTTATATCCCCCAGAGCTGCATAAAGGGAGCTTTCAAATCTACCGGCAAAAAATGCCCGTGCTGTCGTCAAAGCCTGTCGAAATACAAGCCGGAGACCAACAAGGAACTAACGAACGCCCTCCGCAGTGTCTTGACTGGATACGACGCCGGCAGGAATACATCTGAATGGTAGACGTTAACACGCTGTACGCTGTGCATGATAGATACTGGAGTTACTTAATTTTATATTACAATTTCATTGCCATTTATTATACCTACATATAATTACAGGTTTTTTAGTGAACAGTGCGCATAAAAAAATATTGTATTAACTTATTAATTATGGATAATTCGTTTTTATTTATAAATTTGTTTAAAAATAATTTATGTACACTCTTAGATTACATTGAAATAAAAATCTGTACATGTCAGTCGATAATGGCTGGACCGATTTATATTAATTCAATGGAAATAATAGAATAAGGAATATGAACAAGACATTATGGTGGATTCTAAGGCGTCTATCTAAACTTTGAAATTAAATTTTCCATTTAATATCACAGGGAAATCTATTGTAAGGGCCGATTTGAACTAATTTTAACACAAACAGGTAATGCTGCCCGTTATCTTGGGTGCGCTGCCTGGATATGGCGCGATTAAAATATAGGTAGAGGTAAGAGATAAATTTACAGTACCATCCCCTTAGAATCTATCTCAGCCACTGTCTAAGTGTACACAAAAAAAAAGCAAAAAACAAAAAAGCAAAAAAAAAATTGAATATAATATCTGTTTTTTTTTTAATTATAATTAGTAACCTGTTTTTTATAATTTGTTTTTTTTTTAGCGTTTTATTTGGTGAATATGTTGTGATTTGTGTTTTAGTGTAATTGATAATTTAAAAATAAGATTAGATAAATAAGATTTTAATACATAAATAATGTTATCCACGTCAGTTTGATCATTTTTAGAATATATTATAAGATTTGTTTTTTTACTGAATAAGATAAATAGAAACGAGTATATTTTGATGTGATTGTTTGAAGTATGAGCACCATTGTATGTTTAATTGAATTTGATTTTAATTGGTATTATTGATTTTTTTTTCATTTTTTATTAATATTGCTATACATAAATACATACAGAAGTTAATACGTGGATAAGGCACGAGTGTAGTTTAATATTTTTTTTTATAGTCAGACATTTGTAGGCGGTTAGAAATTAGTGCATGATTGCGTTTCATTTTTAGTGTTTTTCTTAGTACTGTTTTTAATTTAATTGTGAGTTAAAAATTATTTTATATGAATGATAATGTTATGTAAGTTAGTAGTTTTTTTTTTTAATGTACAATTAAGAATAAGCATGCCAATTGATTTAGTTTAAGTTGGTGAATGATTATGTGTAATTTAATTTTTATAATGATAATGTGTAATTTAATTTTTAAAAATAAACGTGTAATTTAATTTTTAAAATAATTACCAAAATAAATATTCGATAGATAACAATACCTCTTTTATAACATAGAAATCGTGAAGTGATATGCTGGTAACACTAAGAACCATTCGTCTCGTAAATGCATATTATTTCACTTTAATTAAGACTACAGTAGCGTTTGATTTGCAGTAATGTATCGATCTTTTAAAGACTTGACACATTTACTAAATGATACAAATATTTTCTTTTTTTTTTTTTATTTGTTTAAAAACAGAACAGATAAAAAGTATTATTGTGCAGTAATTTACGTATATTATTGAGTAGTTTGAAATAATTATAACGATTCGATCACTGTTTACAGTTACAGCACTGAAGCAATACTGTCATTTGGTAAATTAACCACTTTCCAAAAAAAAATGTTTAAATTTCTAAATTATTTAGTATTCCAAAAACGCAGGGTTCTTCATTTAAAATAGTGTAGTAGCTAAATAAAAAAAAAAAAGTATTAATATTTTTTTAACTTAGCTAGGTATTTTCTAATGCACCGTTGTTTTGTAGAGGGCATAGCAAGATTCTTAATTAATTGTGTCAAAAATAGACTTATTTAAGAATAATTGAAGAATAAATATCTCTCCGTCTACTTCATTCATACCAAATTTTTAACGTAAAGTGTAAACTTAAATACTTAAATAGTTATAGAATGCTGTTTTGCGTAACGCTGATTGTCAATAATTTAGATAATTATACATTCCTACCATTTTATGATTATAATATAATATAGTACAAACAGTTTTAGTTTATAAATTTTATGTGGAATAAATTAAATTGATTACAGATTTATCAGTCTTTCATTCAATTACCTTTACCCTGTTATCCTATAGCCAATGGAAACCTAACGTCAGTTTGTCAATCAACAAGGGCTTCTCATGCCCGCCGGATGATGTGTGGGCGGGCGAGGTAGGGGCTTAGGGGTATACCCCTCTACCCCGGCTTCAACTCCGGAGGCGACGACCTCCGGGTCGCTGGGTTCTTCAGCCGTCTCATTAATAGTATTATATTATCTGCGTCGCAGATAAAATATATCCAGTTTGAACATTGTAATTAGTGGTTTTTTTTTAATGTGTGAAAATGGAATCGTTACTTCGCCTATCGGCATACCCTGGCGAGGCACCAGTGAGCAATGATGGTGACGATGAAAGCAGGTCCGTTACCTTATCGTGACAATACCACGATAGTTTCTAGGGGGAACCGCGTGGAGGTTGACCTGATATATTGCTAGTAATGGGGAAATTAGATCCCATTACTCACAATCCCTTTCCCTCCCCCATCGGATACAGTTAGAATGAAATAAACATGGTTGTTTGAGGGGAAAAGGGATTGTTAGTAATGGAGACTGAGAATCCCATTGCTAGCAATATACCCAACCAGGTCGACCTCCTCGCGGTTCCCCCTGAAACTATCATGGTTAATTCCTGATGAATTCATCATGATGGGCTAACTGGCCTGTTTTCATTCTCATCTATTACCTTTCACTGGTGCTCCGCCAGCGTATCCCGTTAGCGCAGGCGGTGTTACCATTCCATTTTCACCCATCAAAAAAAAAAACATGGTTGTTTGAAACAAAATTGGGTTGACTTACAAATCTGCAATGAAGAATAAACAATAAACAGTATTCTGGTTCATGTAAAAAAGCAATTTAGGCAAATTGAAATAAAACAATCACTTTAATATAATGTTATATACTTTATTCGTGGGTTTCGACCCTAAATATATCGCTCTGAGCACAATATCACTGACGTGTGGAACACATCTCCAATACATAAAACTAATGAAACGAAACTACTAATATTATACATACATTACAACTATGAAACATCACAGATTCTTTAATAAAAGTTATGACCGGGTATTTTATACTATGTAAATATCATTTGTAATTATAATAGTATAGATTCTACCATTCATATATTGGATTTGAAGCACTGCGCAAGTGTAGAAGACACTTTGTATACGACACCAGCCATCTTGCTAGTTATAGGCCCAGGGCCCGATTTAGGAGTTTACCGGGCAAACGTTCAAAGTGGCAAAATGAGTACATAATTGTGGCATTTTTTTGCCCGTGACGACAAAATGTCTAACACATGATCTGAGTCATCGTAGTGTGTGTGTACCATCTACAAACACAACATGTTTCTCATGACAGTGTAGTATTGGTATTAAAGGAATCTACATTTGGGCAGTGCGTTAAAAACTATTAGTCAAGATACAGATGGCATTAAAAAAAGAGATACAATTTTATTTATATTTTTTAAATTAAATTTAATCATTACAAATAAAGAGAAGTTATTATTACCTATTATAAATCACGGGTTTCGGTCAATACAGACTTCGTAAATGATAAATAAGTGTAAAATATAAAATATTAAAAAACATTGCATTATTATTGGTTAAAATAATTAAAATAAATATATAATCATGATAAATAATGATGTAAATATATTAGTAATAATAAATAACGTAGAAAAGCCTAGCAAGAACATGTAAATAGGTATGGGATAAATTTTAATATCAGTATCTGAGACAAAAGGAAATATTTTATATTAGACTAAATAATTTTATATTATGCATTACGTGTACTAAAACAATGTGTACTCAGTATACTCGGCTTGTTTATACTAATTTTTTGTTGCAACTAAATTAAAACTAAATTATTCTCGCTTACGGGATTGTCACTTTTTAATAAATAATAGTTCCTTGCGTTACGCTTTAATAATATACCTTATATGATTGGAGAAAATTTAAATTAAACACTATTCTATTGTAATCAGGGTTGCATATTTAAAATTGCATAAAATTATGATATAAACATGGCCAATACAAAAATAAACTTTAAAAGTTCATTATTGCAGTTCAAATTTTAATCAGCACAGGCATCAAATGCCAAAGAAGTTATTTCAGAACATCTAGATGTGTAAATACAAAAAAAAAAATGAGTCACTAATTTAAAGAATGGAGAATAAACGCTCCAACAGACAAAGCAACGAAGGTTACGAATCAGACGGCGATATAATATACGTACATATGTACTTATACAAAATATTTTTGTCAATCATACGACACGTCCGGTCATGCAACGCAACGGAACGGTAACAACGCGAGGTCAAAGTGATTTCATAATTATTCTTGCCCTATTACAACTATATGATAAATAGTATAAATGCCGCCATTAAAGACAAATCTCATACAATTAATTGTATTGTTATTAACAATTGTAATCTAAAAACATTTAATTTCTTGTGCAGACTGTACTCTTTTGACGACACATATACAATATTTGCCGAAAAAACATTTTTATATATTACATACAAATATATTGGCACCAATCTACGACCCCTTGCTAATATGACGCGACTGTATATGTATTTTAAAAATACGTATAGCCTGTCAGATTTATTGAGTCATTGGTGCACCATTTAAACATTTAATATATTTATACATATCTTATAATAATGAAATGCCATGCGTCTCTCTATGTATCATAGGTAAAGGTATAACAGTTACTCGAAGCAACAACTGTAATTCTATAATTAAAAATATGGGCTGGCGGATCTTATTGGTGGTTCAAGTGTCTATGGAATAAACTGTGCAAATTATATATAAAAAAAAAAACATACAAGTACAGATTTCGAGTCAAAAAGTGATTTATTATTTGATAAAAAAACACAAAGTTACAAACACAAGATACAGTGGGCGCCACACTAGACGAAACTGTATCGTGGGAAATAAAAATAAAGTAGTATTAATAAATTAATTGTATTTCAAATTCGTATTGTAAAATAGTTTTTTTTTATGATATTTAATTCTATCGCACCAATCTGGTTATGAGACATGAATAGTTCAGAATTCGCCAGCCTATTTTAAATATTCAACCATTTAATGGCAAATAGCTCATTCAAGCGGACTCCAGGTCGCTTCAGAAATGGACTTTGATGTATGTCCGTTTATACATATACTATATATATACATATATATATTTAAACTTAACATTCATAATAATTAATAGTTCATCTCTTACACTATTTGTTAACAATACAATGGAAAGGTCTATAACAATAATACGTCGAAGAACTATGTCTAAACTTACTACCACATTGCCGTAAGGTCTCCCCGGGCAGTTGTACCATGGCACATTGCACTAACGTTACTGGAACGTCATTGTCCGCACACTGACCCCAGCTCGATGCGAGCTGCGGGGCTCGCTTAGACGCCATCCGTTATACTCGTACCGTTGACGGGTTCCGTACCATTGAATACGGGATGGGCGGCCCCGCCGGAAAACTTGTGGATGATGCCTTCAAGAGAGGTCCAGGTTCCGACGACGAGGCCCAAGATGCCAAAGATGACGACGACAGCGTTCTTGATGATCATGCGGATGCGTTCGGAGCGCGACACGTAGTACCAGTAGGTGCAGCTTTGAATGAAGGCGGGGAACGCGAGACCCAGTGCGGACAGGCAGAGGGCACCGAACAACGAGATGAAGAGGTCCAGCTCAGGAACAGCCGCTGCGATGCCAACTGTGAACGAAAGAAAAGATTGATGAACATTGTGACAGTATTCTGTAACATATCTTCTTGTGTTAAAAGTTTTAAAGCCCGATTCGTTTTGTTCAAAGATATCTGAGTACGTTGACCCAAAGATGCCATAATGGTCTTTGAGACGAAAAATCCAAAGATTAATTCGAAAAATTCATTTTATCTATAATATAATAAATAGGTGACAACAGAAACACCATAGTCATAGATTCAAAACCATTGAAAGTGGAAACTAATACGTCAATGCCATGGTTTTAATAAATATGCCTAAGACATTTGAGCGCAATTTCGATGTACCAACCCCAAAACTCATTTTTCATTCTTTCATTCATATCAGCTGTGAACTGTCCACTAATGAACATAGTTTATATTATTGTCTGTAGTTACCATGCTTGGTAAGAGGGTTTGGCAACTGCAGTTATGTTTTTGGTGATGTTTTAAGAGGGACATTTCTGATCACTCGACCTCTAAGTTCTTTTAGTGTCTTCATATGACATCTACGGGAAAAAGTCGAGTGGCCCATTCTATGCCGAGACTTTCTTTTTTGATGACTGAAAATGGTATGGTAACCCCGCCTGCGCTAACGGGATACACTGGCAGAGCATCAGTGAAGGGTGATAGATGAGAATTAAAACAAGCCAGTTAGCCCATCATGATGAATTCATCAGGAATTAACCATGATAGTTTCCAGGGAGAACCGCCAGGAGGTCGACCTGGTTGGGTATTTTGCTAGCAATGGGATTCTCAGTCTCCATTACTAACAATCCCTTTCCCCCCTTAAACTCTATGCCGGGACTATACGGTAAAACACAAAACTTATACCCGAAAATTATTGAGTATTCAGAAATTTTTTGAGTCCATATCTACAACTTAGTGAGAAACTTACACGTGATGAGTACGATGGTGGTTCTGAGCACGTATTCCCAAATGAGACGATGCTTGCTGTTTAATAGTCGGCAGCCTATGTACTCATTCCACAGAATGTCGATTGCAACGTAGCAGGCCAATCCGTGGGTGATGAAGATCGCGAACGCTAGCAGGCACTGCACTACGCTGGCCAAACTGCAGAAGAAACAATCACAAGGGATTTTGAAAATGATCTGTACAATTTTGGCTTAAAGTTTAATTTACTTTGATACGTAATTATCATTTGGATCTTATACTAAATAACTGCACTATTTTTAGTATTTCATCTCAACCGTTAACTGTTCACTGCTGAACATGAGTTTTCCTCGTTTTGCCAAAAGTTGCCAAACTTGGCAGACGAACTGGCAATGCAAGTAGGGTTTTGAGACGTTTTGAGAGGGGCGCTGCTGCCCATTTCTTTACCATTATTTTCCCTCAGTCGCTTCTTATGAGACTGACGGAAAAGGAAGCAGTGGCCAACTCTACGCCGAGAACCCACGGCTGTTATTAGTATATATGTTAGTATATAGTGTAATATTTTCAGATCCCGATCTCTACCTTTAATTTCGCTCTATGCAAAAATTAATAATTGCTAATTTTCAACCGACTTAGGCTCAATTAGGTTGTATTTTTCTTTTTTATGTTTATTACCTCATAACTCCATCAGATATAAACCGACTTGGAATTTTTTTTCTATTCTTTGGAAAGGATTTACATATTGCTCCCAAAGAAATTTTATCAAAATCGGTTCAGTAGGTTGGGTTTTAAATAAAAATATCTGGATCTGCCATAGTCACGGTAGTAATAGGTTATTTTCTGGAACACTCTCTTCAACCACAAATATGAATGTTTCTTTAACTTGCAATTAATTCATAGGCATTCGTCAAACTGATCGAGGGTGGGAGAGGGAGGGGAAAGTAAAGTAAAGACCCCTCCTTACTTTCGATCGGGTACTGTGTGTACAGCGAAATATGCAACTTACACTTCTTTGTCGGATGGCAGGTTGAGCGTGATGCTTCCTTGAGCGTTGTCTCCATACTGCAGGTACCCAAACAGTCCCATGCCCACGTACAGAATTATAATGCTGATCATCGCCCGGTTCAGTACACCGAACTTGCCTACGAAGTCTCTTGGGGTCTTCATCTCGTTCTCTAATGGTAGGATCTGTAAATGGTAAATGGTGGGAACAAATGTAGGAAAGCTCATAAAATATTATACCGAATTTAATGACAAACACTCCTCCTTTTACCGAGAGAGTTAATGAGTTAATTAATACGTTTTAGAGGAACTATATATTTAAAAGATTTATCTGTTTATAAATTTAAGAGTCGTTACATCATCATCATCATCATATCGGCCGTTAACTGTCCTTTGTTGAACATAGGCCTCCCCTATAAAGAGGGGTTTAGTCAGTTGTGGCCACGCTTGTAAGGCAAATTGGCAACCACAGTTAGGTTTTGGTGATGTTTTTAGGGGGACACTGCTGTCTATCCGTCGGCTATTAAGTTGCCGTTATGTCGTGTCTTACGACAATCACGGGACAGGAAGAGGTCGTCTATTCTATGCTGGGACTAAATGGCAAAAGCTGTTTGATTCGATCGCTTTATTCAAGCCAAAACTTTTGGAATAAATATTTCGATGAAAAAAATTAGTAATTCCAGAAATTTTTTTATACAACTTAGAATGTCAAACGGGCTGACGACCCACCTGATGGAAAGTGGTAACCGTCACCTATATATATATGAGCGGTACCATGGACATAACAGAGTATACTGTTTCCCCCATGATACCTCCCATGCGTTGTCATTCCTGAGGACTCGGATGTTATTCCTCTGTACCCTGTAAATTCACTGCCATATCCCACCCTTCAAACCGAAACACAGCCATGCAAACACAACTGCTTTACGGTTGAAACATGAGTTGGACAGAGGTACCCAAGCAAACGACTTTTGTACAAAGTCTCCCTCTGGTAAATAACATACAAATAATAAATAATTTAAATACAAATAAATATCTCACCACTCCAATGGCTTCCAAAGCGAACAGTACAGTACCGAAGAATAATGGGAATTTAGCCAGCTCTCCTACTGGTGATTTGCCCTCAAACGTCGGTACCACTCTGAAGATGTAATACAGAATGATGCCGAAGCTCACAATGGTGACTGCATTGGCTATAGCCGAGAATGGCGCCAAGTATTTCAAGTCCCGGACCCAGTTGATCAAGATCAGCGGCAAGAGGATCCCCGCCATCACGTGTATAGCCTGGACTTCCAAGCCGAACTGCTTTGTCAGAACAAATTGTATGTTTTCAGCAACAAACACGACGTAAACGCAGCACGTGCCGATTTGGTATATCAGGAGAAACGCATTGACCACATGTCTGTAAGAGAAACAGTTTTCGTGGCAAATAACAATGGATGCAAATTGTGTATGAATATAAAGTGATCAACAAATAAAAAGTATATAAAATGCATTCGCACAGCTCACTTTTGCCGTAAATTAAAACATGTAATTAGCACATAAGAAATTGCTATTTTATTCATAATATATAGTACATAATATATATATATATATATATATATATATATATATATATATATATATATATATATATATATATATATATATATAATAGCGTCCCCCCCCCCCCTCATTAGATTACGACAACATTAGAAACCTCTAAAATTATAAACGTTCTTCTACTATATTATACATGTATTTTAAATATAAACCTTCCTCTTGAATCACTCTATCTATTAAAAAAATCGCATCAAAATCCGTTGCGTAGTTTTAAAGGTCTAAGCATACATAGGGGCAGGCAGACAGGAATCGAATTTGTTTTATACTATGTAGTGATAATGGACAAATATGTACATATAACATTATTGTGTTATGGACTCTATCAAAGCTGGAATGTATATGCATTATTTGAAAGATCAAAGATAAAATGGTCTATCTACATTTATATGTTGGTCTATAATGATCTAATGTCTTATTAGACCATCTTATTAGACCAACTTATTGATCCCTATGCCACTGTGTTCGGTTGACTGGAAGAAAATTTTTTCTACTCTCTCAGAGATAAGTTCACCTTGCTTACTTGCTTGTTCAACTTGCTTATTTATTATTATATTTATTTCTATTGATATTATTACTGTAAATCTTAGTGCAATAAAGAATATGCAAATGCAAATGCAAATAATGCAAAAAAAAATATATATATAAATAAGTAAAAATTTGGGTTAGTCGCCTGGTAGCGATTGCTTTCAACATAACAATTATTGTGGTAAATTATTTATATTGTATGTTTAATTAATTAATGAAATATATTATTTATGCATCATTTATGTAAATATGTTACTATATAATAAAATTTTATCTTTGGCTGTTAATTTGGTCACATGGGGTTACACTCTGGGTTTGTTGTACGCGTCCGTGTAGCCCAAGTTTAGGCTGCAGCTGAAACCCAGTGCTTTGATTTTAAGTAAAACTATCACTAGCTGAAGCCTATACGGGTCACTGCGACACACATGGCGAAAAATATTTTTGTATTTTATCTTTTGTTATATATTTAAAAAAAAAAGTGTAAATAATTTGATTGTATGAACTCATTTGTTACTTTACATGTGTCATAAATGGATCAAATAAAGTGTTTATCTATCTATTTATATATCTTTTCATTTAAAAGTTTCCTCTTGTCGGTGCAACTAATTCATGCATCGTCCTCCAGCCAGCTCTATCCCAGGCCATATCCTTGGCCACCCTATACGACATGACACCTAGTGTTTCCTTTATCTGTCCCATGTAGTTATTCCTCGGTCTTTTCTTTCCTTTTTTTGCTCTCTATTTATATACCAAGACTTAGTAAAAATGTAATTCGCTTGGCATTGTTAATAAGGTATTCGTATATGTATATGTTAAGGTTTTATTTGAATTTTATTTATATTCAAAATACATCTTGGAGACTTATTATGAGCATTTAAAACCTGACAATAAATCATAATAATTCTGAATGTGTAAATTAAATTGAGCTGCACTGAGAATTGGCATTAAAAGCTTAGATAAAACAGGTCGGTTTGTAGTCACGCAACCTACTTGTAAATTTATCATATTTTAATACTTTATAATAATCTCCTAAAAGAATAAAAGCAATTAAAAAGCATACTTACGCAGCGTAAGGCGCGCACGCTTTGCACCAGTCAGGACCTTCGGATAACGCCGCCTCAGCAGCGGCAGTATAGGTCAGGGATGGCACCTTCCGCCTCTTGCAGAGTACGTAACACGCGTCAATGAGTATGTGGATGCAGTAAGTGCACAGCACACCGATTACAATGGTGCCTATAGATCCCACCACGTACCCGGAGTTTGAGAAGGCATGGGGCATTGCCAGGATGCCTGTGCCGAGACTGCCTTTGAGTAAATGCAGCAAGGTTTCCGTGTTCCTGTGAAAAGAAGAATTCATTGTATGTAGACACATTTTTTTAAGATATGGAAACGAAGAAGTCCTCTGTTCCATTCGTATTTTTGTCACGAAGCAGTTTTTTTTTAATGGATGATAATAGAATGGTAACCCCACCCGCGCTATCGGTATACACCGGCGGGGCACCACTAAAGGATGATAGGTGAGGATAAAGTAGGCCAGTCAGCCCATCGTGACGAATTCAACAAGAATTGTTCACGATGGTTTCCAGGGGGAACCACGTGGAGGTCGACCTAATAAGGCATATTGCTAGCAATGGGGCTGTCAAACTCCATTGCTAACAATTCCTTTCCCCCCTGTCACGAAGCAGTTGTGTTTGCATGGTTGTGCTTCGGTTTAAAGGGTGGGGTATGGCAGTGAAATTATAGGGTACAGAGGCATAAAACCTTAGGCTTAGTATCTTGGGCAACAAAATATACTCTGTTATATCCATGATACTGTTCATGTCTATAAGCGATGGAAACCCTTGGAAACTATCGTGCTGATTTCTTGGACTATGGATCACGATGGGCTAACTAACCTGCCTTTTCATCCTCACCTATCCAGATGTATTCATCACGATGGGCAAAGTAATCTACTTTTCTATTCTCACCTATCATCACTTTTTGGTGCCAGAGTATACCGATAGCGCCGGTGGAGTTATCATTCGATTATTACCCGTTAACATCGGTACAGAATGTTTACTGTGAACATGTTTATGTATTTTATCAATAGGTAGATTTCGAAATAACTAAGTAATCGTGTTATATGGATGGACTACTTAAACTACTTTAGATAAACTGTATTTATTTTGCAAAGAGATAGGTATTGAAGATTCTACTGCAGTGGAGAATGTCAAGTGAACGATGACCTTGGTATGGTGAGTATTGTATCTACTCGATTAACTATGTAAAGGACAGTAATGTATCTATTTGTTTTAAAAATAAAATATTTATTTATAAATTATTATTTGGACGTAATGTAAATAATGTAAAAAGTTAAGAAGTAACCGTTTATCCTGGTATGGGCACGTGATGCGCAGGAATGGGGAGCATATTCTAAAAAAAGTATTAAGAATGAATGTAGATGGCTATAAGAGGAGAGGAAGACCTAAAAAGACATGGATGGATTGTGTGAGGGACGATATGTCCAGAATGGGAGTGAATGCGGAAATGACTGGGAACAGAAAAGAATGGAAGAGGAGAACATATTACGCCGACCCCAAATGATAGTTGGGATAAGGGTAGGAAGATGATGATTATTTGGATGTAATGTTTGGTAATAAATAAATAATAAATAAATAAAAACACAAAACCTTACTGATTCACCAATAACGTTCAGTTTATTATACTGTGGACTTGTTTATTTATTATTCAATTATCAACCAATCATTAAGTATATCCTTTCAGATAAAAAAAAAATTCCAAATCGGTTTATAAGTGACGGAGTTATGACGTAACATACATAAAACGAAATGTATGCTTAAATTTTTAAAACTACGCAACGGATTTTGGAGCCGTTTTTTTAATAGATAGAGTGATTCAAGAGGAAGGTTTATATGTAAAATACATGCATAATATTGTAGAAAAACATTGATAAATTTAGAGGTTTCTAATGTGATGTCGTAAATAAACACATTTTTTTATGCTTACATTGCAAATGCTGGCTGAACCTCACGAGATAAATCAAAATAATGTACTACAGTATTATACACCTTAAAAAGGTCAACAAAAAAGTCTTCAATGGTATATGTCTATCTCTTAAGGATAACCCGCAATAACCATTTTTTATTCTTTACATTTTACGGGGAAAAATGGCTTATTTACGAAATGATTTCAAGCAATACAGCATTAATTTTTATCCAATTAAGTACCTTAAATACATTGTCCATTTAATATAGATCAATTACTTTTACAGCATGTAGTTTAAATGAATAGTATCAGCACTGCACCCGTGCAATGTCGGGACGGTCGCTAGTTAAATATAATATACCAATGAAGGTAGCAACAAGAGGCGAAGAATTCAAGTGTATGGAACGATTTTTTTATTATTATCCTCGTAGTACTTAGATGGTAAAATTGAAATTGCATCAATTTGGATAAAATGACCTTTGATATTTGCGTAAAAATCAATTACGTCTGTCAAACCTGTCCAGTCAAATGTTATCTAAGGTGCATATTTATGTACATTTTTTTTGTTACAATATCAATATATACATATATTGGCCAAATAACGGACATATTAAATATCTTTTTTTTGTACAACTTAGAATGGCAAACAAGCTAACGGCCCACCTGATGGAAAGTGGTAACCGTCGCCTATAGACATGAACAGTACCATGGACATAACAGAGTATACTGTTTCGCCCATGATGCCCCCCATGCGTTGCCATTCCAGAAGAATCAAGTGTTATACATCTGTACCCAGTAAATTCACGCCATATCCCACCCTTCAAACCGAAACACAGCCATGCAAACACAACTGCTTTACGGTTGAAACAGGAATATGTAATAACGACGTGAAGAACTTCACCGAAAAAAAAAAAACATAGTTATCCGTCTGATATGTAAAAAAGAATCTAATATTGTAATTATTTATATTTATAATAAATATACTATTGTAATCTTTTGGAGGAAACAATAAAGAGTATCTATCTATCTAATATGAAGATATTGGATTTAACACCGATACAGGCCTTGTCTAAGTGCCAAAACTCATGTATAAACGATAAGTTATCCACGAGGAAACGATTCGTGTAATACTTTATTAATTTAGTAAGTAGGAAAAAGCCTTCCACTTGTGTCCTTGTATTAATGGTACCGTGCAAACGGGACGTCAGGAAATGACGCCGTCTATGTGCAGATTATGCATTTGTCACTCCTAATTGTAACAATAAAGGTCGAGACGTAAATATACCCTAATAAGATTAACGGAAATACGTCCTGTTGCCTTGTTTAGAACTAGTCTCACCTAGAGAGCTGGTATAAATAGGTATTCACGATTTGCTCTTTAATAAAAGCGACTACAACTGTAATAAAATGTACCACATGACATTAGGTTTACTCGATATAATATGTATGTATGTAAAGGGATTGTTAATAATGGAGACTGAGAATCCCATTGCTAGCAATATACCCGACCAGGTCGACCTTCTCGCGGTTCCCCCTGGAAACTATCATGGTTAATTCCTGATGAATTCATCATGATGGGCTAACTGGCCTGTTTTCATTCTCATCTATCACCCTTCACTGGTGCTCCGCCAGCGTATCCCGTTAGCGCAGGCGGGGTTACCATACCATTTTCACGCATAAAAATAAATACATTGAGATATGCTTGTATTATAGTAATCAAATTATAAATATAATTGTGAGAGACTGGTACTTGAGATAGGTATAAGAATACCTGTATTACAGCTCACCAGGGCCTCACTCCGCAGGGTTATTTAATAAGTATGTTCAAAATTAACCTTTTTATACATTGACAATTGTAGTTTTTTATAAAAAAAAAAGAATATTTATAAACAATTGAAATAAAACAAAAAAATACATATAATACATCAAGTCAACAGACGGCAATTTTATTTTACAATTAATATAATATAAATAATAATATATAATAACAAGAACCAGCATATTTTACAAACAAAGTATATAAGTATAATAATATAATATAGTATGTGCATAAAATATAATGAATATAATTTATTGGAAGAGATGATTTATTATAATTCAATCTGAGAGTAATGTGTGTGTGTGCGTATGTGTGTGCGCGCGCGCTCCCGTGTGTGTGTATGTGTTTGCGTGCGTGTGTATGTGCGTGCGTGCATGTGTGCGTGTGTGTGCGCGCGCGTGTGTGTGGTTGTGTGTGTGCGTGCATGCGTGCGTGCGTGCGTGCGTGTGTGTGTGTGTGTGTGTGTGTGTGTGTGTGTGTGTGTGTGTTGTATTGTACATTAGTTTGTGCCAGCTGTTGAGTACGCAGAAATTTTAAAACTATGTGACTCTAAATGACGTGTCGAGATAAAATATACAAGATTTTACGTTGAACCTTCAGGAACACAACTGCAAAAATCGCATTCAATTTAGTGCAGTAATTAACGTGTGATATATATAACAGTAGCATAATACAAAAATAGACAATTAACTGACAAAATAAAAAAAAAATATTGCCTTGGCTTTTATTTTCTATTGTTATAATTAAGACTCTTCATATATACTTTTTTTCTTAAATCCGTCCTATGTACAGACGTCGTCTGTTTAAAATTATATTACATAAAGTCTTTATCAATCGTTTAGTAACATATAGTACACAGCTGTACTCAGTCTGAGACTAGATGACGTTCTCAGAATTCACTAGTCACATAATTTCATGATTTATTAATTTATTAAATGAAAAATGTTTATATTTATTTATTTACACATACACTAAACAAACCTTACATTTAAATGACATCATTAGTTAAATACAATTGCTCTTAAGAAAAATAATATAAATTATACATGTTACATATAACAAAACAACATAATAATGAAGATTGCACGATTATATAATAACATTACCATTTTACTTTTAATTTTGAATAAAAGAAAAAACATATAAAAAGAAAAAAAAAACAAAATGAATGTAGCAGTGTTTGTGCAAAGGACTGCTAACTCAGCATATGTCGCAGTTTCAAATCTGAAGCTACGACACTGATTTTCAGTAGGCCCTAAATATCGAATATCTATCATTATAAGAATTATATAACTATATATCTACTATTTTAATTTACTCAGAATAGCAGAGAGGCTAAAGGAAAACCATGATGGAAAGTGACAATTGTCACAATGGCCATAACCAGAGTGTTATTGCTTCTCTAACAATATTTAGCATGTACCAGGCACCTCTGTCACTCTTGCACAAATAATTTGCGTTGCGTCCTCGAGTCGGTTCAAAATACGATATTTCAAAAATGGTCGCTATTTTATAAACAATAGGACTTGAAGTGCAACGCCTTAGCGTTAACGGTCCTGATAATGAGCTATTACTACTGACCTGTTTCAAATGTCATTGAAATGAATTCTGAACTTCACTTTTGTTGATGGTCGAGTCATTAAAATAACTTAAAAATACTTGCTATACCTAATATGTATGTGTTGGGGGGAAAGGGATTGTTAGTAATGGAGACAGTGAATCCCATTGCTAGCAATATACTTAACCAGGTCGACCTCCTCGCGGTTCTCCCTGGAAACTATCATGATTAATTCCTGATGAATTCATCATGATAGGCTAACTGGCTTATTTTCATCCTCATCGATCACTCTTCACTGGTGCTCCGCCAGCGTATCCCGTTAGTGCAGGCGGGGCTACCATACCATTTTCATCCAATAAAAAAAAATATGTATGTGTTGGGGGGAAGGGATTGTTAGTAATGCAGACTATCAGTCCCATCCCATTGCTAGCAATATACTCTGTCAGGTCGATTTCTCCGTGGTCCCTCCTGGAAACCATCGTGCTGAACTCCAGGTGTATTCATCACGATGGACCAACTGATCTGCCTTTTCATTCTCACCTATCATCCCTCACTGGTGCCTCCCCAGCAAACACCTTTAGAGCAGGTGGGGTTACCATTCTATTTTTATCCATTATAGCTCAGTATCTGTCCATGAAGTGATGTAATAAGACTATTTTAATACTTTTTTTTTTTAAATTGTGTACCAAAAAGGTACAAAGGAAGAAGGAATGGTCTGTTACAGCACTATATCTCAGCAAATACTAATGACATTGACTTGAGATTTGAAATAGTTTTTCATATTATTGGTCCATATATATTACAATAGAAAGATACTCCTAGTGGAACTTAGACAATTTTAAAAAAGTCTTTTTTTCACCCATAAAAAGCTAAATTATCAGTGATAAACATAGATTGTATTTTACTAAAAAGAAATCGTGCGAGAGCACTGCGAGCTGCTTGCTACGTGATTAAAATGAAAAAAAAAACCATTAGAGATTAGGGATTTATATTTAGTCGTTGGCATAATAATTTTTAAACAATTTTTTAGTTATAAAGTAAAATCATTACTCACGTAGTCGGATGCTCCACCACTCTGTTGTCGTAGGGCTCATATTCTTCGACCTCCTGTATGTTCTTCTCTTTCATATTGACGAGGAAGATCCCCTTATCAGCACCGGGCCTTTTTTTCTCATCCTTTACCGGTGATAAACTGAAATATAATACATAAATTTATTTTACGTTGAAAAATATGTTAATTAATCCAGTATAATTAACTGTAAACATTATTTTTACATGGCAATGTTGACAAATAAGCACAGAGTTCCGTTTGATGATGGCCTACATACGCCTCCAACACCATGGAAGTAGCATGCTTGTTGTTGGCATTAAAAAAAACAATAGATTACCGTTTGGATTCTCACAAAAGTATGCACAATTTTAAGAAACCTATTTTAAGTATCTTGGGAAAACCTCGACGAAAACTCAGTAGAGGAAATACCTCTGAAACCGTATAGTTTTATCTCACCGGTTTCCGGAATACCGATATCCTCACCGCATGTCTTGTAGGATATAGGCAGAGAGAGAAAGAGTATAGTCCAAACGATGTCTATGCTTACTAAGATATTTATTCACTACTTTCACTTTTAACAATTGGCAAACTTGAATACTGTAAGTGTAAAATATTACATATATACCTATTGACATGTATAATTGTTTTTTCGCACACAATTTTCATTATTTTAATATAAAAAAAAATAAACACACACCTATCCGGTCGTTGAATCTCTATATTGTCGAATTCCGCCGTCATTTCGATATATATATATATATATATATATATATATATATATATATATATATATATATATATATATATTTTTATTTACAAATAATTTATTTTATTATTCACTTAACGTAACAATAATATTTTGAAAATTAAATTTATTGTTATAAATTTGGCACTGTTTGTTGACGACTAATATTTTACATTTTGTTATTATTTATAATTTTAATTTAACCACTTTTATATATTGTGACTAGTTAAGTATTATTAGTGAAATACATTCTGTTTATTTTCCCGTCGTGGACTGCAGCGGACGTCAGTAGCTCAGGGATGCACAGTATGATTGACGGTGGGCTGGTAAAGCTTGATTTGCCATCGCCTAGGAAACCAGGGTGGGCGCCCGTACTTGTTTGTTTATTGATCTACGTACCATACGTTTGGTTTCAGCTGATTCCATCGGGTTTACATTTTCCCAATTCCATTTCTATTGAACCAATCACATATTGTTAAGTTATTATTGTTAGTTTTACATATATGTAGTTGTAATTGTATAGTGAAACACAAAATTCGAGTTTCAAAAACTTTGAACACGTCGCCTCAAAGTTTCTAACGATATTTTGTTTTTGTTTATAATATTTATTATATATATATATTTTCTTATTATGTTGGATTTTTGTCTATATATGTTACACGACGTCTTTATCAGTTCTTTTTTTTATAGTAATGATAAAAATAAATTTAACTAAACCACAGATCTTTTGATTATGTCCACCCTGCTGTCTGGTGCTCACCACGTGACGCGGAGCAGAACTTTTAGCTATGCGTAAAAACATGGCTAAATATAAACTTAAATATGGCTGTAAAACTGATAGATATACTGTAGATGACAAAAAAAAATCCAGGAATGAAAATTAAAAATATATACGTAAAGGACCAGCTTTCTTTCCCGTGTGTGTCGTAAGAGGGGATCAAGCGAATCTAATGGTCGGGGGATGGGCAGCTGCGTTCCTCTTAAAATATCACCAAAACCTAATTGCGGTTGCCTACTAACCAAACGTGGCAATTATTGGCAAAACTACTCAATAGGGAAAGCCTATGTTCAGCGGTGGACAGCCAATAATAAAAAAAATCACGGAAAATAAGAAAAGTAGAGCCGTGAATGGGTGTTAAAAAGGAACAAAAGAAAAATGTGCCAATTTCGAATTTTGTAAATAATAATATAAGAAATTATAAATATGTAGTCTGTACTCCAGATGTTTAATTTTTTTTTTTGTAAATACATACATGTTGGACATAAAAAACACCCAGACCAATACACACATACATACACATGTTTGTATTGTGCGAGACTCGAACCTGCGACTGGAAGGCGAGGGAGAATGTTGAACCGCTACTCTACCAAGTTTGTCGTCATCACCATATCAGCCTTTAACTGTCCACTGCTGAACATAAGTGTCCGCCTTGAAGGGTTTTGCCAGTATTTGCCATATTTAGCAGGTGGCTTGGCAACCGCAGTTAGGCTTTGGAGATATTTTAAGAAGGACACTGCTACCCATCCCCAGCCCTCCTTTAATCATCTCTTACGACACCCACGGGATAAGAAGCCCATTCTATGCCGGGACTACACGGCTTGCTTGTCGTAAATATATACATACTTTTTTTATACAACTTAGAACGGCAAACAAGTTGACGGCCCACCTGATGGAAAGTGGTAACCGTCGCTTATAAACCTGAGCTGTACCATGGACTTAACAGAGTAACTGTTTCGCCCATGATACCCCCCAAACGTTGCCATATCAAAGGACTCAGATATTATGTCCTCTGTACCCTGTAAATTCACGCCATATCCCACTCTTCAAACCGAAACACAGCCATGCAAACACAGTTGCATCATGGTAAAAACACGAATGGGACAGAGGTGTCCAAGCAAACGACTTTTGTACAAAGTCTCCTTCTAGTAAAACATATATATGTATATACCTGTAAAACATAACTTATTTCCCGTCGTCTGTCGGTTGACTACTAAAGCCTTATATTTGGCATTACAGATTCACTAGTTAGTTTATGCATTGATTTAAAACAGCCGGGCGAAGGTCACAGTGACTGACTGGTGCAGTGTATCAAATATTGATTCGCCTCTAAGTTTAGATTTAACACGATTACATTTGATTTATTTACTTAGACACTTAAGTTGTCATTTGTTTTGAAAGAAATATAACACTTGTTCATTCTTACTAATATTATACATGTGAAAGTGTGTTTGTTTGTTTCTTACTTTATAGCTCCTTAACGGCTTAACCAATTACTATGAAATTTTATATACACGTACTATATGACATGGAGAATACTTGATAGCTACTTTTATCTATTTATTTCTATGTTTTTGTATATTCACTTATAGTACAGTATATAGGCTTATCCCTTAGAGTAATGTCTTCCAGTCAACTTTGAGAACCCAAAAGGAGAAAATGTTTATAGGGCTTGTATATGTTGCAGTTAAAACTCTTAACCAGTCAAAAGTACTATTGACTAGCAAAATCAGTCAAAAGTACTTTTGACTGAACAGCTCGGTCAAAAGTGGTTTTAACTGAAAATTATTGGTTTGAAAATAATTATTACTGCAAATTTGCGGTCAAAAGTAATTTTAACTACAGTAAAGCATCAGTCAAAAGCACTATGAACCCCCCAACAGGGGGAGGTTTAAGTTCAACAGTGGCCAGTAACGGCTGATATCATCAATATCGTGTTCTATAAAATGGGTAGATATGTTTCCTGTTATGGAATTCATATGGCTGTTGAGGTAGTCAGTGGGACAATTGCTTTTATTATTCAAAATGACATTTCAACAATAAATAAATGTACAATGGCCAATTAATTATTGACGTAATCCAATTAGTTTTACAGTTAAAGGGCCAAGATAGCTCACATTGTGAATTAGAACTCGATACCAATCCGTCAAGAATATGTTTTCTGTCAGTCTGTTCACAATATTACGTGTATAGTAGGGCAAGAGTTTCTATGTTGAGCCATCAGTATTCTTGACATCTCAGCTACGACCTTAAGTAGCTAAATTGTGTCAAAAATGGCTACATTTCAAATGTTTGACCGAAAATATAATAATATGCATTATATTCAAACAAAATTTACAAAGAAAATGGTAGTTAGGTTTTCTTACTCTCATCATTTCAGCCGTTAACTGTCCATTGCTGAAAGTCTGTCCTAAGAATTTCTCATAAAAGGAGATTTGCCAGTAGTTGCCACGCTTGGCAGGTGGATTAGCAACCGGAGTTAGGCTTTTAGAGACGTTTTAAGAGGGCGCTACTGCCCATCCCTACGTGTATATATATATATATATATATATATATATATATATATATATATATATATATATATATATATACGTATATTTATTTAAGTGATGACTATGTCTAAAATTACATGGCCATTATAAGGCCCGTGCATAATCGACTAACACCATGCATGCTTATCATTCAAGTAATAGTTTAGAGTGTAACAGGCTTTGAACGATAAATGTTTTTAATGACAGTTTAAAATTTATTAAAAGGTAGATCCAAAATATCCTTCGGTATCTTATTATAACATTTAATGCCCATTCCTATAAAAGATCAATTAACTTTTTCCAAACGATACTTTGGAACAGCAAGTTTGTATTTATATCTAGTATTTATTAAGTTTATTAAGATCGTTGTTTTAGGGAACAGTTAAAGGTTCTTGCGTATATACAAAATGTTTGTATATACTATACTGTACTGTGAAGGTACGAGAAGAATATTTGCTTCGTAAAATTTTTCTCGAATTGATTTACTGCTTCCTATAGAATAAATCGCGCGAATTGCACGTTTTTTTTTTAAATAATATGCCTTGGATGTCGGCTGCTTTATCTCATAATAATATTCCATAGGACAATATACTATGAAAGTAACTAAAATAAGCTAATCTGGCAGTCTCAATATTAGTATACTGCTTAAACATACGCCGCAGAACTTAATTTAGTTGCAAGATCTTGATTGTGAGTACCCCATTGAGTTTTATTATCAAGAGTGATTCCAAGGAAGACAGTAGAATCTATAAACTCAAGACGTTTGTTATTTAATTTTACAGTAACAATGGAATCGTGATAAGAGAAAAAATTACGGAGTTTTCATTTTGCATTCAACATTAGATTAATATTTGTAAATCAATGCAAGAGATGCAGAAATGCATTATTTACATTGTCATAATGTTAGGTCGATTTATCGACCTTAAACATTAAAGAAGTATCATCTGCAATCTATGCCACATCTATCTGTACATGGCAAAGGCGAGATCATTTATATAAACTAAAAATAGGAATGGCCCAAGAGTAGATCCTTGAGGTACACCCATTCGTACTAGTCACCCGTTTGATGTAACACTATTTTATTTAATGTTTTTAAATAAATTAATGCTTTTACACTCAAATATGCAAGGTTGTCGTCCAAATTACAAAATGCAAAAAAAAAAAATACGAAAGTAATATTAAATGTGGTGGATATAGTATATATATGTTGTACATTTAAAGATTTTTACGAATATCTATATATATATATATATATATATATATATATATATATATATATATACTAAATTTAATCACAACAACATACAAACTAAACAAGGCCGTCGTCACATCACGAGCTTCACTCTCGTAAGTTAATAATAATCATTCATTAAACAATAAGTTACTCACAAAAGTTGCTCGAGTAAAACTTGCACGTGTAAAGAAGGCATACAACTGTACACAAAATAGTTTGTATATATATATATCATTACAATGATATTGCGATAATTGTGTAATATTATTTGAAATCACATTAGCGTCAACCCTCTGCCATTCGTTACCGCAGATCAACTTTGTTTGCGGTATGCGGTCAACGGTGTGCCTCTTTTCGAATTCCCCTTTGTTATTATATGTAAGTAAGTGGTTTTAACATTGTACTCATTGGTGATGTGTACACATATGACTATTACTATTATATGTGTGAGTTGGTCGCCATCTTGTAAACTTTCTAGACCTCTTTCGCTGTAAATATAGGTATCCGACAATCATAAGCGGGCATTACCTTTGCGGTGTGAAATCGTCCGGTTCAAATGAAGGATTGATCATTGGTCCACTTTGTCTTCGTGCCCATTCTTCTGCTTCCTGTAAACAAAGAAAAAAATATATATTAGCACATAAAATGGCCTTTCGTTGTGATTATTTAAAAAAAATGCGAACACTGCATCTTATATCTATTATTATAAAAAATGTTAATTGTCCAGTCCTGAACATAGGCTTTCCTCATAAAGGGAGTTCTGTCAGTAATTACTACATTTGGCAAACGAGTTGGTAATCGCAGTTAGACTTTGGTGATGTTTTAAGAGAGACAGTGTTGCCTATCCCTCTACCACTATGTTCTCTTAGTCTCTTACGACATCCACGGGGAAAGGGATTGCCTATTCGTTGCTCGGACTTCATGGCAAACATTACATGTAGATTATGGCAATTTAGTGAATTTATTCACATTTTCTTGTACTCAACAGGTGAAAATATTCCAAAAAAAAAAAAAATTGCGATGACATTTGAGTAAACTTATGTAAATTGCATCATCGACAATCCACTATAATCATGAAAACCACGACCGTTTTACGACGAGTTACGACCGAAGAGAGAGATGTACTTCGAGTTTTTTTGAGAAACGATGTAGATTACTATTTATTCACTCGATCGATATATCTCGGACACGTAGACGAAGTCGCGGACGAAAATTAGTCAAACTAATTATTATAAAGAAGAAAGATTTGATTCTGAGTTTGTAATGGACGAACTAATAAATACATAAGCGATATTAAAAATTCTTTCTTTCCTGTAGGAAGTTCTATCAATAGCGAGTAATGTGGGATGTATTTTAATAAAAAAAATCTACCTATCTACATGGTCGAAGCCGGGATGGATCACTAGGATAGTAGATAAAGTTTGTGTATAGGAACCGCTAAGGGGCGCGACGCGGCGCCCACGCGGCATTCACAATATGTCACACACTGCGCGCGCGCACCACTCTCTACCAAAGACCCAAATAAGAACAATAATCGATCTTCGTGTGAATGCCCTCTAATCAGAACAATAGAGGATCATCTATCAAGAAATTATCTTCACACTCAATAAAGCAAATTTGTAATTGACAATTTTGTATTGGAATTCTTTGTTGGCGGTTTCCAAACGTGGCATGAATTTGAAAGTTTACGAGTATTAATTGGAAACATCGAAGAAGTTTTTGTATTGAGAATTACAATAATGTTACTGTACATCTCAATTATCCGAACATCGCCTACTGAATATCCGATTATCCGGACTTACTCTTCAAGGCTCTAATTACCAATTTAGAAATGTTATTATGTATTAATTAGGTAAATAGGTAGTTTATGGATGATAATGGAATGGTAACCCCACCCGCGCTATCGGTATACACCGGCGGAGCACCAGTGAAGGATGATAGGTGAGTATGAAGTAGGTCAGTTAGCCCATCGTGACGAATTCAACAAGAATTGTTCACGATGGTTTCCAGGGGGAACCACGTGGAGGTCGAAGGTAAATAGGTAGTATGTAATCAGTTATCTTTATAGCTCGTGTTTTTTTTATTTGATTTGACTTAAAAATACTACTGGATATCACTTCAGAGAGCAGAAGAAGAAGAATAAGAGAGCTCTCTCTCTTTCTTTCTCTTAGGGTCTCTCTTATGGTCGGGTCAATTATTAGTTTGTTTACATTTTCATTAACTGGTTACTTAATTAGAATTATTTTGTTTAATTCCGCTACCAATTAGTATGTGTATGACTGCCAATACTCGAAGATTGGCCGCAATCAAATTAATGATCAATCTTCGAATGTTGGCAGTCACACACATACTAACGGTAGCGGAATTAAACAAAATAATTCTAACTAAACAACCAGTGATGTGGATTTCCACAAGATAATACCTATTTCAGTTAAATATTTACGTTAAGTAATCAAACAAAATGTGATTATTATGGTATACCATAAAATGTGATATGTTAAAGTTAAAGTATACTTTAACTTTAACATATCACATTTTATTTGTTCTTCACAAATACATATTTATTAAACTATTTTGGCACTTCAATGCGTTAAATATGAATGAAAAACTAAAAGCTTCTTCGATTACATGTCGTGATCGATGTATTTGCGTGTATGTACCTATCATATGAACGTACAATACGCGGACATGTGACATGTTCATTTATTTTCGACGTATTTTTGTTTATGGCAATAAGTGCCAAATAAACACGTTGACTATTGGCTACCGCGTTAGTGATGTCAAATGTCGATTTATCAGAAAATATCGATATATATTTACAATTGCTATTTCCCTGAGTGTGGATAAGAAATATGTATGAAATGTGACATCAATCATCTTTTTTATCAAGATGTCGTAAGAAGCGATATAAACATGGTACAATATACTAGTAAAAGAGAAAGAAAAAGTAGATATAAGCCGACTAGAGACTGTGATATTAAAGGAATGGAATTTATCTTTCTTTATTTATTTTTTTACAATCAATAACATTATAAATATTTATATAAAAATAATGGTTTGAACTAGATTGAGACCCAGACAGGTGTACACACAGTATGGTTAAAGCAGTCGGCAAACAATGTTAAATTATAAATTATATAAAGAAAGCATATTTAGTGGCAAGAGACCCACATGCATTAGTTAATTAAGGTAAAATTATGTTGTTATTTATTTATTTATTTCAACAAGTACACATTACCGAAACTTAACAATAATGTATTAATTTATACAGAAAATAATGTTATGTTCAAGTTAGTTCTCCAAAAATATGCGTGATTCACAGCATGAGATGATGCATCATGAGCATGTATAAAAATATGCATCAATTTATATATATACTTATATTTATTTATTTATTTATTTATAGCAAGGCAACAGATTACAAATTAATACATTTATAAAATAAATATTATATAAAACGGCATTAAATTTGCACTCCAATAACTGCTCTGCATAACATTCGATATTATATATATTAAAAGAATGACTGAAATATTATAAAAAGACAAAGTTTGATTTTATGTATGTTTGTTAGTTGGTAATGGATTAATTCGAAAACTACTTAACCGGTCCCAAAAACAATTCATTATTAACATGTAACTTGAACAGTACTTTGTTTGTACAAAAGCAATGCGAAGCCGTGGTGAGTCACTAGTGCACAATATAAGGGATTAACTGCAAACTACAGAGGAAAACAATTCATGCATGTTGCGTCAGAAATTATTTAACTTTTGATCAAATACATCAATTGTGGCCATGTGACCGATGAAACCTCAAAATTTGTGGCTGTTGCCAATACGTTACCATTATTTTACATTAGATGAATAAAATCCTATCGATTTATTAAATATATCGATGTTCTTTTTTTAAATAATAAACATCCCTAATGTGTTAGTTCAACAGGCGCCTGCATGTATCTATTCTAATATTTGCTAAAAGAAATACACAGATGCCCCATTTGCATTTAAGTGTTGCCAACACTAAAAATATTTTGTAATCAGTATAAATAATATTATGAAATAGTTTGTCTGTCTTTAGATCGTTTTACAGACTACCCATCTAATGTAAATTGTCAAATAGCCTTACTAATATTATAAACTTACCATTCCGTTACCATTCATTTAAAAAAAAAGACCCCTTCTTTTCTCGTGCGTGTCGTAAGAGCCGTCAAAGGAAATTTAATGGACGATGTATGAGTAGTAAGGGCCCTCTTAAAACATTACCAAAGACTGTGGTTGCCAACCCGCCTGCCAAGTTTGGCAACTATTGGCAAAACCCCCCAACAGAAGGGGTCCCATGTTCCGCAGCGGACAGTTAAAGGTTTACTGTGGCAGTTACTTTTTAAATAATCATAAAAAAATTTAGAAAAATTGAGAATTGTTTCTTTACCTATCAATTTGGGGGGAAAGGGATTGTTGGCAATGGAGTTTGACAGCCCCATTGCCAGCAATATGCCCTATTAGGTCGATCTCCACGTGGTTCCCCCTGGAAACCATCGTGAACAATTCTTGTTGAATTCGTCACGATGCGCTAACTGGCCTGCATCATCCTCATATATCATCCCTCACTGGTGCCCCGCCGGTGTATACCGATAGCGCGGGTGGGGTTACCATTCCATTATCATCCATTAAAAAAAAATACTTATCAATATTCAAAAGGGAATATAAAAGTTGACAGACTTCCCTCTTTTGTAAACCACAATATGTCTTTTTTGTTTACAAAATTAATTCTAATAGCAACGTTGTCTAAGTGTTGAATAAACGGCCATCACTTCGCTACACAACTACGATAAAAACAAATATTGTGTTTGAAACATATAAAAATAGTCAAACAATTCACACTTTTTTACAAAACTTACATTTATTTGTATAAAAATCATGTGTACATCTGTAGGTATTATTACCGTATTACCGTATATTGAGATTGTCGCACGTTTTCCTGTCATTAAAATCGGCTTTGTCATTTTTTATCGTTAACATACGTACGTAGAGATTACTTACTAACAACAGGTGAGTGACATCATTATAATTTTGCGATGTACCATCAGTCACGTTTCGAAAATAAAACTAAGGTATGTCAACGTTTCGAATTCAAATAAGACGATACAAAAACATCTCTGCGTATTTACTATTTGTATTACAGATAGATAGATAGATAGATACTCTTTATTGTTACCTCCAAAAGATTACAATAGTAAACTTATTATAAATATAAACAATTACAAGAAATAATCACAATGAGAAAACAACACAATTATGTGTACGAAATACCCTTTAGTATAAACAAAACTTAACTACGAAGGACGTAAATGTCTTTAAAGTACCGTTATAAGATATGAAAATTGGTTCAAGGCTATGCACAATTGAGGTTTCTAATGTCCCTTTTCGAATACAAAGAAAAAACCAATTAGACATTTCTCCATAAGATCTTTATAAAGGAGAAAACACTTGTAATACTTCTATTGATTTATGATATATTTAATTATATTCTATTAGCCGACTAGTTTCATCGTATCAAGGCATTATCGAAGGTCTTATTAGCTTTTTTACTTAAAATAGCGTATCTGTTC